AACAGAGAACAAAGTTAATTACGGGGTCGGTTGTAAAGGCACTATATAAGTACAGGGTGCGGCAGCATAACTTCCTTTTTTCAAAACTCAATAAAAACTATTGTGTGCATCGGAAAATCTTTATTTATTTTTTATAATGTAGGTACATGTCTAAAGTTTTTATTTACATTGTTTTGAAGATCAAATCTGTTAGGTGACGTCCCTCATTCTCCATACATTGCGTAAACCGATATCTGGCGTTTGTCATGACTCTTGTTAGCATAGCTGGTGTTATGTTGGCAATTTCTTCTTCGATGTTGGTCTTCAAATCTTGTAGGGTTCTTGGACGGTTCACATAAACCAGGGATTTCAAAAAACCCCATAGAGAAAAATCACAAGGGGACAGATCGGGAGAGCGTGCCGGCCATTCCAAATCGCCTCAAAATTGAGATAAGGCGCTCTGGAAAGTGTTCCCTCAAAACAGCCATCGATGCTCTTGAAGTGTGTGCTGTTGCACCGTCTTGTTGGAACCAAGTGTCCCCCAAATCCAACTCTTCTAGCCGTGGGAAAAAAAAATCTGTAGCATGTTTACATACCGGTCCGAATTCACTGTCACTGTAACCTCATTTTCCTCAAAAAACCAGGGACCAATAATTCCAGCTGAGGAAATTGCACACCACACTGTGACTTTGGGTGAATGCAAAGGCCTTTGATGCAATTGTCGAGGGTTGGTGTCAGCCCAGTAGCGCATGTTTTGTTTGTTAACCGACCCACATAAATGAAAATGGGCTTCATCGCTAAAAAAAACAATAGCACCCTCGGGAACGACATCAAGAAGAAGCTCACACGCTTTCATCCGAGAATTGAAGTCACGTTCTGTAAGTTCCTGCACTATCGCCATCTTATAGGGATGAAAATGAAGATCATCACGAAGAATTCTTCTCACAGAACGATCGGATAGTCCAAGGGCAGATGCGTGTTTGCGCGCAGAACGCCGTGGTGATCGCAACATTGAAGCTCTCACTGCTTCAATGTTCTCAGGTGATCTAACGGGCCGAGGGACTCCAGTTCTTCGTTTTGTCGCACTTGCAGTTTGTCTGAATGTAGTGACCCATGTAACAATTGATTTGCGGTCTGGGACGGGAGCCAACGGGGCTAAATTAAAGCGATTCTGAAATGCACGCTGTGTTGCAACAACCGAACAACCGCTTGAAAAGTAGGCCTCAACGGCAAAGGCACGCTCCTCACTATTCCAACGCATGATGGCGACTGAACCGTGTCGGGACAAAACTTTACAGTACCCCCTCTTGAACGAGACCACTAGCGCCCCACTATGACATCAACTGAATGGCGCGCGTTTAAAAAAAGGAAGTTATGCTGCCGCACCCTGTATATAAGTAAGTACAGCATTTATTTAAAAAACTCTCACTTTATCGTACCAGTTACAAAATTCGATTCCGCGAGCATATCAAAATATTGATGGGATACGTAAATGATACTTTGGTAGATAACATTTCGTAGGTGAGGGAGGTCGAGAGAGGTTTACAAACCAGCGAGTCAGAGCTCGTAAAGGCGAACGAACTTGACCTTGCCGAGGTGTGCCCGTGGCCTTCGGCCTAGATCGAGTGGAATTTATTTTGCTGATCTCCGCGTCTGCATTTCGCACGGATAATGAAACAATCCGAACCCTCATTTTTGTTTGTTAATGCTGAAATATCGTTTTTTCTAAACACGAGTTATTTCTGCAACAACATAGTTTTATAGATGCTGGTGTAAATTGTATATATTGTATATATTACTTTTTACAAAACTTCTGGATTCCTCCTGCGTCGGTTTTTGCTGAGTCGAACCTTTTGAAAGAAATGATTTTTCCGTTTCCGCAAGTTGGTGCGATGATACATTTATTACGAAGAAGATCAACGAAGATGTAAATCTTAACCCTTTTTTTGTCAACAAATGGCATCTAATGCTTATTGAGTAAAAAACTTTTAATGCCAATTCAAGGCCATTTAGGGTGATACTTACGTACTATTCTATGTTTGTTGTTTCAAGAACGCAGCATAAAAAAATCTTCAAATTTAAATATCCGACTAGAGAAAATAAAATTGATGATGGTAGCAGTAGTGCCAGTAAACAATAATAATAATAATAATAATAGCTTTATTGCTTAACGCAAAAATAAACAAAAATAATCTTTAGTAACCAGTAAGTAGTAATTTTGTTGTATACTATGCACACAGAATTCAGAATACAGTCACATAAGCTTGTAAGAAATGGCCCTGATCCGACGCCGGTATCCATGAAAACCTTGAACCAGAAGAAGCAGAAGATACGACTCTATAAACTTTTATGACAATTTTTCAAGAATATACAGGGTGCATAAATTCAAAAAAACTGAAAAATGGGTCCCCCTATTATTGAAAATTGGCAATAATTTCAAATCTGTGTTTTAGATATCAGTTTCTTTTACATGACGATATAGCCCATATAGACAGCTTAAACTTTTGGTATTTACGATTTTTAAGTACAGTGTGTTCGCGATATTCCGTGCAATATTAAAAAACGTAATACTCCAACTTTGCAGCTACCGACTTCAGACTAGGGAGAGAAGTTTTAGCATTTAGACTCTTTAAATTGGGAGCAATAAAATAACGCGAAGTATTTTTTTTTAGTTTTTTTGTGGTTATTTTCGCATCCAGAAAAACATCTTTTCTTCCAAAGCCATTCATCCGACCAGAAAAATTTTACATCCGTAATACGTAGGAGACCCGGCTCCATAACTTTTGTTTCACGCATTTTTTTGATTATATACAAGGTGTTTTAAGTTAAAGACCCTGAAAATTGTTCTTTTAGAGAGTAAATTATTATTCGTACAAACAATAGCTAATCCGTTCAAACAGTGTTATAGGCCGTATCAAGGGCTACAATTTTTGTATTTACGGTTTTCCTGTATCATATACGCTGTTCGAGATATTGGAAAAAATCCAAATGAAAATCAGCATTTCTCGCCCTGAATCTAGACGCCATGACGTCATTTACTATTGCTACATGGTTTCAGAAAACAAGTAGTTTTTTGAAAACCATTTACTCCATTGGAAAAATTCGGATACCAGGAAACTAAGGGAATCCAGAGCTATATCCTCTATTTCGAACATTGTTGGAATTATAATATACAGGATAAGTCGTTTGTGGGCAAAAAATTCCGAATTGATCCTAGAAATTTCCGCTTTTGTGGGTGAATTATTGGCGATACATGAAAAACTGTTAAAGATGTGATAATTTGATATGAGCGGTATCGTAAACTGTGTTGAGAGAGAGTTTGAGGTTTCGTCTATAATACACGGGACGCAAGAGATTTGAAAAAATATAATTTTAAATTGCAATTACCGGTACAAATTTTGATATTTACCGAAGCGGCTTCTTTTTAAAATAAAAAGCTAATTCGCGCAATTTACGAACTTGCCCCGCTCACCGACGATTTTTCGAGAGCAATCTTGTTAGAACTATTTTAAAAAAATAAAAAATCGCCTTCGCAAAGGTCTAAGAATTATTGAGCCAAAAGATCCACAAGATCCAGTGCTATAAATCTTTATTCTTGCCAATTTTCATACATTGTGTGCCTGGTATTCGCAAAAAACTAAAAATTGAGTTCCTCTTTCAATAAAAATTGGCTATAACTGGTAGAATGTGATTCAGTAGTCAATTTGTCATAGACCACTACATAGCCCGTATGGACAGCTAAAACTCTCATATTTAAAATTTTCATCTATTGTACACGGTGTTCCGGATATTCGGTGCTATGTAAGATATGGATTAAGTGTCCTAAAATTGCATCATAAGTCCGTACCCACTTCTGAATAGTTGAAATTGGGCGTAATGAAATATAACCAAGTATTTTTTTTTAAATTTTGGAAATTTTTCTTTGATTATTTTGGCTTCCAGAAAAAAACATGATTTTGTCAAGAAATATTCAACGCAGGAAACGCGGAAGAAGGCATTTTTTCGATTATATATAGGGTTTTTCAGTTACTAGTAAAGTGTGGCGAATTTTTTAATTTACGTATTTACGTGTTTTCGTCTATCACATACGTTTCAGAAAAAAAATATTTTCTTGAAAACCATTTACGCATGTAAAGCTAACAATGTATCAATAAGGGGTTGCGGTTATTGGCTGGCTATAAATGTAGGGATATGACGTGTACACCCCTTGACTTTCAAGCTGCGGCCGCAACACGCCATCACCGCACCACGCTTCGATCACCTTGTTTACCACTATTTAATGAAAATAAAAGTTCAAATAGGTGTAATTTTTACTATATATTTTTGGTTTATTGAAGATGCATGGTTATGGACTTTAAACAAGCATTAAAAAGGAATATATATATATATATATATATATATATATATATATATATATATATATATATATATATATATATATATATATTTTTTTTTTGAAGCCATCAATTCCAACCGTAAAAAAAATATATAAAAGTTATTAATATGAGCTAATCAACACTAATTTTCCTAGTATTTACTGATATATTATCACTAATCAGTGTTAATTTTTACTTGGATTTTTGTTCAATTAAGTCTTCATTCTTTTGGTATTATATAACCCTCATTAATCCACGATAAATTTTCAACATTTTCTTGAATCGTAAAACAAGTATTGTCATGCTTAACGCAATGTTTAAGCGAATATTTAAAGCTATGTTCAATGATTACAGCTTCTTTTCATTGCAATGAATGTCGACGATGTACTCGCCATTCAACTAATATCGTTGTTACTATTGACACTATAGATTTACAGCGTATACTAAAATTTTTAATACGCCATTAGAAGTATTTATCTGTGTTAGTTACTTACCTGTAATATTGCCCAGTTTATATGGTTTTACGGGGTAATTTTCGACCTGCGCCTATAGCCAAGCCTAAAATTTGCACTACCGGGAAGCCCCCGTTTTATTACTCCATGGCGCTTAAAAACATGGTTTAATGGGTTTTTTACTTTGTTTCAGCAAATAATACGGTAAGATGGGCTGAACGGACGTAGAAAAGAAGGTTTTGTTTCAAGAAGAGCAAACACCTTAATATCGAAGGTAAGCCTCAATCCCGTTACAAATATATTTTGTTATTCGATTCTGCAACTATACACAGGGTGGCCATTTTTTCGCCAAGGTTGTGCTAGATACTAAGTGCAAGCTACTAAGATTTAATTGATTTAATTAATTAAAATATTTTAGAATACACAAATTCTTTGATTTTAGTGTTCGTTTCCTAGCACATTGGAAAATTGAAATTTTAGATACATGTTTCATTAGATGGAACAAATAATTTATTTAATTTTTAATATTAGATGTTAAACGCAACTTAAAATCTAGAATATCTCATGTTTTACTTTAATGTCATAAAAATGAGATAATTTTTAACTGCGCTTGTTTGGCACTACATCTGTTTTTGGCAGCAATATTTCTGGGCGTCTCAAGACACCCTGGGGATGGATGGTGTGTCCCCTTGGCGACGACGGGTTGGCATCAGCCGACCGTGTAAACCCAGTGTGAGCGTACTCATACTTCCTCTCTTGACGACAAAACAGTGTGCCCTCCATCTGGAACTGCGTCAGCATTACTTCAGATGGAGTGTCGTCCGGACGCGCGTGATGTTCTCTCGCGCCCTATGATCTTCCCCATGATCTTTCGGTCTCCTATTGACTAAGGTTCAGCGAGCTTGTATAAGATTTGGCCGTTCTATCCTCTTGGCAGAAAGTATTTGCTTTGCCATTTTGCAGACGTGGTCCCAATTTGTCGGTGACTCTAACATTTTTTCTACTAGGTTGTCTGGGCTTATGTGACCGAGTATTTGCTCTGCTATATTCCGCTGCATGTTCCATCTTGGGCAGAAAAATAGAGTGTGTTCAACCGTATCCACGTTTATGCAATAAAGGCACTCCTCGGTTTCGGCCAGATTGAAACGTTTGAAGTAGGCTTCAAAGCACCCGTGCCCGGTGAGTATTTGTGTAAGAAAGAAATCTACTTCACCGTGTCGTCTCTCAAACCAGGGTCTTATATTTGGAATTAGCTTTTTACTCCATTCCGCTGTACCATCATCTATGTCCCATTCCTCTTGCCAGCACAACATCACCGCGTTTTGTGCTTCCGATTTAGCGTCTGGTCCATCTTTCTCTATACGGGCTCTGCACTTAACTAGGAGATTAATAGGTGGGATCCTAGCTATCACCATAAGTGCCTTATTGGAAGTTGTTCTGTATGCTTCGGAGACTCTTATGGCTACCCTCCTTTGAACACTACTCAGAATCCTTTTATAGACTTTCTTCTCAACTACTTGCTCCCATATTGAGGCGCCATATAGTAGTATTGAAGTCACTACTGAGCATAATATCCTCCTGGTGCTTTCACTAGGCCCATTCACTTTTGGTAGAAGGCGACTGATGTTGTTCAAGGCCTTGTTGGCCTTTTCTGTTACGGCTCTGATGTGGGCTCCCATGGACATGTTTCTATCTAGTTTTATACCTAAATATCTGACTACTTCCTGACTCTGAACTGTTGTGTTTTCCACTGTGACTGAAATGTTTTTAACTTTCCTTCCAGCAACAAGTAGGACTGCCTCCGTTTTTTGGGGGGCTAATTTCAGGTTTTTAGATTTCATCCATTCCGTGACATTGTAAAGGGCATGGTTGGCTACTGTTTCCATCATCTCGGCTTCTTTTACTTCTGCTAAGATAGCCAGATCGTCAGCATATCCGACAAGGGTAATACCATTTGGAACAGGAATTCGGAATACACCGTTGTAATACACATTCCATAGGGTTGGACCTATTACGCCTATCTTCGAAGTAGCTTGCTATGATGTTATACAGATAAGGGGCTATGTTACGATTTCGAAGCTCTTCCAATATACCACACCATGGTGCCGTGTTGAAGGCATTTTCGACGTCTACCGTGACAAGAGCACATAACTTCCTCCTTCCCCACGGTGTCTGTTTTACTTCGTCTATCTTTTCTCGTATCCTTCTCAAAGCACTGATAGTTGATCTCTTTTCCCGAAACCCATGCTGTTCGTCTGCCAGTCCGCCAGTCCTTTCAATTTCTTCCTTGAGACGTTTTACCAGCAAATGTTCCAGTAGCTTACCAGCTACATTGATTAAGCATATGGGTCTATACTTCTTATCCTGACCTGGTTTCTCTATAATTTCCATATTCTAGGAAATTCTCCCTTCAGCAATATTTTGTTCATGAGGTCTGTGCACTCCTCAATATAATCCTTCGCAATTGTCTTTATAATTTCAGGAGGGAGATTGTCCGGTCCAGGGGCTTTGCTATCCTTTATTTTTCCAACTGCAGTTCTTAGTTCTTCGACAGTAAACAGAGGTATGTCCCTAGGTTGAACTGTTACCTTGTTCCACTTTTGCAGTGGTCGAGTCGGAAAAAGTGACTTAGCAATTTGTAATTGCTTTTCATCTGACATATTTAATGGTGGATATTTTATTTTGTTATCTTGTACCCTCTTCCCCAAATGTCTTTATCTACTTCCTCGATCACTTTCTTCCATGCAGCTTTTTTTGCCTCAGAAATTGCTCTTTTGAGTTGGGCTCTATCTGTTTTATATTTATCATGGCATAATCTCTTGACTGATTCATCGCTACGTTTGTTCGCTCGGACCATCTTTCTCTTACTTTCAATGCATTTTTTCCTCGCTTCTGTCACTTCTGCTGTCCACCAGTACACCGGTCTTCTTGCGCTGCTGCGTTTCCTTACAAAGGTCTTATCGCACGCATTTGTTGCCGTAAAATGCTCTGCTGATCTCAGATTGTTATGGTTATTCCTGAGTTGTCTGCCTACTTCCAGAGACAGATCGGTAAGCCTTTCTTTATTTATTACCCAGCGCTGTGCTGTATTGGGTTTCTGGAGCTCGGTCCAATTGCTTCCAGTGATTGTATACAGGATATGCTGATGGAGACTCAGGTTTTCTTCTTCAAGGACTTTCCAATTTATGACTTGTCTGGCTATCTTTTGGGTGCTAAATGTTATGTCAATATATGACTCACTGCTTCCCCTGATAAAGGTTGGTACACTGCCTCTATTGTGTACAATGAGGTTCTCTTCAGCCAACCATTCTGATAGTAATTCCCCTCTCCTATCTTCTGGTTTAGGGCTCCACAGAAAGGATTTAGCGTTGAAGTCTCCTCCAATGACCATCTCTTTCTTTTGTTTTTTCATATCTTCCCTGAGGTTATGCAATGTCTACGTTTGGTGATATGTAGCAGCTATAGATTATAACATGTGGTGTCTCCACCCATACGAAACCAACCCCTGCACCATGTTGCAGGATCTTGATCTGGACTCCTGGGACATAAATCGCTGCGTCCATATTTTGGTCGTGAATCCATTTCCTACCTTTCAATTTCTTCCGGTTTGGCTCTGCTACCAGGACAATATCCGCCCCATGTTCTTCGGCCATCTTATATAACATATCCACCGCATTTGAGCCTCTATCAACATTTCCTTGCATAATCTTGATGTCCTCGTGTTGGCCCTGGTAATGCTCCCTCCTACTCCTGTCTGTTGTCACTGGTTGTGTTAGATGTTGCATCATTTTTGTTAGTTTTGTCTTTTCTGCTTCAAAAGGTTGCCGTAGACAGGGCATTTTATGTTCCCTGTTCGGTGTCCCTTTCCTCCACAGTCATAGCATGTTGGCTCGTTTTTGCATCCTGCGGCTTTGTGTCCTTCATCTCCACATCTGTAGCACAATTTCGCACGATTTGGCCCTTTGCACGTTCTGATAGTATGCCCATGTTGAAGGCATTTGTAACACTGTAGGACTGGTATACGCTCCTTAATACTACAAGAGCTCCATCCGATCTTGATCCTATCCGCTTTTTGTAGGATTTCTGAAACCTTAGGGTTCACTGCTAGTGTTGCAGCCTGAGAGCCTCTAGAATATGGTCTCATAGACTTCACCTCTATATCCCCTTCAACTCCGTCGGTGTAGATCTGCAGTGCCACTTTTAGTTCCTCAGTACTAGTTGCGGCGTCTATGCCGTACACATGAAGTATCGTCTTCTGTTCCCTTGCAGTTCGAGCTTCGGCGTTTGATATTTTACCTTCTATTTGCGCACGTAATAACTCGGTATTCGCCTTGTTGCTTTTCATGATTAATAGAACTTCACAATTTTTAGTCTATTTTACTTGCTTTATATCTATATTTAGTTCCTTAGGGCTAATTTGGTCTTCATTTCCCTCAGTAGCTCAGCATATGTTTTATTCCCTGCCTTAACAATTAGAACATCTGTGTCATTGTCTTGGTCAATTTTTTTTGTAGTGTTAATCGCGTTCTTGTTGATTTCTTGTTTCGGCACGTGCAGGCTTATCCCTATCTTTGTGTCTATGAATGCCACTTCGAGCAGCTTTCTGACCATTTCAGTTTCATACCTGTCGGGTATTGGCATCCGTATATTATTCGTTCCCAATTTGATTGCCGTCTCTCTAAGGTCTACCAGAATCTTGTACAATTCCTCATTTTTTCTTTCATCGCTCACAGGTCCCAGTGGACAGAGCCTGAATACGGTACGTTCGCTGGTTGCCATTCTCCCAATTTTTACTGAGGTAGTGAGGTATGCTACTTCAGTAGTCTCTTTTGGATCTCCCAACGACGTGAGTTCGGGATATCTCTCCTTAAAAATCCTACTGATACCTTTAGTCATTTCAGGGTCTTCGGAGTATATCGCCAGGTCACCTCCAGAACTTTTTGATAGGGGGTTTCCCACTTCGATTTTTACATTTTTGTATGCCGCCTCGGGCCAGGTCTTCTTTACTGCTCTCAAAAGATCATCTAAGGATTCTATTGCCCTCAGAGACTCCCTTATGAGTTCTGATTCTTTCTCCTCTGCCAATACTTTCATGTATACAGTTTGCGTTTCTGTGTCTGCCATATTATGTTCATTGCTTGTTTGTGTTGCTGCCGAGTTCTTCTCTGTTTCACTACTCTTTCTACTTCCGCCTTTTCCCAGCCACATCTGTATTTCTCTGCCTTTTAACCTGCTAGCTATGCTGCTTAACCTTACTACCGAATCTTTGATCTCCTTTTTAAAATTTATATTTGTCTGGATGACACTCATCAACTTTGTAACCTGTACATCCATATCTTCGATCAGTTTTTTGATTGCGAGTCCCTCCTTATTTTCTGTCTCTTCCTGTTTTGGCGAGGTTTCCTCTCTAGGCCTTTTGGCTGGATTTTCCGTGTTCTTGGTATTGGCCCGCGTTGGGATCTTCCTATCAGACTTCTTTTTGCAAAAGGATCCTTCACACCGGACCAGCTATAGCTTCTCTCCCGTGTCTTTAACCCAGTAGCATCAAAACTCCAGAGAGCCTGAGTTCCACCCTCGGAGTCGCGATCGCATTCTGTCACACCAGACTGGCCCGCTTTACAACCAACCTGGGCGCGCACTGAGGTTTCCGAGTCCCCCTGCACCGTAATCGAATTTATATTATGTTGTTCCGTCATGAATTTTATTCAAGGTTTTCCATGTCCATCGCCAGGTCGTCATAAGGTTTTTTAATTTAGCGTGAAAAGAAAGACCCCTAGCCCTCGTTGGCTAATAGTGTCAGGGACGGAAAAAAAAAACAAGAGTTGGTCAAGAGAGACCGATAGGAAAGGCAAAAGAGGAAGGGACCCCACCCAAGAATAGTAGAAGGAAGTGAAGCAAAGTGGGATCCAGCTAGGGCACCTAGGGAACTTTTTTGTTTTAAAGACTTCGAAATAAATAATAATAATAATAATAATAATAATAATAATAATAATAATAATAATAATGATAATGATAATAATAATAGTCTTTGTTGAAAATTGAGATACGTTTTTGTAATAAGAGAACCCGTAGTAAAGAAAAATAAAATATAAACAAAAGAAAAAGTAAGTAAGTAATTAGAAATAATTCTGTGATTTATTAAAAGACTAAAAACCTAATCAGCACTTTATTTATTTATTAACACGCCTTTAGTGTTCTTTCTAAATAGTTTGAAAGATGATAAGGCAAAGAAATGTTTTGCCTTGTCTATTTTTAAGCAACACCCAAGTCTACAGCAGTTGTTTTGTATTTTTTGGCGGCGCTGGCGATCAAGTAGCATTAAACAGGGGTAAAACAATACAAGGCAATATGACAATGCAGACATAATATGTTACAGAGAAAATAACGAAAGCAACAAAATGGTTTTTGCGAAAATACTGCTTAGTCCACCTCGGGTAATTTAATTTTCGTAGTTTCAGGACGTTGTGCATCAGAATGTACATCTTTGGTCGTATTTAATCGACCCTGTTTCTTAAATGGTCTAAAAGTGGCGACCCTGTATATCACGATGAGCAACAAAATCAATTATTTCTCAAACTTCCACCGACTATTTTAATACCATTTACACGCACGAGTATGGATAGTTTTTCAAAACAATCGCGTGATAATGCACCCTCGACAATGGCGGAACCATTCACGAGCTGTCAAATCTCTTGAAACGACGAATATTCGTTTTCGTTATATCATTTTTAATAGGTAACAATTCGTTTGACGTTTTGGCCGAAACCGTTTGTCTTTCGAGGCCTGTCACACGCTTATAATAAACGGTTCTCAACTAGGGTGGTTCTGCGATCCCGGCAAACCTGTATATCTATCGAATCGGCCATTAGAAAGGTGCCGCGTGGCTAATCGAATCGTTTTTCAGTATTGCGGACAGGAAATGGATAAAGAAAATGGGAAGGCCAACGAGAGTACTTCTGGCCCAAGCAAAGTGTCAAACGTTCAAGATCCTGCCGCACTGCTGGACGCAGCTAGCCTCTTCGGCGGTGAGTTTCGAGGTTTTTTTTTTTGATTTTACGATTTCTTCCCCTTAAATTTTGATTTCCGGAATAAAAATTATAACTACGTATACCGGGTTAGTAAAAAGTACAGGTAGGCTTAAATATGTCCCAGCTGGTTTTCGAACACGCAGAATTCGAAACTGCTGACGGCGGTGTTGTCGCATTTACCACTTTTACGTTATAGGGGAAGGTTAAAGTCTGTTCATAGATATAAGAAAGTAACTAACTGATACGAATTAAGGAAAGACCCGGGCAAGCTGTAAGAATGAAATATGGCCGAACAGGTCCGTAATTTGCTTAGAATTTAATTATTCGGAGTTTTGTTAGGAAAGATACTAAACAATATTTATTTTTTTATGTATGTATTTATGTTTAAATCTAAAATAAAATTACAAATTATTTTTAATACCTACCTGAATTACTTAAAATTATTCACATAATATATCAGTATCACTATCGGTATCATCGCCTGTTCTAATTATTATTTGTTCTATATTATTTGCATTTGATTGATATATGAAATAAGTGAGGTACGTCAATAATAAGCAAACAATATTTAATCAATATGCACAATTAAAAGGTATAAAGAATATATAGAACACATTGTGAAAAACAAATAAAATGCCTTACCTTAACAAAGATACTGCAACCAAAACGAAAATAATAGTCTATAACGATGAACCAAATATATGCACCCACAAAACACAGGCACGAAACCAAGCCAAGCCAATGGGCTCTTCTCTATAGAGACGGACTTTGCGAATTCGTTATCAAAAAACTGTTTTCCGAAGTTTACCCCATGTTAATGTGGAAATTGTATACGAGTTTTTGGGCAATTAACGAAAATTTAAACTAACCTCAGGGCATTGACGTTATGGTAGTTCGCTACGTAGATAATATGCATATATAAAACTGTTCTACATCTATATCTTTTTTGTTTAGCACTAATGGGTATTTGACTCACGAGTTTATTTGACACGAGCGGAGTGAGTTTTTAATAAACGAGTGAGTTAAAAAGTTTACCGAACGTGTTGCGTACTATACTTTTTCTGCGACCGTTAGTTTTTGGGTACATTTTCGCAAAACATCACGAATACAATCACTAACATGACTGTCAGAATCGAAAAACGTCAAAATTCAATGCGTGGGAAATATCTCGATATCTCTATATCGATTGCTCGCTAATCCGTGCGGTAAAATCCGGGAAATGTCCGAAGTAGCTCGGATTTATGGGAAACGAGACTGACGTGGTAAAGTGACGCTTCCCGCACCCTAGATCGGTGGATAATTAGGTATTTTACAGACGGGAGCAGAAAAAAATATTTTGCCTGCAATTTTTTTTATCATTTTTGTAAGAACAAACTCCATCGCTTTCAGTTAAAATAAAAAAATGTCGAACCTGATTTGTTATTTATGATGGCGATTAATATTTTATTAATATTAAAAAAAATGTGATAGTATAGTACGCAACACGTTTGCTATACTTTTTAAGTCACTCGTTTATTAAATACGCTGTGATCACCTCGTGCCAACTTGTAACTCAAATATCACACTTGTTGCATAATGTAACTATTACCTGTTCCTATCAATGTCTTATTATATCTGATTTACCTAATAATAAAACTCTAATTTATTATTTATGAGGGCAATTAATAATTCAAATAAAAATAAAATGTGATAGCAACACGTTCGGTAAACTCGTTTATTAAACACTGGCTCCGCTGCGCTCCGCTCGTGCCAACTCAAATACCACACTTGTTGCATAATATACTATTATCGATTGCTTATTATCTCGAATTTACCTAATGTAACTCTAATTTATTTATTATGTCAATTAATATTTAAAATCAAAATAAAATGTGATAGTTTAGTTTTAGTTTAGTACTCGTTTGTTAAACACTGGCTCCGCTGCGCTCCGCTCCTGTCAACTCGTAATCCTAATTTCAAACTTGCATAATATACTGTTACCGGTTGCTACTAATGTCCTATTATCTCGAATTTACCTAATAAAACTCTAATTTGTTATTTATTATGGAAATTAATATTTAAAATCAAAATAAAATGTGTTAGTTTAGTACGCGACACGTTGGGTAAACTTTTTAACTCCTTTGTTTGTTAAACACTGGCTCCGCTGCGCTCCGCTCCTGCCAACTCGTAACTCAAATGCAACACTTGCGTAATATACTATTACCGATTGCTACTAATATCTTATTATCTCGAATTTACCTAATAAAACTCTAATTTGTTATTTATGATGGCAATTAATATTTAAAATCAAAATAAAATGTGTTAGTTTAGTACGTGACACGTTGGGTAAACTTTTTAACTCCTTCGTTTGTTAAACACTGGCTCCGCTGCGCTCCGCTCTTGCCAACTCGTAACTCAAATGCCACACTTGCATAATATACTATTACCGATTGTTACTAATGTCTTATTATCTCGAAGTTACCTAATAAAACCCTAATTTGTTATTTATTATGGCAATTGATATTTAAAATCAAAATAAAATGTGGTAGTTTAGTACGCGACACGTTGGGTAATCTTTTTAAGTAACTCGTTTGTTAAACACTGGCTCCGCTACGCTCCGCTCCTCCCAACTCGTAACTCAAATACCACACTTGCATAATATACTATTTCCGATTGCTACTAATGTCTTATTATCTCGTAATTAACTAATAAAACTGTAATTTTTTATTTATGATGGCAATTAATATTTAAAATCAAAATAAAATGTGATAGTTTAGTACGCGACACGTTGGGTAAACTTTTTAACTCCTTCGTTTGATAAACACTGGCTCCGCTGCGCTCCGCTCCTGCCAACTCGTAACTCAAATGCCACACTTGCATAATATACTATTACCGAGGGCTACTAAAAACGGCCGAACCTAATTTGTTATTTATGATGGTAATAAATATTTAAAAACAAATTAAAATGTGATAGTATAGTACGCGACCGGTTTGTTGAACCTTTTAAGTCACTCGTTTATTAAACACTCGCTCCGCTCGTTCCAAATAAACTCGTGACTTAAATATCGTTCACTGCGCATGTTCCATAATTTACTTACTTTACTTTATCGTTGACTCACAGTGTACTTTGAATAATGGAAAAAAATATTTCAGCTTACTGGCCAAGGGGTGACGCGAACGCGGCTAATCTGTTCGCGGCCGCAGGCGGTTTCGGGCTACCGCCCCACGCGGCCACCCTGCCGTTCGGCATGCTGCCGCCAACGGCGTCGGCACCTGCGGCCGGACGGGGCGGCGGCGGAGGCGGCGGTAACTCCGGCCTGCCTTCTTACCCGGCCGTGTCGTCGGCGTCCTCTTCGAGTGCGGCGGCGGCGGCGGCCGCCGCTGCCGCCTACAGCAACGCGTACAACAATACCCTGTCGGTGGCGGCCAGTCAGGCGGCGAGTTTGGGAATGCCGGCGGCAAGTAAGTGAAAATTTGACGATATAAGTGTTCTTCTTCTTACATCCAAACCATCTTCGCATGTCTCTCATCCAAGAATTCTGTCTTCTCCCAATAGATCTTTTACCCTTTATCTTACCCTCAATAATTAAACTTAGGATTTCGTATTTTGGGCTTCTCATGATATGTCCAACGTGTTGGGTTTTTCTTATTTTTATAGTTGGTAAAAGTTGTTTTTCTTACTTTCTGTACCCAGGGAATACGAAGAAGACATTTCGAAAGCCTCTAGTCTTTTTTCGCAACAAGGATGAAGGGTCCAACACTCACATCCATATAAAAGCACAGAAAACACATAGGTCATCGCCATTCTCATTCTGAGTTCCAGATCAAGTCTAGATTTAAGATTTCGTATTTTGGGCCTCTCATGGTATATCCAAAGTATTGGGTTTTTCTTATTTTTATAGCCACAAAAAGTAGAAAATTAAATTTATTTTAAGCCACGGAGATTAACAAAATGAGACAATCAAATGTATTGCTTAACGATTAATTAGATTTAAATACCTCTCTATTATTAAACTAAAATTTTGACAATATTAATTAAGGTTTTATTGTCATTTTTGGGTATATACAGCAACAGGTCGTTTGTAAATATTAGATTTGATAGAGACACGGTGTTGTCGAAACAATTGTGATACGAAAATATATAATTTCGTGAAAATCTGAACTTTTAGTTCTTATTTATTTTTATTTTATTTTATTTATTTAAGGTCAAAAATTTAGGAACAACGGTGGACGTATCAATTCAAAATTCAGAAGGGAGTAGAAAAAATACCTAATTAATACACCAATATAGTGTTGTTGCAGCAATAGTGAATAGCATTAGCAATAGAAAGAAGCATAAATATTGGAAAAGTTAAAATAAATCATAAAGTACTAGAACACATACTTAATTAAAGTTGCAGGTGGGTTCTAAGTTAATATTTTGCCATTTAAGAAAACCGAAGATATTCAATTTAAAATTATTATTACTCCTTTATTTTGAACACCCTGTAGCGTATAATTCAAATTCCGCGGCGTATAATCTTTTACGTTATGAGATATTTGTAAATGTACTTTTTTCTAAATTAGAAAATCTGCAGCCAGCCCATACAAAATACAATCAAACTGTAGCAGTAGCATCTTACTTTACAGTATAACAGGTTTTTATTATTTTTTTTCAAAAATACCAAAAATTTTGTGGCTTGGTAGGATTTTGCAAAATGAAAAAAAGCAACAGGAAGTATCAACAAATTATTATATTAATGAATAATGAAGGAGAAATATAAAATTTGTTAACTTAAGTATCTACTCTGCTTCAACATTGAAATCTAGCTCCTCCACGTCGAATCCATTTTCATTTTCCACTATACGTTTATTTGATTTTAAGCTGCTATAAAAAGGCAAAACATCTCCCGGTATATTTCGTTTAAGTTCTTAAGTTTCTCTTCTAAGACTGGTTTACCACAAAGGCACAGATGTGAAAGGTGAACTAATGGTTGTGGATGGTGTCCCTCTTATATTTTTTTAATATTTATTGCCTGGTATCCATTTGTGAAATGAATTTTCTTTAACTTTCTTTAATGAACGGGCCATTATTTTTCATTTTTGTTACTATAAATGGCCTTTTTTACGGCAGTTTCTCACAATATCAATGTAGTCATCAAGCGTATAAACACATTGAAATAATTATAATTTGCATTCTACATCGCTGAAATCCGAGTCGTTGTGGGTTGAAAGTTTCATTCTAAAATGAAGAGTATGTATTTTTATTGAATGGAATGGAAATTTTCAAGGTCTAGGAAACATTTTGCAAAATAAATATTTATTAATTATTGACCACATTACCCGTTCATCTAATTTTATCATATAATGTGGGTTGGTAGCTTTTTGCTTAACAGAGCCCAAATACGAGTGACCCTTAAAACTAATGGCGTTGTCGTCATTTTTTTGCAAGTGTGACGACTTTTCTATTTGCCATTTTCTTATAACTTGGAAACCAATAAGATAATGAACCTTACTATATCGTCTGTTTTGTTTGTTTGTCCGTCTGTATGTTTGTCCTAGTATCCGGCATTCTAAAAATCTCATCTGTTAACCATACCGGAAAAGATATTGACAACAGAAGGTCGTAGGGCGATTCAACAACTGAACTCCATTTTGTCGTCAAAAAACAAGGACAACGAAAATCAACAATATTGAACCCGTCTCCACATATGGATCAGAAAATTGCCAAATAACTTCTAGAACGAAAGAACTAATCAATGCTGTAGAAATGTCTATTTGGTTTATATTTCATCGAATAGCACGCTTTTGGAAACAGAAAGTTAAGCTTTTAATCACATAAAACTGTTGTCTCGCTTATTTGTTAGTCAGTTGAATACGCTCTTGCGGTAAGCAATTGATTTTTGGAAAAACAAAGTTTTGTAAAAGGCGGCTTTCGGTTTCCTGTTAGAAAAGCGGCGCAGTCGGTTGGATAGTTTTATCCAAATTTGGTGATGTCGGTAACTAATTCCCAGTTCAACCAGATGTTAACATCGAACTCTACGACGTCAGGTTGGACGAACTGCATACAATAAGGGCCTTCCGGTGCTACGCGTGTTATAAGAAGTTCCTCAACGTTAGGAATCATCCAACCTACGCGTTCCTTGAACTGAGAAGGAGGAACGCGTCCTTCATAAAACCCGTTCCCGATCGAAGGTGTGTGTATGCGGGATTCGGGCGACAGAAAGAGACGGCGACGGCATTTCGCTGCCTTCGAGACCCAGAAAGACGCGAATGTATGTGTGTGTGTGTATGTAGCAGTAACTCTCGCCGGTTCTTCGCTGCAGTATTTTGATCTGGGCAAAGTTTAACGGCAAATGTAATTTGTTTTATTGATCTACTTTGCTCGCGGGGTCCTCGTCTTCGCTATATAGACCCCGTGCGGATTTCTCTCCGTCTCTTTCTATCCATCGCCTCTCGCGGTCTCCCTTTCTCACCCCGTTCCCTCCGTCTCTCTTTTCGTCTCGGTCTCTATCGTCGCCACAGCGTTCCCCGGGAAGGCGGTAAAAAAAAGGACGACGTCTGGATAATAGAACATCTCTCCGCTGTATTGGTTTATGGATTTATGTTTTACGTTCTGTTTGTTTGCGATTTCCATCATCGCGAGGGCAATTTATTTTTCGCCCATCGTTCGATACGACCGTCGCCGCGACGTTCTTCAGGTAAACGGGGTGAAGCGGGAGGGGGGTGGTGCAGCGCAGAGTCGCTTGGGGTAAGCGAACGCAGTTTCACGCTTAAAGTATGTTAAAAAGAAAACGATTGTATTTAGGAAGTACAGAACCAAGTATTTATTACATTGGCACATTACAAATAAACATATGAAAAATAAAAAAACAACTTGTCTTGCCATTGGGGTAACTGTTCGCAGTCTTCAGGCTACATATTTATTTGCATAAGTCGCATAAAAATATCCCTGTTTCATAAGAGATGCATTGTTCATGCCACCAATCTTCGCATTTGAAGCACTGAATCCATTCTTCAGCAGGTGGCTCTTCATATTTTTCGTTGCGTAATGGACAATTGTTGGACAATTTTTCATTTTCCGAAATACAAGAAATGGTCCCGGTTGAGGGGATAAAGATCTTAATGGGACTGTTCTTTTCTTCCTTTTGTTAGATTTAGCTAATTCTTCGTTTTGTTTGTTTTCCAAATCTCCTTTAAATGAACTCGAAGCTGTTATTTTCGATTTTAAACTTTTTCTTTTTTCTTTTTGGCATTAAGTGCAATATCTTCAGTTTTCTCTGTCTTCAAAACTTATGGTGTTTTGAAAACCTGATGATAAGTTTTTGGTTTAGCTTCAACTCTTTGATTTGGCGGGCAAATTTTTGTATTGTCTAATGTCTGATTCTCATTTCTGTGGTTTGGCAGGTCAGTCTGTCTCATCATTTTTTGGTTCATTTTCATCTCCTTGAACTGGTAAGATAATATTTACATTGTCAGTTACAGTAGCTCGGAGGAAGTCATACTCTTAAAAAATGCCGTCGTTAAATGGATAAATTTCAGTCACTGAAAATCCCGAGGCAGCATTGCCGACTGTAGCAACTTGTTTGTAGGCTTCGTTAAAAAGAGCAGCTACTTGATATTGATACTCCTGTCTAATGACTGAACTTTGTGGCTGCTGTGGGGAGCTAAAGTAATAACTGAAATTCCATGACGAGTGATTGTCTAGAATTAGTAAGACAGGAGAATCTTTTGTATTATGAACATGATCCTTAAAATAATATAACCAATTCATGAACAGATATGAATTTATGAATGCGGAATCAGATACCATACCAACACATCCGGTGGGCCCTGCATCAAGGAGCTCACCCTTCATCCTTTTCCTCGGAAAAATGAAGGCAGGTGGTTATTGTAAATGCCTCTCTCAGCACATACAACTTTTCCTACCACTTTTTTTCCTTTCACGGATACGACTCTGGGTGTCATTTTGGGAACCGTACTCATCCCAGTTTCATCCATGTTAAAGATGCGGTTCGGGTTAAAATTGTATTTTTCATACAGTTTCTTTAAGTTACAAAAGAATCTGTGAACTTGTACTTTATTAAAACCAATTGCCGTTGCAAGACTTGTTGGAACTGAGTGACGTAATAGCAGTCTCTCGTGTCACTTAAGGAATTCTCCAAAACGCACTAGAATGGAATCAGCACGAGAAGCGTGATTTAACTAATAAAACCCCAAATACACAGGTAATTCTTTATTTTACTGGAAATATGACCTAAGGTCGAAATTGGAACGTAACAGATGCCATAAGAAAAGGTCCAAACTATTTAAATATGGGGACCTAGTAATATGATAAATAAATAAAATAAAAACAAAATAAATAAGATACGCTTTCTGCGATTACTGTTGTTGTACAATTGTTTTTATTAACAAAATTGTGAGTTCAGTTATTGAATCGCCCTACAACCCTGTGTAATTCTGTTGTTAATATCTTTTTCCGTCTTCACTAATATACCTTTCTAGGTACTTATACTCTCTATAGCCTTTAATACTATTTCCTAGTTGTATATTTTACTGCTAGATGTTCAGTTTTAGATGTGTTCATTGTGTTATACTCAATGTCGTATTCATCATTCGCTATAAGTACCTGATCGTCTGTAAACACCAAGGTGTACAGGCAATATTTCCCTATCAGTATTCCCATTTCGGAACATTTTCTCATCCATGATCTTATCGCTCTTTGGACATATATTTAGAAGAGGGTGGGGGAAACACAACAACCATGCTTTAATCCCTTCGATATTTTAAACGGCGATGATATTCTGGTTCCTACCTTTATCATGCCAAGAGTGTTTTGGTATATGTTTTGCAATGTCTTGTTTATTTCATAGTCATGTAATACCTTGGACAATTTGTTTATTGGCACGCTATCATATGCTTTTTCCAAGTTTCTGAACATTAAATGGGTCGTCATGTTTCTCGTAATTCTCTTTTCCGCAAGCTGTTGAATTACGAAAGTATTATCCAAGCAGAATCGACGAAAGGAACGTACCAGAGAAAAAGATATGGTGTGGCCACATAAACAGAAATAGGCGACCAAGAAGACTCCTAGAATATACACCGGAGACCCCGCAAATCTTGGATAGAAGGAATTCAAGATGCCACGAAAAAGAGAGAAATGAACGAAGAGGATTGACACAATGTAGAAATCTGGAGATTGAAGCGCGGGAAGCGGCTATATATAAAAATGTTTTGAAACAATTTACAACCTGAGGTTGCTGTTCCCCGCTCTGAATAACTCAATAAGAAATGATTAAGGATAAAATTGTATTTTATTGAATATAAAGCAAAGGTATGGTATGTTCATAGATATAAGAAAGTGACCATATGCTTTTGAATTAAATTATCCAAGGGTGGTCATTAACATACAGTGCAACAAGATTATTACTTATAGTTTCGGAATTTAAATTCAGGTAACATTGTGGTCCGTAATAGAAAATAATTTTATACCTACCTGTGTTTAATATTCTTTGGTTTGGTATACTACTTAGTCTAAGTTTATTAGTAATCATTCTTATTTCGTGTGTAATACAGCGTGTGTTGAATCGTGTGCGAATTATGCAAAATGTAGTGTATCTCAGGAGATGCTCCCACCCAAATGTAGAAAACACTATTCTATTGAGACTAAGGAAGTTATAAACAATGTTTATTTGATTTTCATTGAACGTGGTGCCAGCAAGCAAGCATATTTAGAAGAAACGGCCACATTGGCGAAAATTCCAACATCATCTGTATGGAAAATTGTGATTAATCGCATTTCAGCGAGGGAAAAAAAGCGAGGCTGACATTTTCTCGAGTGTAGATGAAAGTGATCAAGACACAATACGGCGTAAAATTTACCATTTATACGAGGAACAAAACGTGCCTACATTAGATATCTTAGAATTAGGAGGCTTGAAAAAGAACATGGGTTTTAGATTTAAAAAAATTGATAAAAGGAATGGAATCTTTTAGAATCCAGAAATGGCGACTGGATTATCTGGAAAAAAATAGGATTTACAGAGACCAACAAAGGCCAATTATTTTATTATTATTATATTATATATTATTATATTAATATTATATTATTATTATATTATTATAATATTGTTATACTATATTTTTTTATAATTTGTTATTTTATTTTAGACTTAAACATAAATACATACATAAATAAATAAATATTGTTTAGTATCTTTCCTAACAAAACCCCAGATAATTAAATTCTAAGCAAAGTACGGACTTGTTCGGCCATATTTCATTCTTACAGCTTGCCCGGGTCTTTCCTTAATTCGTATCAGTTAGTCACTTTCTTATATCTATGAACAGACTTTACCTTTCACCACCAAAAATGTAATTAGACCATTGGTGGTTATTACAGAAAACAATTGAAACAAATTCTAAAGGTGATTACCAAATTGTGTTTCAAGAAAACACTTAAGTAATTAGAAATAATAGATGAAACTAAATCTAGAAAATTAGGAGAGGTTGATATCTAGATATTTTTAGAAAAAGCTCCTTTATTTACCCAATCATCCAATTACAGTAGTGGAGCCTAGTTATTATCGCAATATACGTTAATAAAAATCTTTAAAAAAAATACCTAAATCTTCCAAATATCGACGAACACAAATTTTCATTCGGTACCGAAATACTTAATTGCCTAACTAAAGAAAGCCTATTTGGTTATCTGATATCGTAAATTGTTACTCACTTAATTCGGCCTTTCATATAGGTTTTTATTCAAAAATTTTGCAGATGCCGGCGTAATAATTATATATGCCAACAAAATGTGTATGGTTTCCTTTAAAATTATCTTTAGCAACGCGAGAAAACCAGAGGAGAATTACGTCTGTCGTTATGACTTATTTCGTCATTTTGACGTCGCGGCCTACTAAGGTATTTTATCGGAACCTCACACCCACGCCAAAAAATAATCACTGAACGTCTGTTTTGTTAATTAATTTCATTGTGGCAATTTCATCCGGAATGCGAAAACTTCGCAAACCCGCATAGAATTACTATTTTGAGAACGAAACCAGTGTCGTGCGCTTAAATTCGGATGGATACAAGTAGGTAAAATTGGGATCTTGATACGCATAGGTGATCAGTTTCTAAATTTCATAAAGTTTCACTTGTTAGGTGCCGAAAAATAGCTTTAGTCCCGGTAATAAACAATAAAAGGGTTACAAAGTATACACACAAACGCACAGTCTATCTTATACAATTCAATTCAATATGGCGTCCCAGGGCAAACGAACAAGGTAAATGACGTTTCTTTATAAGCAAAACTGTTGGTTTTTTAGCAAATATTCCCATTTTGTGACTTTTGAAAATGTTTAGGTAAATCTAAAATTGACAAAGCCTCTTAATTTTTGGTCTTAAAGTATATTTTGCTTTTCTTAGCTCTTGGTAGGTATTGGGTGAAAACATTCGTCAGTGTAATAATACTATATTACAAAAAATATAAAATTCGCCATAAGCTTTAATGAATCATAAATGATACACGATACAAAAATATTATACTTGAATCGAATCGAATATGTTCCCATTACCCACCACAGCATTAAGTGGCTTCAATCTTATTCAACTTATAAAGTCCGCACTTAAGATTACCTTAAACACCCTGTAACATGTAACAGCTTTGTTGAGCCACCCTGTATACTTTAAAATAATTTCTTATAACTTTTGAAACCAATGACGTAATTAAGTTTTCATTAGTTAATCGAATGTTATATGTCTTTATTGTCCACAGGTGCCGCCTGGTGGTCGATGGCCTCTCACCTAGCAGCCCAGGACTACCTAGCTCGATTGCAAGCGTCCGGTTTGAATTTCCCAATGGGAAACCCTGCCGATCCGTATTCCGCGTTGGGAATCTCGTCGCTGGCGACTCACCACAAGTCCTCAAAAAACTCCAAATCTCTTTCTTCGAGGTCCGGCTCGAATAGCGCACGAGAGAAGGTCTCTACGTCATCTACGGGGGCCCACAATTCGCATAAACTCAACTCCACACTGACATCGAGGTAAATAGTATTAAACGGTGTTTTATGTATCCCAGAACAGTACTGGTCGTAGAGTCAGTTAATATGATTGAAAATGAAGAAATGATTTCAATGATAAGACGCATTGCAACTACAAAGGAGATCTAGATTATAACATTTTCAATAATAATGTATAAATATTAACTAATCAAATATATACAGTGTTTCAAAGACAAGGATGTCTATCATGAAGATAGACATTATATTAGAAAGACGTAAAATTTTAATGTTGCCGTTGAAGATAGCTTTCCGAAAAAAAAAAACGAGATAGTATTTTTTATTATGAATTACAGTGATGTGCCAACCATTGTTTAAATCACCAAAAAGGGTTTACAGGCGCAGGCTACTATAATACTATTTAGAAATCTTCTGGATTCCTCCTGCATACTTACTGGCGCATAATTGGCTCGCATTATAACTTTACTTATTGTTTAAGGGGGCGGAGCAAAAAGAGGGCCATGAAGATTGTCTCGAATGACTCGAATGACTCATTCTCTGACAATTAAAAACCATTAAATTATACTATTAAACACTAATATTCTAGTCCACTGCGATAAAAACCGCGATACACGGTTAAAAAACCCTATTTTGTTACCAATTTTTTTGCATAGATATTCAATATGATTACTAAAGCATAATTGTGGATCCAAGATCACCCCTAAATATTTAATTTCGGAAACAAACTCAATTTTATTACCCTGTATATCCACAGGATACCCCGACTTATAAAATTTTTGCCAGTTAACCTTAGAACCGATAACCATGCACTTGGTTTTGGAGCTATTTAATTTCAGTTTATTTTGACACAGCCGTTCGTAGAAATACTGCATTTCGGTGTTCAGTATGGTAACTATTTTTTTGCAATGGTTTCCAGAGACTAAAATAACCGTGCAAATAAGTTAAGGAGCTTTTAAAAACCTGATACATATCATTTATATGCGATACCGATCCGTTCGAATATTTTGTTGTGTTTCTCCAATATTTACTTTTAATAAAACTTCGGAATTCCTCCTGCGTCGGTATTTGTTGACTCGAACTAGCTAACGTTTCGCCATTCCTCCTGTTGGCTTCTTCAGAGCTTGACTGAAACTTGAGAGGGGCGGAGCTAAATGAGGAGCATAAACATCGTCTCGGATGATTGATTCTTGTATTGGTGACAGTTAAAGACCTGAGTCGCGGTTAAGATTGTTCGGTTACTTCTAGATTTCTATAGACTCTCGGATTTTTCCTTGGTAGAAGAATTGATTACATGCAAGAATTTTAGCTTTATCGAATAAAACTTTATGTTCGGTTTCGTGATTGTATTCGGCAACTGCTGTGATGAGTTCATTTGTTTTAGTCTTAAAGATCTTTTACGTTCTTTAAGCCTAGTTGATATTTTTCGTCCGGTCTCTCCAATGTAATCTTTGCCGCATATGCATGGAATGCTGTAAACTCCTGGCATATCAAATGGCATTTTGTTTTTGACGGATCGAAGATGTTGGGAGATTTTTGAACAAGTGGTAAATCTGGTTTTGACGTTATATTTCTTTAGAACTCTTGATATGTGGTCAATGATGTTTTGAATGTAAAGAACTACTACAGTGGCAAGCGATTTCGTTCTCATTGCTATTGGAAGTTTGTGGTGAAGTGAACGCTTAATATCTTTAAAGTATAAATTATTAGAAAGAGAAAACAGCTGAGGTAAGGTGTTTTAATTATGGGTTCAGTGACTCGGGCTGAGATAAGTTTACGGCTCTGTAAACAGGAGAGTTGATAAGCGATGATTTTTGGGTCGGATGGTTATGTGACAATGCATTAAGGTATCGGCCTGTGTGCGTGGATTTTCTGTAAACACAATGACCCAATGTTAGGTCTGATTTTCTATTGATAAGAATATCTAAGAATGCGAGATTATTATTAGTTTAAAATGCAATGTTAAAACGTATGTTAGGGTATATAGAGTTTAAATGTCTAAGAAAATCTACTAGGGATTATTGACAATGAGGCCAAATAATAAAAATATCATCGACGTAGAATTTCCACAATTTTGGTTATAGGTGCAAGGTTTCGAGAGCTTTCTTCTCGTAGGCTTCCATAAATATGTTTGATATCACTGGTGATAATGGAGAACCCATAGCTGTTATTTGTTCAAAAATCACCGTTATAAGAAAAATATGTAAAAAATAGATATCTTAATTAGGAGGCTTGTAAAAGATGAAACTGGTGTTAAATGTGGCAGCAAATTCTGTTAAACATATAGAAAAAGCAGAACAATCGTAAATCCATATTGCAAATAATATAGAACAAATAATAATTAGAACAGGCGATGATTTGCGATAGTGGTACTGATATATTATGTACTTAAGTAATTTTAATTAATTTGAGTAGGTAATAAAAATAATTTGTAATTTTATTTTAGGTTTAAACAAAAATTCATACATAAATAAATAAATATTGTGTAGTATCTTTCCTAACAAAACCCCAAATAATTAAATTCTAAGCAAAGTACGGACTTGTTCAGCCATATTTCATTCTTACAGCTTGCCCGGGTCTTTCCTTAATTCGTATCAGTTAGTCACTTTCTTATAAATTTAAATTAAAATTAAATATTTTTTTTATTTACATTATCACTACAATATAGTTTAACCTAAGAAAAATAGTAACACCAACACTTACAAATAACACTTACAGTTGCTAAACTACCAAGTTTTGATTAAAAACAGTCTTCTTTACTTTGCAATTAAAACTACTGAGAGAGCCAGAAAATAAATCAATATGCTCGTTATTTGTGAGTAAAATATTTGTCAGCTTGCACATTCGATTCATAATCGAGTTAATGCCATATTTGGTCCTATGAAAATCAATGATAAAAAGAGCCTTATTTCTTGCATTAATAGGAGAAATATGAAAACCAACAGATGCCAGAAGATCTGGCGAATCCATCAAGTTATTAATTATTTTGTATAATGTAGCTATGTCAAAACATATGCGCCTACTCTCCAAAGATGTCAGATTCAAAAGCTTCATAATCCCCTCGTTGTTTATATCGTCAAATGACATTCCCAATTTAAAACTTATCCCTCTAAGGAACTTACGCTGCACACGCTCTATTCTTTCCTTGTGAATTGCATAGTATGGTTGCCAGACATAGCTAGCATACTCTAAAATTGAACTCACAAGCGCACAGTACAGCTCCCTATACGTAAAGATGTTCTCAAAACCCTTCAAAGTATCTAGCTCTAGCTCTGTTTTGTACATCAAAAGACAATAGTGTTGCTTTAGAAGGGATTTTGATATCCTTAATTTTGTTGTTAAAAAACAATAAAACGAAATGTCCAAAATCCAAAAAATCAGGTCTCTACAGGTTGAAATGTTTATCTTATCCTAAGAAGAAGAAGACATTTTTGACGTCAATTTTGATATATTACATACAGCCACAAAAAGTAGAAAATTAAATTTATTGGAAGCCATGGAGTGCCACAGTGAGACATTCAAATTTATTAATTAACTATCAAATAGATTTAAATGCCTCTCCTTTATTGAACTGAAATTCTCACAACAACATTAATTAAGGTTATACGGTCATTTTTCGGTATATGTAGTAGCAGGCAGTTTGCAAATATTACATTTGATAAAGACACGGTGTTGTGGAAACAATTGTCGTTAGTTCTTAATTTTTTGTCTTGTCTGGAAAAAACGGAGAAGAGAAACAAATGTAGTTAGAATTGAACATTTTCACTGAAAATTTGAAAATGTTTTGTTGTGCTTCTCCAATGTTTGTTTTTTTTTTTTAGCAGCAAATCGTCTTCGTCGAGTAACGCCGCTCTGAAATACTCCTCGCCGTCGGGCCTGACAATACAACCCAGTATAAAGTTGCCGGCGACGAATGCGGTGGGTGGCGGGGAAAAATCGCGGAAATCGGGCAGTGCCGAGTTGAGTTACCTGAACAAACTCGAGAGTAAACAGAAAAACAGTGTCAGTGGCGGCGGCGCGAGTGCCAAACCGTCGTCCCCTTCGCCGAGCATATTCACCAATCCCCTAAGTTTGGTCAGTAACGCGGAAAAGGGCGTCTCAATTTCAAATTGCGGCGGCCAAAATTCCGCGAACAACGTCAGTGGTGCCTGCTTGCCATCGAGTATTTTAAGGTGAGTCAACCGGCAAAGTTTCAAAGTAAAATTTTGCGTCGGTTTTTGTCCAACTTGCTAAAGTCCCGCCAATCATCCTGTTGACTCCTGGCTCGCATTTTACTCTGTACCCGCTTTTATATTGTTTGAGGGGGGCGGAGCTAAATAAGGGGCAAAAACATCGTCTCGGATGACTGACTCTCATATTGGTGACAGGTAAGGACCTGAATCGCGGTTAAGATTGTTTGGTTGCTTATAAATGTCGTTGGTAGAAGAATTGATTACATTCAAGAATAAGAAAAAATATTCTTTTGGTTTGTCTGCAAAATGAGCTAAAAGAGGCTCTTTTAATTCAACTTCGTCGTTAAACCGCCGTCCACGTAAGTCCTTTTTCAAATATCCAAACATATAATAGTCGCTCGGAGCCATATCTGGACTATAGGGAGGATGATCTATCTGTTAGAACCCACACTCTAAAATGGCAGCTTGTGCAACACCAGCAGTATGGACAGGTGCATTATCGCACGCCTCTGGTCAGTTTTCCTCGAAGTTTTACACGTATGCAGTCTCGCAATTTATGTAATAATGTTGCGTAGTATTTACCATTGACAGTGGTATTAGTTTCTTTAAGATCTATCAAAAGAATTCCTTCACAATCCTAAAAGATCGTGGCCATCACCTTTTTTGTTGACTGTCAAACTCTGAATTTTCTTGGAGGTGCTTCACCCTTACGACGCCACTCCATTGATTCTTTTTTCGATAGAGGGTCATAATAGAGAACACAATAGTTTCTATCACAGGCTTCGGCTTCGACCCACAGAGTTCCAAAAAAGACCGCGCACAGTCGACACGGCGTTGTTTTTGAATAGCCGAAAGGTTTTTAAGAACCCTTCTTGCACTAACCTTATGCATACCTAAATGATCATGCAGGATTCGACGAACACTTGTATCAGAAAGCCTGAGATTTCCTTGACCTTTAAACGTCGATCACTCAATACCACCTCTTTCACAATCGCAACAATACCTTCCGTTATGACTTCCACTGGTCGACCAGTTTTTGAATCATCTTCAAGGGACTCCTGACCCATTCGAAAACGTTTTGTCCATTCTTTCACTACAGAATACGATTTAGAGTTTCCTTCGTACACACCATCCAGCCTTTCTTTAATAATTTTAGGTGCTAACCCTTTTTTGTCAAAAACTTTATGACTGCTCTATACTCAATTTGCGTTATTTGCGACATTTTTTCGGACACGTCTTGTTTACTACTAACTACTGCACGCAAGACTTCTATTTTTTTTCGCAGCCTACTCAGATATATATTTAAAAGAAGACATCGTGATACTGGAGCTGCATCTATGTCAGGCCGGGAAATTTTGGCGCTAACCTCGTAACAATCCTAACCGCGACTTAGGTCTCTACCTGTCACCAATATGGGAATCAGTCTCTCCTCAAACAATACAAAAGTAGGTCCGGAGTAAAATGCTGGTCAGGATGATTGGCAAGTTTGATTTATCAACATCCGACGCAGAAGTAGTAGCAGTAGCAGTAGCCTGTGGAAGTTTCTTTGTAAAGAAACTTAAATAATTCAAGGTGGACGATTGTTGAAAGATTATACCGAGGGTTTAACCACCGTGGTAAAAATTGCGGCAGTGAAATCAGTGATTTCCGTACGATTTCTCAGAATATTATTCCTTATTTATACCTTACAGATGAAAAATCTTCAAAATATTAATAATATTACCCGAAGCATAATAAACGATTTTAATACCTCGCAAATCTCATCCCAAACAATATCTACCAAAAGCAAGCGAAATGTTAATAACAAAGACAAAAATGACTCAAGAAAAAACACCGTTTTCAAATTTTCTACGAAACTTATGAATATTGTTAGCAAAAAAATCATTTTCACAACATACTGCACATTGGGGAAAAACATGTTTGTTTTGCTAGAGACTTGGATAGATCACACTCATTTTAAATTGAAGATATCTTACAAATTTATATTGGATTCTTTCAATTTCTTCATTGAAATATTCACAATTCTTGACCCACATTAAGTTTGCGGAACTCCAAATTAGATCTCACATAGGAATAAAATTTTTATTACGTTGGGATTTATTAGCTCCTTTCAATATCTGATGAGAAAACCCAGCATTTTAAAATTTTTGCTAATATTTTTATAACCGTGCATTTTTTTACATTAAAATAAAGTTGATGTGCTCAACTCCATTTAAGTGTGCTGTTAACATCCTGCAATCCCCAACTGAGTATACTGCAACTTAAAATTCAAAATCATCCGCAAAGGATACACATTTACTATGGGATATAACATTATGAAGATCAAATTAGTACCCTGCGGAACTCCTGACAAGACGTCAGATATTGAAGACTCATAGTTATTAAAAACCAAGAATCGGTGAGAAAAGATGATGAGATCATTTTCAAAATTAAAGGCGACTAGTTTTTCTTTTGAAAACAATGCATGAGGCGCCCTGTCAGACGCCTTTGGAAAGTCAATATATACTCAATATGTTTGTTGTTGTTGGACGCCCTTTCATAAAACCACGCTGATTTGGACTTATTATATTATATATTCTATTAGTTATTTAAGATATTAGAATTTTAATGAATAGTTTATATTTTCTCCTCTTATGATGAGAAAACAGGGCCCGTTTTAATCGTAAAATAGGCAATTGATCTTCGGCTTTTTTTCTGGAACACTATTCAATTTTTTAGTCTTGTTAGTAATTTTTTTTTATTTTGCTGAATTGTCCTGGAAAATAAAGACGTATTTATTTATTTCTGTTAACTTCGTGTTTCTGGTCTTTTCTCTAAGCTCTAAGGAACATCTTAAACATTTCGTGACCTGAGATTGCTTGGGTAATATGTTTCTGTGTTTACATTTTATCCATTTCTTAATGTCCGAGGTTTATCTCTGTCCATTCCAATAGTCTTTATTCCTCCATTGTTGTCTCTTTCACCCCGGAGTGAGTCTTACCTTGCCCCTTTTCATGTTCATTATTTCCCTCTTTCGTTATCAAATCTATTGAGGTTATTCCTGCTATAACCTGCAGTGCCACCGCTGTTTTGAATGCAGCAGCATTAAGCCCCACGTTGGGTTTTTCGGGCTTTTTACTTTTAGTGCTTCCGCCCGTATAGTTGTTGCATACACTAGCACTTAGCGCAGCACACCGCACAGTATGTTCAGCACAATGTTCTTATCCACAGACGATACCAACAGTCCGCAAAACAGTCAATCTTTGCTCATGCTTGTAATTTAATTTTAAATAGGTCCTTGTACAAGATATTCCAAAGTGTCGGTCCTAGTACGGATCCCTGCGGTACTTCGGTTTTAATTTCGAGTGTTTCCTGTTTAGCTATATTTCGATATCTTTCTCGTTGTTAGTTTTTGCAGTATCAAATTCCCGTTAGCTGCGGACATCCAGTGTTTTTTCGCTTCCCTTTTATTACTGCCAATAATCATTTTTATCATAATTGAAAGGTTTATTCGAATATTGAAGAGGAAAACATAGAACGTTGCCCAGAAAAATTTTATTTCGCACCCTTAAAACCATTAAGATTTTTCTTATAAATTATATGACAATGTCAATATGACAAAGTTTATTTCCTTTTAAATTCCGTTAAAATAAGTATAAATTTAACTTTGGCAACGTTGCACTTTAAAGAGCATACTGGTTCATTTTATCCCATTTCGACGCGTTTTCGGAGGTATTTTGTATTTAAATTCTGCAATTTTGTGCAACCGGAGGAGAGGGAGTTATACTGTGTAATTTTATTTTTTTTTACATTAAATGTCAACAGAAGGGCAGGGTATGAGGAAGTATAGGTTCAGCAATAATAAAATTTATTAAAAAATGAAAACATAAGTTTAACAGTCAAAGAATGTCAAATTATAAAATATGAAAACTCAAAATCTGGTATAAATATTAAAAATCACTCACGTTTGTAAGATAAAAAAAATTAAAATATTATTTTTCTTCCATATTTCTGGTCCGATATCTCCCTAATGGTTGACTTTTGACCCAATGTTAATATATAACAAACTATTTTAAACAAAATTCAAAACATTCGCAGCCTATATCTACATTTCGAGACACCCTGTTTAGTGCTTACATGCATATTGCTGTAATGCTGTAATGCTTTAATATTACTGAGAAAAAAAAACTAATATCATCGATAACCTCATTCGAAACCAAAACACGAAACTTTTTTTCATTTTTCATTGGTTAACACCCTGATTACGTCACCCGTCAAAGAATATCCTTTGACAGTATTTCGCTTAGTGGTTAATCCCTCGGATTATACTTAAATTTACGTCGATAAGAAAGCGTCACAGTAATATTAAAAAAATATGTATTACAGTTGAGTTAGTATAGCGGTAATTTCAAACGGCTCGATTTGTAGGCAAATTTTAAAGGAAATTTGTTCTTAATCACCAACTTAACCTATCAAATGCATTTATTTTGACGAGAAACTGTATAACTGAAACGAACTGTATAAATAATACGACTATTTTATTACGGCCTTCCATTAAAAATGTTTTGAGTATATTTGAGGCTGCCAGATTCATTCATTCCGTGTAGCAAAAAAAATTAACGTATTTGATTGGCGAAGTAATTTATTATACGCTTTATTTACGTATCAAAATTGAGTTTCTTCTTTTCTTCGTTATAGCTCTATAACAAAGGACATTTCGTTGCCTGGAGTTATATCAACTTTTGTAATTAAAACGAATTAGTATTGTAACATAGCCACCGGCGTATTTTAGAAATGTGGATGAAAAGTTATGGAAATTTAACTTTCCTTTCTTCTTTATTTTATTAATATATAAATAATTTAAAAATGATAATGAAAAAATGTTTTTTTTTTCGAAAAAAAAAAACTTTTTACAGGTAATAAAAGCGATTTTTTTGGAAACCAGTGTTAACAAAACCCGAATTTTCCATTGAGGCGCGAAAGTTGGACCGAAGTTATTTTCCGCCGGCTTGGGCACACCTACATTCGCTTTCGACTGTTTTCTCTGAGAAGTTTGTGTGGTTTCTCACTCTCCGGATATTTTTTTTTATTAAACTTTTCAGTTTGCTAGCAGATCCGCTCAGGTATTTCTATACATTTTTGACATTTTTGGTGTTGAGTATGCCTCGAAACAATCAATTGAGATTGAACGTTATATTCGCGTCTTGGATTAGTCTTTATCTTATCAGTACGAATTTACATTTACACTATTGACAGTAATAATTGTTAATAATAACGCGATCCGGTCAAAATATAACAATTACAGCGTTTTTATTGTGTGCTTTTTTTTCCTTTCCCAGTGCCGCCCTGGAAGGTAGCAGGTGAGCGCTCACGTTCTCCTTTGTGTCTCTGTGTGTGTGTGCCTGTGTGTGTCCGTGTATGTATTCTTGCGAGTAATTTGCGTTTTTCGTTGTACCGTGGGGTTTAGTAGGGAATATTTGTTTTTAACCGCCAATATCCGTGCGGTTATAGCAATGTAGTAGCGTTTTTATGCCTGTGATATGTGCAAGAACATAGAAGGCACTTTGGGAGGTGACCAGGGCGAAATGGCTAATGAAATGGAAACGTTTTCGCAAGTCTCCAATAAGTCTTCAAGACTTGAAGTATAATTTCATAATATTAAATGTCAGTGTTAACATTGTTAAAAATGTTTTATATAATTTTAACTCAAAAGAGACTTTTTAGAGCGCCTCAATAAAATGGGTTATGAAATTGTAATATTTTGAAACTTTTGGGTAAGTCTTGATTACCGTTTGTAAGCTTTGGATAAATGATAAGTGGGGGGGGGGGGGTAGAGCCTTGATAATCTTGCAGGTTTTCAAGACTTCAACTATTATTTAGATCAATATTAGATGCTACCGCTAATATTTTACATACTTTTATTTTTATATTAATAAATCAAAAGACACTTTTCTAGGTTTTGGATAAGATTTGGTGTAGCATTTAATAATATTATATGTTACTGTTAACATTTCATATATTTTTATTATAGAGCAAAACAATAAATTCGGGATTGTCCAATAATAATGTGTGAATAAAGCTCAATAGATTTGGAAGTGGATGTTGACGTAAAAATACCGACCAGGACTTACGCAAAAACTACGTCAAGATAGTACACATCAAATACACAAAAAAAACGTTCAAACGACCCTAGGGAAACCTAGCGGTATCATATATTATTAGTAAAGTTTAAGTTAAGTTTAGTACTACCTAATCTGTCTGTTTAAGTCAATATGGTTTTAACCTATGTCGCAGTTTTTATTGTATTAGTTTAAAATCCATTTTAAGGGCCTCCTCGTCGTTTTAAATGATAGCTTGGCTTCATAATAAAAACCAAATTCACTTTGCTCTCTCTGAATGCATTATTATTGTACCAGTAGCCCATTACTGCCTCTACACTTTTATCTATATAGAATTAATTAGAAGTGAAGGACAGTAACGGAATCGCCATAATTAGATGAACCGTAGTAAAGGGACCAACAAAAGATGTTCAAGGTCACAGCAAAGCGGCAATAATTTATTGTTACATACAGCTCTCGCCCGCGAACGCAGGCTTCATGATACAAAGAAAAACAAGTTGAAAAAAAAAACAGGAAACTTACATAACGCGCCTATTTCAACCACTAAAACCAGGGGGATGACATATTTTTTTCCCATATAGGTTTATCACAAACCCCAACATAACCTTTGACGAACATACTTACATTCACCTTTTTTTCAATATAATTTCCGAAAAATATTTACTTGAGATTGACACTCAACAAAAGCGATTGTAAGTTACAACCTAACATGACAAATCTAAGTGTGTATGTGTATGTTAAAAAAACCTCTTCAAACTAATTTGTTGTTGCAATAGGCTCAACCGAAAGAAAGGATTAACGAGCATAAAGGAATATGTTCCCATTATGAGTACCACAACATTAAGTTGCTTTAATTTGTTGATCGTCACCCTTGTAAAGTTATAAAGACTGAATCCACTTTTAAAATGTCTATTTTAAAATATTAATTAACAAATGCTGGTGAAATTTGAACTGTTACACACAAGTTATAATAACATAGCAAACAATTACCGAAGACATACATCTGTTTTAATGAAAAGTAGAAGTAAAATTAAAAAAAAAAAAATGTTAAATCAGAACATTGGTTGCAATACCCAATTTAGAAACTAAATTTACATATTCAAAAAGAAAACATTTTGTTCCACATGTTTCCCGCTCACGTTGGATTATGTGTCTACCTTCGTCAACACCATTACATAGTGCAATAGAGAAGAATTTATCCAAGGCTCTGCATGGTTTAGGGACGACCATATAACAAAGTCGCAATACTGCGGATTTGACACAAATATTTCAATCTGAATTTGATAATAATAAATATGATCATGCGTGACATGTGACATACTTGTCCCTCATTTTCAATTCATTCATTTAATTCATTTCAATGTAAGATACTCGTCAATGTCTACCATATGATTTGTTTTTAATGAATACCGGCACCGACTTTTACAACAAAGTCAGATTTAAAGTAATTATAAGATTGGAAACTCTTAAAAGCCTTCATCTGCTCTTTAGTATAAAAGCTATGGGAAAACGCCATATAACTTATAATATCCATATTGGTGACTGGTGGAACTCTATTAATTGAATAGTCTAAATTAACCAGCTTCATTTGATATCTACAAAAAAAAACATCTCATAAGCTAAGCAACACTAATTATTTTGCAGTTTTTTTAATATCAGCTTTCACCAATAAATTTTTTCAATAATGTCCTTCCATTTCAAAATAACCAACACACAAATAGGATCAAAATAAGAACTAAAAGTTCAGATTTTCACGAAATTATATATTTTTACATGACAATTGTTTCGACAAAACCGGGTCTTTATCAAATGTAATATTTACAAACTATCTGCTACTATATATATATATATATATATATATATATATATATATATATATATATATATATATATATATATATATATATATATATATATATATATATATATATATATATATATATATATATATATATATATATATATATATATATATATATATATATATATATATATATATGTATATATATATGTATATACCGAAAAATTGATCGTTAAGCAGTACATTTGAATGTCTCATTTTGTTAATCTTCATGGCATTCAATAAATTTAATTTTCTACTTTATGTGGCTGTATGTAAAATATCAAAATTGTCGTCAAAAATGTGTATTTGTGTGTATAAGTGTAGTATAATTAGAATCTAGACTATTGTTTTTAAACGCTCTTTTATGTTCGTTAATGCGGATCTACCTGTTTGTCCAATATAAATTTTAGGACATGATCCCCATTTCAACATGTAGGCATCTGATTTTTGAGATTTTGGACATTTCGTTTTATTTTTAAACCACATTTTGACAAATGTTTTGAAACTTTTTCACTAAGTTCTCCTATGTATGTCATTGTTCTAAATTGTTCGTGTTCTGTATAAGGTTGATTTGAGCTGTTAACTATGACTGTGTCCGTGTGTGAAGGTTTGATGATCATAAACCTTCACACACGAAGACAGTCATACATAACAGCTCAAATCAACCTTATACACACAAAATGGCTGCGTTTAACTCTTTTATACACAGACTTCTTAATACGCCACTCTCAACAGAAAATTACAACAAAGAACTTATTACCATTAAACAAATTGCACTGAACAACGGCTACAATCCGTCCATTATAGAAAAAATTAAAAATAAAAAACAAATACAGACAACAGTAAACTCTATTTAATCGAAACTTAATACAGAACACGAACAATTTAAAACAATTACATACATAGGAGAACCTAGTGAAAAAGTTTCAAAACATTTGTCAATTGTGATTTAAAAATAGCTTTCAGAAATAACAACCCAATAGGAAAATATTTAAAAAACAATAAAACGAAATGTCCAAAATCCCAAAAATCTGGTGTCTACAGGTCGAAATGCGGATCTTGTCCTAAAATTTATGTTGGACAAACAGGTAGATCCTTCAAGAAACGCATTAACGAACATAAAAGAGCGTTTAAAAACAATAGTCTAGATTCTAATTATGCTACACACTTATACACAAAAAAAAACACATTTTTGACGACAATTTTGTTATTTTACATAGAGCCAAAAAAAGTAGAAAATTAAATTTATTGGAAGCCATGGAGGTTAACAAAATGAGACATTCAAATGTATTGCTTAACGATCAATTAGATTTAAATACCTCTCCTTTAGCGAACTTAAATTCTCACAAAATTAATTAAGGTTTTATGGTCATTTTTCGGTATATGTAGTAGCAGGTAGTTTGTAAATAATACATTTGATAAAATCTGAACTTTTAGTTCTTATTTATTTTGATAAATGGATTTTCATCAAGTAAAAGCCACCTCGGTTCAATTTCACAATTAGGATGCTTCAAAAATCGATTTGAACACTTCAAAACTCACCACACAAGTGGTTTTCTACCTGACCTACTACAATTGTTTTTGATGGCCTAAAAAGTGAATGTGTTTCAAGTAGGTCCTTTGAAGGTTATGTTTTAGTTTATGATCAACCATGGGAAAAAAATATGTCATCCCCTCTGGTTTTAGAGTTTGAAATGGGCACGTTGTGTAAGTTTTTGTTTTTTTAAATTGTTAACTCTGATGGAATGTTTTTCTTCATATTATTTAGTGAAAGTTTGATGTAACAATAAATTGCCGCTTTGCTTTGACCTCGAACATCTATTATTCCACCATTTACTACGGTCCATTTAATTGAGACGATCCTAGAGTAAACCAATTGTCGTGTATATATAATTTTAATTCACTAACTTCAATTAAAAAAAAGTGTATGTGGGTAGACCAGGAAAAGTATATTTTGCTATATGTTAACCTTTCAAAATGGTTTAAGTATATATACTTTTTTTTTTCATTAAAATAATTTACCCTCCTATTGCTGTCTGTGTCAGTAGAGAATGGTTGCATTTTTACGCCTTTATTGCCGTTCTTGTCTCACGGTGTTGTGAAGTTCCGGATACTTGATGATATACGAGGTGTGTTCAAAAAGTAAGGTGACTTTTAAGTTTTATCAAAAAATATTCGTTTATTCATCAAAATTAACGACGTCCCTTGCAAAGTAACCCCTCCAGATATAATACACTTGTGGCAACGTTTTTTCCAATGTTCGAAGCATTTCTAGTAAGCACTTTCTGGTATAGGCTTAAGTTCTTCATCTCTTCAATCGTTCTAACCCTCCTTCCTTTCATGGGTTTCTCGAGTTTTGGGAACAGAAAAAAGTCGCAGAGGGCCATGTCCGGTAAATATGGTGGCTGAAGTAGGATTGTGGTTTAGTTCTTGGCCAAAAAATTAGACACAAGCAACGATGAGCGAGCAAGTGCATTATCGCAAAATCAATAAATAGTTTTCCCACAATTGCGGACGTTTTCTTCGTATTGCTTCTCGCAAAAGGCATAGCTTCGATGTAAGGTTGTGGTAAGGACTCTTGATGTACAATGCCATGATAATCAACGAAAATGATAAATGAAATGGTGCATACATGCTATTACGCGCAAACATTACTAAAACTACGCTTGTAATTGATATAAGCATTGCATGATTATATGTTCGATTCATAGTAAATTACATTTATATAAAAGCAAAAGCTAATTCACACTAATATTAATATTAATATAAGAATCTTTTATCATTTTTTGGAGGCTTTTTACATTCAGCAAATTTTTGGTGTCTGTCCGCAGAGCATTGAACATTCGAAACCCATCACTAAAGAGGCCTTTTTGCATTTGTAGAGTTTCAACAAACTGAACATTATAAGAATGTCTGTACGCTCCAGGAATTAAATCATCTTGTAAGTAGGATGGAAGTAATTATTTTTTTATTTTATATAACAGCAAAACGTTAGAGAACTCAATGCTCTGAGACACCGAGAAAAACCCTAAAGACCCAAGTATTACACTAATGGGAGTGTAACGTGTACATCCCAGAATAGCCCGCATGGCTTTATTTTGTAACACTTCTATTCTATGAACATCACTGTTTCTCCAAGAAATCAAAAGCGAATTACAATACCAAAAATGAGGGCTGATAATCGCAGTAAAAACAAGACATCTGCTCCAGTGTAATCTACATGTTGTGAGAATCTAGAACTACTCCCAGATACTTCATTTGTGAAACATTTCCTATTACAATTACAATATATTACGATTTTGCTAACTCCCAAATACCATATATGCTGTTTTATTTAAATTTAAATGAGTTTATTTACGCACAACCAGTCACTAAGTAACCTTAGTTGCGAGTTCGTATTGTCTACCGCTTCGAAGTAATTTTTCCCAGAAATTGATAGCAAAGTGTCATCCGCCTGAAGGTTGAAAAAACAATTTTTGAAAATTTTGTCTAAATCACATATAGAATAAAAAGCACTGCTCTGGGGCACACCTATATTGTTTTCTAACACCACACTATTAATCCTCGTTACATGGACTCTGTCACATAGATAATCAACTATCCGCACAAACATATTTTCTCTGATCGTATATACAAACAGTTTATCCACCAGACATCCTCTATCAATAGTCTCAAAGGCTCTTTGAAGATCAATGAACACAGTTAAAACTATATTACCGTCATGAAGTAAGTAAAACCTCTACATTAGCAAAGCCCACCCAATTACAAAAGTCACCTTACTTTTTGAACACACCCCTAAGAGAAAACCTCCAAAATTTGTTTCGCTGGATATCGTTTCTCGTTTTTCTTCGTTCATTGTTCGTGTTGTAGCGTTATTAAACTGACACTGTGCATGTTTTACAGTGATCCTAATTCAATTTTGGGCGGTGTTAGGTTGCCACCCGATACCGAGATTATAAAGTATACGTCGTCGATTGTGGGGCCCAAGATACCGGGAACAACGAACCGGGGCCGAAAGAAGACGATTTCCCTGGATCCCCCTTCCGTCAGTGTGCTCCCGTCTCACTCCAGTACCGGATTGCTAATCGAGAGGACGACGAAAAAGCCAAAGCTAAGCGTGAGTTTTTTTACGATATACTTATTTAAATTCCCATCAATGATCATCAATTACCATTACTCTTGCTTCGACAGGTAACTAAAGATTATTTTGTAATGTTCTTTTCATTAAATCTGCATTTAAAAGGACAATAACATTTTTTTTTTCTTTAATAAATTCTGGAACATATTCAAAATATGGGAACACTCGCCATTGCATCACCTAATCCCAAAACAAAAATATCAAAGCAAGTAATCTAAATAAAGTTGCTCAAATTTGTATTTTAATATCACATTTCAGTTTTAGTAATATATATTGTTTGAGGGGGGCGGAGCTAAACGAAGGGCATACACATCTTCTCGGGTGACTGATTCCCATATTGGTGAAAGGTAAAAACAGGAGTCGCGGTTAAGATTGTTTGGTTGGTTATGGATTCCTATAGATACTTGGATATTTCGTTGGTAAAAAAGTTGATTATATGGAAGAATTTTAGTTTAATCGAACAAAATTTGATATCTGCTTTCGTGATTGTGTTGGGCAACTGCCGATGAGTCTATTTGTTGTATTCTTATGCCGGATATGCATTGAATATTGTAAACTTCTGGTAACTTCAACGAAATTTTGTCTTGAAGATGTTGAGTGATTTTTGGACAGGTGGTAAATCTGGTTTTGACTTTATATTTCCTAATAACTTTTGATACGAGGGCAGCGGCAAAATTTCCCGGCCTGAATATGAAAGAAAGAAAGCAAAGTAACAATTTTTTATTATTTTTCAATATAATCCCCCTTAACTTCAATACAACTCAATCCCTTTAAAAATATATTCTTTTGCTTTGTCTGCAAAATGAGCTTAAACAGCCTCTTTTAACTCAACTTCGTCGTTAAACCGTACCACCACCACCACATAAGTCCTTTTTCAAATATCCAAACAAATAATAGTCGCTGGGGGCCATATCTGGACTATAGGGAGGATGACCCATCTGACGCACGCCTCGGGTTAGTTTTTCTAGACGTTTTACACGTATGCAGTCTTGCAAATTATTAAATAATATTGCGTAATATTTACCATTGGCAGTGGTATTAGTTTCTTTAAAATCAATCAAAAGAATTCCTTCACAATCCCAAAAGATCGTGGCCATCACCTTTTTTGTTGACTGGCAGACTCTGAATTTTCTTGGAGGCGCTTCACCCTTACGACGCCACTCCATTGATTCTTTTTTCGATAGAGGCCATAATAGATAACCATAGTTTCGTCTCCCATCACAATAGTTTCTATCACAGGCTTCGGTTCCGACCCACAGAGTTCCAAAAAAGACCGCGCACACTTTTGAATAGCCGAAAGGTTTTTGGGAACCCATCTTGCACTAATCTTATGCATACCTAATTAATCATGCAGGATTCGACGAATACTTTTATCAGAAAGCTTAGTAATTTCTGAGATTTCCTTGACCTTTAAACGTCGATCACTCAATACCACTTCTTCCACAATCGCAACAATATCTTCCGTTATGACCTCCGCTGGTCGACCAGTTCTTGAACCATCTTCAAGCGACTCCTGCCCCATTCGAAAACGTTTTGCCCATTCTTTCACTACAGAATACGAAGGAGAACTTTGGCCGTATCCAGCCTTTCGTTAATAATTTTCGGTGGTAACCCTTGTTTTGTCAAAAACTTTATGACTATTCTATTTGCGTTATTTGCGACATTTTTTCTAAAGCGTCTTGTTTAAAATGCTGTCAATAAAAAACTATTTGACGCAAGACGCTGCCAACTAAGATATATATTTGAAAGAAGAAAAAGTTTTAGCGTGATAAGGGAGCCGCATCTATGTCAGGCCGGGAAATTTTGGCGCTAACCTCGTATGTATGTAGGATTGCTTTCGGGCTCATTGTTTTTTAGAAGTTTGTGGTGAAGTGTATTTTGTGATGGAACGCTTAATATGGAAATTGTTAGAGAGAAAAGCAGATGTAATTCTGCGTTCAGTGAGACAAGTTGAGATAGTTTTACGGCTCTGTAAACAAGAGAATTGATAACCGATGATTTTTGGCCGCCAATGCCTTAAGGCATTGGTCTGTATGCGTAGGTTTTCTATTAAACAGAATTACAAAATTTAAGGTTATGAAAACACTACACATGATGAACTTATTATTATTTGGCTTCATGGTTCATAAACCCTCCTAGATTTCTTTAACCATTTAAACTCTATACACACTCTAACATACTCGTACGTTTCACCATTGAATTAGAAACTAATAATAATCTATCATTCAGAAAATCAGACCTAACATTGGATGATCATTCTATTTATAGAAAAGCTGCGCGTACACTCCGATTCTTAAATGCATTGTCATATCCGGCTCAAAAATCTTTTGTCTACAGAGATATAAACATATCTCAACTAAACTCAAAACTGTTATCTGCTCTTCGCTCTAATTATATCCACATTAGAGATATTAAGCGGTCCATGACAAAATACACTTCACCACAACAACACATTCAAATATCACGGACCACATATCAAAACCAGATTTACCACTAGGTCCAAAAATCGCAAAAAATGCATTGGAGAGGGAGAACATGAAAGAGATGACTTAAGCAATCGCCGAACACAATCCTAGAACCGGACGTTAAAACTAAAATTCTTGCATGTAATTAATTCTTCTACCAACGAAACATCCGAGAGTCTATAGAAGTCTATAAGCAACCTGACAATTTAACCGCGAATTGGCACCAATATGAGAATCAGTCATCCGAGACAATATTCGCTTATCTTATACAATATAATGGGTGTTTTTTTTCGATGTATAGAACTTTAAGTTGGCATTACTGTTCAAGATGGCGACCGATTTAACAGCAGTCAAGTGATTTATTCTCAGTTTGGTTTGGCAATTCATCATGAATAGACTCACGCCTGAACAACGCTTGCAAATAGTGCAATTTTATTTCGAAAATAATGGTTTTATGCGGAATACGTATCGTGCACTACGTCCATTTTATCGTCGACAAAATCGTCCATCAGAGCAGTTAATTCGATTAACCATGGAACGTTTTCGCACCACGTTTACTCTTATTGATAACTCGCATCATCAGCTTCTTCTGTACGGTGCGTACAGAAGAAGCTATTACTGCTGTAGAGCACAGGAATTGGATCTGTGTCCATCCACTTTATGGAAGATTTGCGGAAGGATCTTGGTTTACGTGCTTACAAAATCCAACTCGTGCAAGAATTGAAGCCAAACGATCATCAAGTAAGGCGTAGACTCGTCGAATGGGACCCGAGATTGCCGTTGGCACTTTATGGGCTGGTGGAATCATTGGTCTGTTCTTCTTCAAAAACGATGATGGCCAGAACGTTACAGTCAATGATGATTACTATGATTACTAACTCTTTCATTCCTGAATTGAATAACCATGATGTCCAGGAGACGTGGTTTCAACAAGACGGCGCAACATGTCACACAGCTCGGCCCACAATCGATTTTTTGAAAGACACGTTTGGTGACCGCCTAATTTCACGTTTAACATCTCTAGACTACTTTTTGTGGAGGTATGTAAAGTCATTGGTCTATGCGGAAGTCACAAACGCTTGACCATTTGGAAGACAACGTTCGCTGTGTTATTGGCGATATAGGGTCACAAATGTTGGAAAAAGTCCGCGCGCGAGCCGTGACGATCATATGCCAGAAATCATATTTAAAATGTAATGCCACAAGATTACCTTTCGGATAAATAACATTCATGTCAGTCGAATAATCGATCGTTGTTTTATTGCAATTTAAAGTTCTATACATCGAAAAAAAAACACCCCTTTTAAGCTCCGAAGAATCCAACAGAGTCATTTGTAAATTGTCTGGAGTAGGTAATCTGAAGTTGCGAGAAGCCTTTTCTTGGTATGTTGCAGCGCCAGTTTACTGAATAAAGAAGCTTATGATAAAAAATAATATGTATATACTTCTCAGGACATCATCATGTTATCATTTGATCACAAACCCTTTATATCAACAGAACAGCGAAACGAAGTTTTTTGTGGCAATTTACTTTCGTGGCCTTCCCAATTTCCGGATCTCAATCCAATTGAGAATCTTTGGACTTAAAAATACAATTGACAAAAAATTGGCAAAAACTTTGTAAAATAATTAAAGCAGAATAAACGAATATATAGACAGAATAAACTATATTCCCGGAAGATGCCATAAAGGTTATAACACTAAGTATTTGTTGACGTTGTGTTGCGTCCGTGTATTGAAAGACTGTATTTTTTTGGCCAGATATTTTTTAAATATTTTTTGATTATTCATTTTGTTAAGTATTTCAGTAATAGAAATTTTAGGTTCAATTTGTTATTACATAAGATTTGTTTTATATCTTAAATGCGACACTAAATGTATTGAAATGGCTCTATTTCATTGGCCACCACAATTTTTATTGAAGGCGTATTATTCAATAGAGCCTACCCTACCCCCTTCGGTTTGAACGTGATACGGGGCAGAGTACAAAAATTTCTTTGTTCTGTTTAGGATCAAGAACTGACCCCGCCGAATACTCCCAATTCCGATCGCGTGGAGGTGATTAAGTTGCCGGCCACCAATGGGAGTCCTTCGGGTATTTCGTCTTTCAACGCTTTCGATTCGGGTGGCGAGGCGCCACTGAACCTGTCGCTGAAACCGAGCTCCTCGGCCAACAATTCGACGAGCTCATTGAATTCCCTAAGCAATATGTCGGCTAATATCGGAATGGAGAGAGTCTGTAAGTTGATTTTTTAACAGTAAACTTACAATAAAACGTACCCTAATTTTGAACTACGAGAGTACGTTTTTTTCCCGGCGATGTTATTTATTTACTTCTTTTTTTACTTTAGATTTAATTTTGTAACAGCTTCCCTTATTTATTTAGTTTTTAGATCATATTTTACATTTAAATCAGAATTGTATGGTAAATTTTTCTAAGGCCTTTTGTGTCGGTTTTAAAGTTAGTTGTTTTTTTTGAATTGCTATCGATTCGTCCAATGTACACACTATCGCAACCCGAACACGGAATTTCATATACTATGTTACTTCTTTTTTCATCTGGTATTTTTGCTTTAATTTTAGAGAAAAATTGTTTTTGCAAATTGTGACCCTTATGACCTATTTTGACGTCATGTTCCTTTAGAATACCTTGGATGGTTTCGGATAGGCCTGCAATATATGGTAACGCTATAGCTGGGGTGCTGGTACCTAGTAGATTTGCTTTCTTTAGCATACCAACTCGTTTTTATACTATTTTTACTGCGGTGCAAGGTCAAATCTAAGAAATTTATTTTGTTTTGTTCTTCTATTTCGACTTTAAATTGTAATTTATGGTTAAATTTATTGAAGTATTCTTGTAACGATTTATTTCTGTCATGTCGATAACTGTATTACTGCGGTCCCAAATCAATTTTTTAGATATTTTTGAAAAAGACCGAATACACCGGTCGAAACGTTAAATAAATTTATTATGAATTAGAAACTTTCTACTTTTGTTTTACGTAACTGACCATAATATATACCCAAGAAGAAAGTCTTGATTTTAACATATACAGAACGGGCCAAGAACAAAAAAACAAGAACCTTGTAGTATAATAACACGCTTTGCTAACAATTCATTTAAGGAAGCTGTCAAGCATCTACCGACAAACTGTTTTTATAGTACTGATAAATGCCTAAATTTCAAATTTTAAATCTGGGTTACGTCTGTGTGCTTTTAAAAATTTCTTTCGTAACTTTCATTGTTTTATACCTTTATTCATATATTGCTTTATTGTCCTTTTATGTATTTGAATACTCTGGTTAAATAAATGTTTTTTTTTACGACAGCACGTCGTAAACCTGGCCCGAAGCCGCGCAGAGTGGTGCCGGTGGAGTCCGCGCAGCCTTCCCCATCGAACTCGAATACCTCGTACAACCAGGCGTACTTGACCGCGGACTCACCACGACCGCCCAGTCGCAACGAGGGCTCCGACGGCGGTAGTTCGACCTCGTCTACGTGCACTTCGCTGCTGACCACCCCGCTGTCGTCGGTGGGCGGGACCGCGTCCACCATGTCGCTGACCACTAGTCAGGGCAGCCACAAGGAGGGCAGACCGCGAAATTTGGGACGTGGCGTCAGCAAACCGAAGAAGAACACGGTGGCATCGCTGCTGGCCCAAAGTCGGGCGTTGGGTAAGAAAACCGCACCTCGGTAGCGGCCTCTGCGGTCCCTCCGCTTTTTTTTAAATATTGATCCGCACCGTTCGGTTATTATTCATTTATTTATTTATTTATTTGTATTATAATACAATACAATATTATTTACAAATCTACTACTACTACAGAGCCGCTGATCGAAAGGGATTTTAATTGCTCTTCGAATATATCATAATATACAGGGTATTCCATAAAAAAACAAAACACATTAGTTTCATTCATTAGTTTTGATCAACCCTGTATAATGTAGAATTAATTTCGATATTAAGAAATACCTCCTTAAGCTGCGTCTAATATGTTAACTTTCTACTGACTCCGGTGCCGTAGTAATAAAAATCGAATTGAAGGTACCATCAACCGTCAAACATCGAGATTAATAGCTCAAAACGGAACAAACAACGAGTTTTATCTTTACATTGCTCTATTTATTACAGACCTGATGATATCGAACCCTTTGATCATATGTTTTTCTTATGCCCTCTGTATTATCATTTGTAAAGTCTGTTCATAGATATAAGAAAGTGACTAACTGATACGAATTAAGGAAAGGCCCGGGCAAGCTGTAAGTATGGAATATGGCCGAACAGGTCCGTACTTTGCTTAGAATTGAATTATTTGGAGTTTTGTTAGGAAATATACTAAACAATATTTATTTATTTATGTATGTATTTATGTTTAAATCTAAAATAAAAGTACAAATTATTTTTATTACCTACTTAAATTACTTAAAATTATTCACATAATTTATCAGTATCACTTATCGAAATCATTGCCTGTTCCAATTATTATTTGTTCTATGTTATTTGCAAAATGGATACACGATTGTTCTGCTTTTTCTATATGTTTAACAGAATTTGCCCAACTTTGTGGAGGGATGTTAAAAACTTCGGTTTCTATAAGTTTGAGGACATTGGAGTTAACACAGGGAAAAATATTGTTACGACGAATGGCAGATTTCAGTTGGTTCCAAACATGTTCAATGGGATTAAATATACAGTGGTAAGGTGGAAGCCTTAAAACTGTATGCCTTAGATTTTTTTCATAATTATCACATCCTTTTGTAGATTCAAGCTTTGTAGAACCTCAATTAATTGCTCTTTGGTATAATCTTCGTGAAAATAAATGTCGTTATTATGCATGTAGTTTTGAATTGTTGCTTTTGTGTCACATGTGGAAGGGGTTTTAGTCAACTGTCTACTGTGATAACTTGCATTGTCCATTACAATGACGCTATTAGGAGGAATGTTTGGAACTAGTTTGTTTTTAAACCAACTTTCAAATAAATCAGCGGTGGTGTCTTCATGGTAATCCAGAGAAGAATCTTTAATATTTTTCTCAGAAAGACAAAGTCCATTTGGAATCCAACCATCTTTAGAGCCAGCATGCAAAATAGTTATTCTTTTACCTCTTTTTGATGGCGTTTGTTTTACACTTATCAGTTGAGTCAACCCAACCCTTTTCCGGGGTATCATAAGTGTCGAACCAGGTTTCATCGAAGTAAAACTTGGCCGTTGTTGTTCTCTGTAAATCGTAATTTTTCGTAGATATTGCAGTCGTCATTTCCGAATTCTAAAAGATTCCATTAAAACTTGCCTTTTGTCAAGTTTTTCAAATCTAAAACCCATGTGTTTAATACACTTCCATAAGGTTCTGCTACATTTAACACCGGTTTCATCTTTTTCAAGCCTCCTGATTAAGATATCGAACGTAGGCACGCTTTGTTCCTCGTATAACTGGTAATTTTACGCCGTATTATTTCTTGATCACTTTCATCTACACTCTAGAAAATGTCAGCATCGCTTCTTTTTTCCTCGCTGAAATGGGATTATTCACAATTTTCCATGCAGTTGATGTTGAAATTTTCGTCAATGTGGCCGTTTCTTCTAAAGATGCTTGCTTTTTGGCACCACGTTCGATGAGAGTCAAATAAACATTGTTTAAACTTCCTTAGTCTCAATAGAATAGTGTTTTCTACATTTGGGCGGGAGCATCTCCTGAGATACACTAGACTCGCACATATTTTGCATAATTCGCACACGATTCAACACACGCTGTATTAAACACGAAATAAGAATAATTACTAATAAACTTAAACTAGGTAGTATACCAAACCAAAGAATATTAAACACAGGTAGGTATAAAATTATTTTCTATTACGGACCACAATTTTACCTGAATTTAAATTCCGAAACTTTAGGTAATAATCTTGTTGTATTGTATGTTAATTACCACCCTTGGATAATCCGATTCAAAAGCAATTGGTCACTTTCTTATATCTATGATCAGACCATACCTGCTTATATATTGTTTAAGGAGGTCGAATATTGTCTCGGATGCTGCTGAGATTAGTTGTCATAGTCTTAAGGCTCGTTCATGTTTTATAAGCCTAGTTGATATTTAGCGTCTGGTCTCCCCAATTCTGCAGGACATGCTATAAACTCCTCAAACGGAGTTTTGTCTTTGATGTATCTAAGATGTAAAGAGATTTTTGGACAAGTGGTAAATGTGATTTTGGCGTTAGACTTCTTAAAAACTTCTGATATATGGTCAGTGATATTTTGAATGTAAGGAAGAACAACAGTAGCAATAATCTTCCATTCTTAGACCTAACATTCATTTACAAACAACATACGCACACATACCTTACCTTACCTTAATTCATTGTCACATCACCATCCGGGCTACAAATCATTGGTTATCAACTCTCTTGTTTACAGTACCCCAATTCGAGTCACTTAATGCAGACTTTAAACACCTTACATTTGCTCTTCTCTCTAATAATTTCTACATTAGAGGTATTAAACATTCCATCACAAAATACACTTTACCGCAATATTCCAAAGGCAATGTGTCCGAAAGCAACCCCACACTTGCCACTGTTGTCCTTCCTTACATTCAAAACATCACTGACCACATATTAAAAGTTGTTATTATTATTATTAAAGATATATAACTTAAAGCAAATAACTTCTGAACTTCAGGATTCAGGATGACATAAGCAAGGTTACCTTGATGTGGTTATAAATAATAATAATACCCTTTAAGTTTCAATTTCAATTCAAATTATTCATAATTGTCCAAGTTCTATGCTGCTTTATACATCATAATAGCTCAAGTTTTCTTAATAACCTCATGTCAAAAAAGAGTTGCAGGCCTTAATATGTTTCCTCGTGGAGATGGTTTTTAATCTACATTTCCGAAATAGTTTGAGCTATGTCTTCAAAATTTTGGTAATGTAGTAATTGCTTTTAATAATTTCCCCATTAGAGATATTAGACTAGGGATAGTTTTTTAAAATAACAATGAAATAATTAAAAAACAAATTAATTGAAGATCAAACCCAATTAAATATTTTATATTTTCATGTTTAAAATATTTTTTTCCAGGGTTTGGCGTACACTCGCTATTTATTTCATATAATTTATTTAAGCATTTTATATTTTATACCCATGCAGTTTTGATCTTGCTATCCAACTAGTGTAGTTTTGAAAACGGTCAACAACCAACGCAGGAACAATCCAGGAGATTTGTAAATAGCATTAGGTTGTGGAAGTTTCTTTGAAAAATTATAATCTATAGCTAAATTAACAAAGGATACTAGTAATTAAGTGAGCTTTCTATACAAGCAAAACAAAAAAAAGGAAAAAATCTTAAATTAACTCTCTCCCCCTTCCATAACTCTCTCTAAGCTGAAGGATGTTGCCAACAGTCGTGCAAGAGGAATATTTAAAGGTTATAATGTGTGTAAAATCTCGGGTGCAGACACAAGTATACAGAATCGTAAGAAAAATATATGATCAAAGGGTTCGATATCACAATGTCTGTAACAAACAGCAATTTAAAAGTAAAACTTGTTGCTTGTTTTCTTTTGAGCTACTAATCTGTCAATATGTTTGGACGGTTGATGGTACCTTGAATTAAATTTTTTATTACTACGGCACTGAAGCCAGTAGCACGTTAACATTTTGAACGTAGCAGAGAGGTACATTATTTCTTAATATCGAAATTAGTTCTATATCATACAGGATTGGTCAAAACCAATGATTTGCCTATGAGATACAAATGGTCTAAAATGGTTTTTTATGAATCACCCTGTATATTATCAGATATTCTAAGAGTAGGTTAAATTCCCTTTTGGGTGATTTATCATGTCCCTATGCCTAAATCGTTTGGTTTTTCAAATAAAAGCAAAAAATAATAAATAATTCATTTTCCATTTGTCAGTTCATTCATTATTAATTGTGGTGCAAATTTTGTCGATAAAATCGATTCATCATTATTGCTAGAATATGCACGTGAACATGAGAAAATTTGTCAGAATTAAGAAAAGCTTTACTAGCCATTTCACGACAAATATTTTAAAAACTATTTACACTAACAAAATATTATGCATTGCATTCTAAACGCTTTAAAATGCGCTGATAGTAGTAGACATCTTTATCTACGATAGATCTATTTGTTCAAAGCGTCGTACAATCCGATAACGTTGAAATAAAAATAATAAACATCTCGCGCCGATCGACAAAGTACCCCAAAGGCTCGCTTAGTTACCATGGAAACCATAATAAAGAAATATCTAGTATATCTGGGAATTTTGACACCAACGTAAGTATTGATTACTATTACTTGAAGGCGGTAGACGATGATTCGGTAGAAATGATTGTCGAACTTTATTTTCTGTATACACAACGTTTCGGGCAGATGGCAGTGCTAGACCGATTTTAATTCTAAGGCTATTAACATTATATACTAGATTGCAATGATCACTCGTCGTGATCGGTTGATGGTTGGTACGCGCGATTAAGGGTTACCAAATTGTAGGTATTTGCATTCTTTTATTGCTACAGATGTTTACATTGTTTGTAATGAATATTTAAATGACTTACATTTTCCTGTGGACAACCGGAGCTTCGATGTGGTGTCGTTTGGTGGGTACATGTTCCCCATTCACAGGGTATTTGGTATACACACGCGCACAAACACACACACTTGAGTCGATGTTTTTGGCTTTATTCTTGGAAGTATCCGCTCAGTGACTTTCCGGACCTGAAGAGAATCTACCTCACATCGTTCTGTTGTTGCTTTCCGTTTACAATTTGATAATGTTTCGTCGATACATGTTTGAATGTTACCATCATGAAACAAATCCTTTTTAATGCTGCTTAATTCTACATCGAATGATGTTTCGTTACTGCATATTGTGATTGCTATTTTGCAGAGTGTTTGTATGATTCCTAGTTTATTTGCTTCAGAATCGAAATTGAAATTCTGTCCGATATGTGTAGGTTTCCTGTATACAAAGGTGCTGACAGAACCATTATTTCTACTTACTTGGACATTCAGAAATGATAGGCAGTTCTTCTCTTTCTCAAAGGTCAAAACATTCCATGTATATATTCGCCACCAGGGAAGAGAAAGATAGGGAAATCCATCAGTAGGTCATCATCTTGTGCGTAAAAGTTATCTTTGGCTTGAAAGGAAGAGTTATGCAGACGGCACCCAAGGAGCTCCATCATTTCCTCCAGCGGTAGCGAAGTTCTGTCTGGAAGTGTTGTATCATTCCTTAATCTGACGCCCTCATCAATGCCTAACGATCCTTCCAACGGCACAATGGTGTATAAAGCTAATGAACTTGTCTGAAGAACATGATCTTACGTTTTTTTAAAATATCTACAAAATGCACTGACTCTACAAATTAAGAAGTTTTTTCCCGCAAGTGGTTGAAGGATTTGAAGAAGAAATCGAAAGCTGCTGGTTGCGGAAGAGATCGTGTAAACAAAAAAAAATTTAGATAATCTCTAAGTATTTCTACTCAATCATTGTCTACCACATTCAAGCAAACATGACATAAACTAAATTTATATATCTCAGATTCCTTTATTTCGAACCCAACTTGCCAAAATATTTTTTTTTAAAATTCGGATTAACGTTTTATGTAACCAAAACGTATATTTTCACAATTATTGTATCATTGATCTATAATAAGACAATTTCATTAATGCTAAACTGAGTAACGATTTCGTTTTGGATGAATCATAAGTACTGTACATGTAATACCTTTGATATTGACAATACAATATCAGATCACAGATCAATCTTATGTTAAATAAGCTCTGTACATAGTTACGTTCCAAACATCTTTCTCTGGGGAGGCCATAAGGTCTTTTGAACAAGCACCGTTTTTATGAAAATTGGTCCAATATGTGTAGCCTTGATTGTGCGTTTGACTATTTTTATTCGATGTTTTTTGTGAAATTGTAATATGTATTTTGAGAGACTTAAATATTTTACGAGACACGTATAGGTAGGCTAGTAAGGAATAGAAAGAAGAGCTTTTGCCAGCAAAAAATTGTTAATTCTAAACAAAAGCCACTTGAAACGTCTTAGCAGAAATAACTAATAGAAAAGGAAAACTCGATAATATTCAACTTGAACGTAATGATAAAAAAGTCGAAGATCCTCAGGTTGTATCAAACATCTTCAAAATTTTTTTCAGGGAGGCCCCTCTGGAAATAACCAGAAACATTCCTAAACAATCCCAAAAAGCAAACACGAACTTCCAGAACGTCCAAATTTTATACTAACTTTTTAACGCCTTTCCTTGAAGAATACAGTTTACTTATCAAAAAGCTAAAAAATAAACGTTCTGCTGGATTTAATGACATCTCGAATTTTTTTTACAGACCAGTTACAGTCACCATGGTTTTCTCGAAACTGCTTGAGCACGCATTTTTGCAGCGACATTTATTGTATCTTGAAAGGAATAAAATACTCTCCGATACCAGTTCGGTTTTCCAAGTGGAAGATCCTCCATCCTTTATTTTTGGAAACTATTGTCAATTCTATAAAGTCCGGCGAGTATCATGTTGGGGTCTTCGGTAACCTCAGCAGTGTGTAGTTCACGACATAATGTTATCTTATCTTATAGCAAACAATGTGTTAGGCTAACGTGTAAAACGGATGGTCTATGCACTGAAACTGCACTGCACTGCACGAATTCACCCATGATGGGCGTTCCGCAAGACTTTGTATTAGAACCAGTACTTTTCCTATTGTATATTGACTGCTTTCTGATGACTGTACGATATCTATGACGTGTAGGTGCGATTCATGTCTGGAACGCAACTGTAACGTGGTTTTCAGTGAGGTGAACCCTTGGTTTAAGTATAATAACTTATTAAGACATATAAGTCATTTGCTGTCAGTATATGATGTAAAGTTTCTTGGAATATTCATAGATAAAAACATGAATTTTAAGACTCATTGCTCTTCTTTGGTATCGAGGTTGGGAGTCAACATCTATTTATTACATAACCTGAAGGATATTTTAACGTTTAACGTTGTATAATCTATATGTTCTTGAAATGTGTGTTTATGTGCTTCAAAATAAATCAAATTTTCAATGAATACAAGATCTAAAGACGACTTTAGAGTTCCTTATACAAAATGTAATAGTCCTTATAGGACTATTGTAAGCGTAACCAAGGGAAATAAAAATCTGTGATAATTAATTAATAACGTCTTGTGATTAAATGCCTGTACTCAGTGGAAGAATACTTTAGTTACTCCATTAAGTCTTTGATTTTAATTTTTTTTGTGATAAACTTTTAATTAGTTGAACATTCGCTTCGTTTTTCGTGACTTTTTCAAAATGTCTATTGGGCACATCCTCTTCCAGGTATCAAACCGGTGCCTATGCTGGACCCGAACGCATCGATGAACCAGCAAATGAGCATGCTGAAGTCGAACATTCTGGCGGCCCAGCAGTACATCTCGGAAGCGGGGGGCGACGAGAAGGCTTTAAATAAATTTTTACAGGAAAGGTTTAAGGGCACTTTGAGTGATTCCAGTACGGTAGACGCTTCCGATTCTGACAATTTGACTGATTCTAATCATACTGATTCAGAAATCGAAACGGAGGTGGTGGCCAAGAAGCAGAAACAATACGACGAACGGCTGCTACGGGTACCGCTCGAACGAGGTTAGTGCGTCACGAAACAGCCGTAAAAAACATTCAATAAAATATTAATGTTATCAGGTTGGAAACGGGAAACCGTCATCAGGGGTCTGACCAAAAGTGGCGGGATAAAAGGTGACGTCACGTATTCCGCGCCGGACACATCGAATAAATTTAAGCAGATGTCTGACGTCACCCAGGTGGAGATTGGTCGCGCGAGCGCGTGAATTTTATATTTATGATTCTTCTTTTTTTGCAGTACTTGGAATATCAGAAGAACGTCGACTTAACCAGGGACAATTTTACGTTTAGCTGCCGTGTGATATTGGGCGATTACTTGCAGCCCGTGCCAGCGGAAATGCAAACCGATGCCAACGAATACGTTTACCTGACCGAGGAAGAGGTCACGAAAAGGTGAGTTGATTTGTGACTTCGATCCGTTATCTACTGTTTTGGAGATGGCTTACACTGGATATTATACGTACGCTTTTGTTTACAACTAACACACTTTAAGTTAATCTTTCTTTCCGAATATTGACGATCAACCTAGCTATAACGACTATGTTCATTGCTGCTCTAAATAATTTTGTTTTTGATAACCATGTTCTTAAGTTTTTTAGCCCAGATATTCGTCTTCGTCCTGGTCTTTTTTTACCGTAGACTTTCACTTGGGGAACAGATTTTAAAAGGCCATATTTACTTTCGTTCCTCATAATATATCCAAGGTATTCCAGCTTTCTTCTCCTGATGGTGTTCATTATTTCTAAAATCTTTCACTATTATTTTTCCCTTTTTTTATTATTCTATTTATTATTATTGTTTTATTGATTACTTTTTGTAAGCTGTTCATGCTACAGTACAGATTGAAAAGAAGAATATTTTTTTCACAAAGCCATTGAAAATCCGAGGAACCGCCCGTTTTTCTATTCTTTCCGAACATTGGCGATCAACCTAACTATAAAGACTTGGTCACTGCTGCTCTAAATATGATGATATGATATGTTGTTTTTTTTGAAAACGATGTTCTCCAGTTTTTGAACCATGATATTCTTCTTCTTTCTGGTCCTCTTTTACCGTAGAGTTTCCCTTGGACAACAGATTTTGAACTGAAACTTTAGTCAAGCTCTGAAGAAGCCAACAGGATGATTGGCGAGACGTCAACAACTTCGACTAAGCAAAAACCGACGCAGGAGGAATCCAGAAGTTTTGTAAAAAGTATGGTTGCTGGATGGTTTGCTTTATATTATTATTATTATCCAATAAACAAAAAAATTTACCTCCGAAACGTCAAACGTAATTTTTTTTAGCTTTTAGTTTATAGCCGAGCATTTTTTTTAAATTCTTTTATGATTTATATTTTTCTGCAAAACGGAGACTTAAGCATTTCAACTAAATAATCGCTATAATGAATAATCTCTGTTCGAAAACAACAAAAACAATCGCAACATAACCACTATGGATGAGTTGAACAATTATATGACGTTTGAGACATCAAATAAATTGACACTTACTCCCAGTGTAAAGCCAGCTTCGTTAAGAATTTTGTGAAGAAAATCATCCATTGCTGCATGAATTTATTCTAGGTGTAGAACATGTGTTTTATCCAGAGCGCGATAAAACTGCGATTTTGCTAAAACTGTTTTTTTAATGGGTTTTTGAGCCGAGTTCTTATCACTTATGCTAACTTTCATTTTTATATCATTTCAGTCTTAATAAAAACGGCCTATTTTGCTTTCCGTCAGCAGCAGTTTAGCAAGAAACTCGCACTTGAAAGTCCGACTCTCCTATTTATAAAACCCGGAGCGTGTTAACATGAGTAGTGTGCCATGAAACCTGTTGCTATGAAACCGAAACAAAGAGTAAACTTTCAAGCAAATTTACATTCTGGGATTGTTACGTTTTTTTGTCTTCGTTCTTAACTTCGTAAAATGTCTGTCCGATTTTGTGATCATAAGTTGGAAGAAATCAAATAAATTGATTCATTTTATTTCCTTCGTCGTAGCATTTCGCCAATACAGGCCCAGTTTCGCAAATAGAAGGCATCCGACCATTCCCGATGGAGACATTTTATTTTGAGAAGATAGTGCTAGATACAAGTATTTTGAGTCCTGTCTGATGTAGTTACGTTTTTTTCAGAATTTTTGTTACTTGATCATTGTAATTTTGAACATATGACAGTACTACAGTGGAATGGAGTTGCTTTGTTTAAGTTGTTCTGGTGCAGTGTATTTTTTGATCAAGCCTATGATATAATTTGACTGGAGGTAGTGATACATAGATCTGAAAAGTAAGGAATTGTGTTTTTCAATTAATAAGGATGTGTCGAAGTTAAGAAGGGTTTTTGTTCTCTAATTCTATATTGAAAATGACGCATCCATGGAGTTTAGGTAAAGGATTGAGGAGATTACCATAGTTTTGGTTTTAGATGGGACTTATCTGTGGCTAGTTTTTCAAAATATTCTTTAGGTTTAAAGACAATCTCCATTATTGCTTCTATGTGAAGTATAGAAATTTTTTGGATAAAATGAGGTCTGCTGTTAATTTTTCGGAATTTAAGGTACCTGGTATTTCAGCAACGTGAACTTTAGTAAAAATCTATACAACGTGAAAGCCAGCTCAGCTAATTTAATATTTTTTTAGTTCTTAAATTATTTGTTTTTAAATTTTAGTATTTGAATGAAATGAACATTGAAAGAACCGAATTACAAAAACTAAATTAAATAACAGAGTCCTAAAGAATAATGTGCATTTATTTTTGGAAGATGTCTTCCTTCCTTACCGAAAAACTTCGTTAAGTGGATTTTCGTGTATATTCCAATGGCCGGATTTTTAAGGTACTGCTTCATCACTAGTAATTTAATACGCAACGGCGGTAAGAGAATATTTTTTGATGCGGGAGTTAAATGAACGCTTTTTGGCCAGTTCTTCTTCGCCCAATATTGCTGTCTGTTTTTACTTTCCAACTCACACAAAAAGCATGGGTACTTCATATATCCGGACTGCTGACATAATAGAGGTCCCACAAGTTTTGAGTGAAGTAGTAGTTCCAGATTTTCGTAGCATTATTTCATTTGCACAGAATGAACTACGGGTACAGAAGTGTTGTGCAAAAGAACTACTTTTAGCCTGAGGTCAATAAAAAGCCTCCAGTCCTCAGAATTGTAATCTATACCAAATTTCTTTATTAGATTAGGAATATCGCTGCAATAAACAAGTGAAATATTTTGTTCAAAATAGTCTATAAATTCTGTCTCACGCTGCCTGCATAAAGACATTTTAACGTAGTGTCAGCAAATTTTTATTTCGAGGTCTAGATGCTAAAATTACAGGAAGATCTTTAGGTAATCCTAAGTCTCTCACTAAGTCATAACTGTGGTCGATGGGAAACACGCCATATATCACTATAAAACTGGTGGTATCTTCTAAATTGGCTGAATTCTCGTATTGGGACATGTGGTCCAAAAGGTAGAGGCTTAATTGTAGACTTCAAGGTGTAAACTGACATACCAAATCACAAAATGCTTGTTGGTCTGTGTTATACGTCCAAGAGGTAGAGTTTTGTGAATTTTGGAAAGAATCGAGGAACTTTCATGTCTTAACTATTCTTTGATTTGATGTTACGCTGTGTCGATACCTCATTGTCATTCGGTTCTGTTGCAGACTCGATGAAATTAAAGCGACAATGAGAACGAGTCTACCAGTAGAACAACGAATCGAAATGGCTAGGAAACAGCAGGCCGCCAGGGCGGCAGCACGTTTGGACCGGGAACAGCAGCGGATAACCAAAGAATTGGAGAGAAACGAACGGCAGGAAGCGGCCCGCAGAGAAAGAGAGGCCCGGTCCCAGCAAATGATGGAGGTGCGTTGTCGAGTCAGGCGACTAACTTTTAGTACTTTTAGTTTGACCTTCGACGTGCTTATTATCGATAAATTTACGCAACATTCGAAAAGTATAATAATTCAGTTTTTAGGTTTTTGCGTTCGGCCATTATATTGCCATTATAATATTTTCTGCCGCCATTTAGGGTAGTCAATGTAATGCCGAAAGTTCGCGACAGTTTTTTACGTTCATAGATTTAGTTTAAGTTTTGCGCGTAATTATGTTTATTTTTGTATTATTATTATTATTTACGCTTCCCGATTTGCATGGCAGGCTAAGAGAAAACGCCAGGAAGAGTTAGAAAAGCAAAAGCAAGAAGAACAGCAGAGAAAACAGCAGGTAGGTTAAAAAAAGTATTAAAGTAGCGTCCTACTGAAAATGTTAATCCAAACAAAATAGTTTGAAAGAATTGTTGTAAATGAGGTTTGTGGTCAGTGATATATTTTAACATCAACTGTTCTTAATATGCAGAGTGCGTGGCCTTAGTCAGCTTTAAAAATGTGCGTAGATAATTAATTAGAGTTTGCTTCTGAAATATTCCCAGTAGAAACTTCAGAGAAGAAACGAAAATAATTGCTAGAATTTGATATTAGTTTCAAAACAGCTTTACAATAAAATTTATTTCAAAATAATACATTTTTTAAATATACAATCTGTTGTTTGAAGCATTTAATCCAGAGTTAGTAATTTTAAAACGAATACTTTGAACGAAAGTTTTTCAAAGATTTTCAAAATCCAGACTACTGAAATTGTTTTGGCATCTTTAACATCAGTTGCCCTTGGCCTTTCGTAATTTTTATCTAAAGAATACTACAAAAATCTAAAGAGAACCGGTGTCGTGTAACATATATCGTAGTTTTAAGACAAAAATGTAGCACTATTTTTTTTCAGATGTTAGAATTTTAAAATCCAGACTATTAAATTTTATTTGGTATCTCTGATACGGCTTGCGCTTTACCTTTCTTAATTGAAGACTAAATAATACTATGAAAATCCAAACAGAACTGGTGTTTTCTAAGATATTTCGTAGTTTTAAGACAAAAATGTCATGACATTTGATAAAGACACGGTGTTGTCGAAACAATTGTCATGTAAAAATATATAATTTCGTGAAAATCTGAACTTTTAGTTCTTATTTATTTTGACAAAAATGTAGCATGCAATTGTTTTCTGATGTTGCAATTTTAAAATCCGGGCCATTATTATTATTTTTTTTTTAGTATCTCTAACACTATGTAGCATACAATTTTTTCAGATGTCGAATTTTTAAAATTCAGACTATTACAAATTTTTGGTCTCTCCAAAATTAGTTCCTCTTTGACTTTCTTAATTTACACTGTTTAGACTGTTACAATTTTTTGTATCCCTAACATCAGTTGCCCTTTGCTTTCCTTATTATATGACTAAAGAAGACTACGAAAGTCCATAGAGAACGTTTGTTTGCTAACCTAGTTCGTAATACTAAGACTAAAATGTTGTATACAATTTTTTCAAATATCGGGCTTTTAGATTCCAGACTATTAACATTTTTTTGGTATCTCTCCAGTTACACTTTTTTTTTTTCTTAATTTATTACTAAAGGATTGTGATTTGACTGTGATTTTTTCTAAAAGAAACGAGGCCCCAGTTGCTAATTCGAAAATAAATCTTTCGGGAGCCCAACGGACAGTGCTTGAACGCTGTGTATTATTTTATAAAAAAAAAACCTTTATATATTTAAAAATTGTTGTTGCTTCAATCAAAAGTGTCATACCCATAATTTTGAAATATCGGTTTTAGGAGCGAGAGCTGAAGAGACAGCAGGCCGCAATGCTAAAGGAACAAGTAAGTCTAGTTTATTTATTTGCATTTTTTTTTTTATATAAATTAAAACGAGGGTAAATTTCTCCCTATCCGATACACAATTCACTCATTAACCTATGAAAATTTTTGTCTCGACGTTTTTAATTTATAATTTATGTTGTGGTTATGCCGGTAAATGCAGGATGAGTTTTGATTCATACATTTTTTTTAAGTATCAGTTGTGTTCATGAAAAATTTTCCCTCAATGCTTGAACGCAACCTCCTTTTGATGTACACGTCGTTCATATAGCATTAAGCATGTGCTGTCAAACAAATATAATATTTGAAAAAACGAGTTGAGATTTACATAAACATAACTGTCTTTTTATGGACTATGATTATCGCTAAGCATAGGCGAAAGCAGAACAGAGGAAAACCAAACCACACGTACATGCTTTCTTTTCAAGTGCTGGTTTAATTAATTTTAAAATGGAAATTCATTTAGCCTGTCGGTGTGTTTAAAATAACGTTTTTGTTGTCTGTTTCCTTCGAAACTGCAGCTATTAAACAATTGCGATCAACATAATGTGTACAAGGTGACTTAGGAGGGATCAATACCTTATCTTTAAAAATTTATTTGCAATTAAATGATCTTTAATTTCAATTATCACTCAATTACATACAGGGTGGTCAAACAAGGTTATATTTTTTTAAATGAACGCCCAATATTTTATTACATTTTTAAATACCTCTTTAAAAGACGAATCCAAGGATATATGTAAATGTCTATATATATATATATATCAGGTTTCAGATTCAGGTTATGTTGAAAAGTTTTTGTTACGTTACTTTTTCTCAGATAATATTCGAAATTGAAATCTTTTTCTCAAGTAGCGATGTTTCGCAAAATCTTAAACAACCTTAATATACCTGTATATTTTTGCATTTCCGGATAGCCCTTTAAAAAAGACGATATAGGTGAACCATGGATCGCAGGCCAATGTTCACATATATCGATCCGGCGATCCAATGTTGGCAATTTATTCACGATTTTTATCAATTTCCAGGCAATATTAAAGCAATTAAATTTCTTAGCTTTCACGAGTTTCTAATGTTTTTTTTTTATGAAATTGCTGGATGTTTCAAATACCGTGAAATATTATAAAAATTGTTTATTAGAAAGTAGATATATGAATAAATATTATTTAATTTAATTACTTTGTTTAATATTAATTAATTAATGCATTACTTCAACTTTGAAAATAAACTTTGAGAACTTGAGCCATATAAGCAAGATTAAAGATGAGTTAAAGTGTGGTGCAGTATGTGGAGAAAGAATTTTGGAACCAATATTTTATGAAGAAAATTTGACAGCCATGCAATTTTTCGATTTATTAAGAAATAATACGAAGCCTCTTATTGAGAATCACTGAATTTTCAAATGCAAATGACAATATGGATTGTGCAAACTACACCATCCGGCCAGTAAGGAGTCTGGATTTAAACCCACTGGACTTCTCTTTGTGGGATACTTTAAAAGAGCTGGTATACAAACATAGATGTTTTTGCATTACAACAACATATTTTATATTGAATGCCACAAGTCATTTGGAGGTTATATATACCACTCGCATTTCTCAAAATGGTGGACATGTGGAAAAGTTGATATAAAATTATTAATTTTATGTTTGAAAAAGTTTGTCAAATGTTAATGTTTTAAAACTATAATAATCTATAACTTTTACCGTGTTTTAATTAAATGATTAACGATACAGCAATTTCATAAAAAAAATATTAGAGACGGTTCCAGAATTGAGGTTAATAAATTCAAAACGGTGCATCGCAGACCATTGTTCATATATATCGTTGGATTTGTCTTTTAAAGGGCTATCCAAAAATGCAAAAATATACAGGATGTTTGATTTACATAAATATTTCAATTTTGAATATTGTCTGAGAAAAAGTGTTATTTTTTAAAATATAACCTGGATCCCGATGATATTCGCTAAGGTACATTGGAGATTGATATAGAAAAATTTATGTATATCGTTCGATTCGACATTAACAAAAGGGGTATTCAAACACGTGGGGTGTTTTCTTAAAAACAATATAACTTTATTTGACCACCATGTCGGTAATTAAGTGACAATTGAAATAATAATTAATTGAATTAATAAATTGAAATAATAAAAAAAACAACTTTTGTATTAAAACTTTTTTTATAACACTTATAAATTTCGCGATAAGGTATAGGCACCTCTTAAACCTCTTAAAGATATAGATATTTATAATAACTTTACAAACGAAAGAGAAAAAGGGAAAGCAATTAACAATGTGTCGCCATTTCATCAGTTTAATAGTTGCAAGTGTCATCATGTAGAGGGTGGCTCACAGTGGTTGACCCGTTAGACGTATGTGAAGAACTGAGAAAGAACTTTCTTCATAAATTAGTTTTTCGTTTCTCGTTTTATAGTGTAAAATGTCGAGAATCTGTTTATTAAGCATTTACATTCCATGAACTTTAAAATTAAATTGATTTATTTACTTTTAATAAAAAAATTGTAAAAATAACCAAAAGAAACAATGTGAGCCACCCGGTATACTATACTAGCATACCACCTTGTCGATAGCTTTTGTATATACTGTTACGCCGTTTTTCTATCTTTAGATTTACATACAGGAGATCAATAAGCAACGTGAAATGCTGTACACTGTTGAGTTGGTATGGAATACAATTGAGTGTCATTTATATTCTTTTCTACCGTTTATTTTTGCATATGGCTTACTTAACGCTAATTTTAATTTTAATTTTGCGCACACTCATCATTGACAATGCTCGCCCTGTCGAAACAGTTACACTTTGGTGGTGGAATTTTGCCTTTTTTTCGTTAAACAAACCTATTATTAACAATCTAATAATGTATCTGAAATATAAAAATGCTGCTAATTGATCCGAAAATAATAATCCTTGGTCGATGTGAAAGCATGGATACGTTTTCGCGCTCGCGAGCCCGACTCCCGTTTAGGGCGTTTTTCTCGACAGGAAAAGGAGCGGAGACGGCAGCACCTCGCATTGATCAAAGCGATGGAGAGCCGCAGGAAGCTGGAGGAGAAGGAGAAGAGGAAGCAGCAGCTGTTGGCCGAGAAGCAGGCGAACAAGGAGCGGAAAATCGAGCAGCGGAAAGCGGAACTGGAGATCCTAGCGGAACTGAGGAAACCGTGCGAGGACCTCGAACTCGACCAGCGCCCCCTGCCGGAATACGACCGCATCGCGGGCCTGCGATTGTCGGGCAAAGCGTTCGCCGACGTGCTGATGATTTTCGAATTCCTGCACAATTTCGGCGAGACGTTGGGATTCGACATGGACTCGTTGCCCACGCTGGACTCGCTCCAGCAGGCGCTCATCCCGAACGATCAGTCGTACGACGCGGAAGAGGAACTCTTTTCCGTCATGACGCACCTGTTGGTGTGCGCGATAGAAGATCCCGGTATACCGAATCCCGCGCGTCACACCACCATATTGGGCCAGAGCCTGCGCCAGGCGGACATCACGCACGCGAACCTGTCGGAAATATTGAGGATCTACTTGTACGCGAACGCCACCGGCGAAGTGAAAGCGTTGACCGGCGTCCATTTCGAACGGGACAGGGAGAAACGCATCGCCGACCACCATCAGACCGATCACGAGATGAATCAGACGATCAACGGCAAGAACGCGCAGTACTACGAGTATTTGCACGAGAACGCGACGTACAAGATGTCGGTGCTGCTGAAAGAGAGACCGTTCATGGCGTTGTCGCCGACCGACAAGGCGGCCATGCTGGCGTTCGTTTGCAACGAACTGTTGCAGAACAAGGCGGTCGTCAGGCAGATCGAGAGCTCGCTGGAGAGCGTGGCGCATCAGAAAAAGGAGAAGTGGCTGCTCGAGAACAAGATCAGGAAGCTGAAGGTCGCGCACAACAAGAAAATGAGGACGGAAGCGTTGGAGAAGTCGCACAACAGATCCGACCTGGACGAGTCGTCCGCGCTGGACTCGCCCAGCCTACACAAGGACGACCTGCTCGACGACGAGGAGAACGAAATGAGCGAGAACGAAAGCGTCGGCACCCAACCAGAGGAGGAGGAGGACAACAAGCTCTCCGCCGAGGAACTGGGCAAGTGCTTTGATTTAAATCCATTTAGGGGACAATTTCATCTTAAGAACTAGAATATACAATCCATTGTAGTATTTCAAATTTGAGTTGTATTCCTAAAGTGTTCGACAGTTTAGTCTGCGACTATTTATCTGCTGGCCTGAAAGGTTGCTTCGTCGACCAACAATTTGAAGTTCATGCCATTTACACAGACTTTTCAAAGGCTTTTGGTCGAGTAAATCATCAAATCTTAAAGAATAAATTGCGAAACATTGGAATCCAGGGAAAACTTTTGGAATGGTTAACATCGTACCTTACTGAAAGAGTGCAGATTGTGCGCGTCCAAAGCTCCCAATCCACCGAAATAAAAGTGCCTTCTGGTGTTCCACAAGGATCGCACCCGGGACCCCTACTCTTCAATGTCTATGTGAATGATATTGCCTCATGTTTTCATCACCCATTTTTCCTATTATTTGCTGACGACTTAAAATTCGATATGAGAGTCCAGAATGCTGATGACTGTATAAAATTTCAGTACGATTTAGATCACCTATCGCTATGGAGTGATTTCAATGCAATGAAACTAAATACTTCTAAATGCCAACTAATGAACTTCTACCGGAGCAGAAACCATTTTTTACCACATTTTACGTATAACATAAAAGGGTCACCATTATTGCAGGCATCCGTAATAAGGGATCTTGGAGTGTTACTCGATATTAAGTTGACTTACACTCACCATGTTTCATTTATTGTGGTGTTTAATTTATTGGTGCCTCGCTACTTTTATATGGGTCCTTACTGTCGTGTCGACTAACTATACTAATATTAATTTTTGGTTGATAGGGTCTTCATATATCTATCATTCTGTTTTAATTTTGTTTACTATTTTGTTTATGTGAATCCTATTTTATATTAGGCGGTTAGCCCGTTGGTAAATAAATAAATTTACGTTTAATTAATGTCGTAAACGGTGAGCGACTAAGACAAAAAACGTCGATATCATTACATAGATAGAGAGGACCTCTAATCAAAAAATTGTTTTTTGGGATTACTAGGTGAAATACAGGTGATACCCTTACAGTACTTCAAGGAACATGAAAATTCACCTGGCTCAGCAGCTCTGGGCAATCCACTAATGAATTACAAAGTGAAATGAAAGGTTCGGCAGTGAGGGAACCTTAAACATTCTTAATAACTCACACTGTGGCAGTCCTTAGCCCCTTATTTGACTGAATTACAATACATAGTATGTTTACAGCACAACTAAGTACAAAAGAGAACAATTATATACATATGTATACATACACATAAGATTAGATAAAGTCTACAATAATAATAGGTTTAACGACATACATACATACGTAACACTTAAATGAAAAAAAGGATGATATCTATCAAAACCAGACAGTGGCCACCATCAAGAATCGGGAAATATTTTATCTTCTGTTTGTATTCTGCTACAGAGTAAAATCAATGCTCCAAAGAAAAAAGATTTTATTTTGGTTTTAAAATTTTTAAATAGCAAGTTTGTGCCTTGATTTGCAATTAAATAGTATAGTACATTTAAACTTCGAAGCAAATTTGATGAGGAAGTCAGGTATTTATTATTATCTGAGTCTACTAAAAACATATTTTTTGAGTTATGGTTATAACCCCAAGATTCTGAAACAGCTCTCTATATCCTGTGTTGCATATAATTCTGATCGCTTTTTTTTGCGTACGAAATTTTTTTATGGAATCTATCGAGTTTCCCCACAGTATAACAGCATATGACAAAATTGAATGAAAAATAGACTAGATAATCCTTTGCGATTAAATTTTTCAATGGTCATAACAAAAAGTTGACACTTGGGAGGCGCTAAATTTTAAAATATATAAAATTATAAAATAGTAAATAAGCAATATGGTCCCTCCAAGAGAGCTATCATGCAGAACCACACTCAACAACGTCGCAGATCTTCCTTCCGAAATATTCACATTTGCTGAAAACACTAACGAGTGGGTTTTATCCTCATTTAATATTAGGCGATTCACTCTAAACCGATATTGGTATGTTTTTTCGCCAACTGTCTTTCCCCTATAAGAATTTCTTCATTTGTGTTTGATGTTTTAAAATTAAACGCAGTCACAGGGTCCATATGGCCAAAGAGATCGTTAATATAAACTAAAAACAATAATAAAATATAAACTAAAAATAATAATGGACCTACAATGGAACCCCGTGGAACTTCCGTACATTACATTTCGCAAACTTCACATTTTGTTGTTTCTGTTTCTGTCTGGAAAGTGCTAAGTGTAAGTGCAACTGTGTGGGTGTTTCAGAAACAAAGCCCACGAAAGTTCGAAAGAAATGGTAGCCAATTTTTTCAGGAAAACCGTCCTCGGTGCAATTGTTTTTTTGATGAAAGGTAAAACAATTAATTCTGAATAGTACACAACCATTTGTTTGCCGAAAGTCTTCGAAGAAATTAGAAAAACCAACCGCCTAAGACGAATCACTCTCTACGACGACAATGCTAGCTCTCACCGACCAGTGCAAAGAACTTTTTCCATAGCCCTTGTCTCAAATACAGCCTCTGACGACTTGGATTTTAATTAATTTATTTATTTACAGGGAAGAAGCTCGAGAAGTTGCTGAAAACGTCGGAAACCCAACTGGAGTCGCTCAGTAAATCAATGCAGCAGCTTAGGGCCGGTAATTTCGGGGAGGACCGTTACTTCAGACGGTACTGGTCGTTACCGAAATGCGGCGGAATATTCGTCGAAGCGATGGAATCGGCGGAGCCCGAAGAAATGGAATACCAAACGATCAACGATCAAAACGAGAGCATCAATAACGGCATCAGGAGTCTCAACGAACTGAACAGCGTCATGGAAAACGTAGACAAGATCAACGACAACAGCATCGATAACGAAGTCAGCGACATCATCGGCGATAAGTCGCAGGACGTGGATAAATCCACTGAGGCGACGACGGACGATAACGAGAACGAGCACCGGAAAACGCCGAACAGATTAAAGCCAACCGAATTGGAGTCTAATCGAGGTATATTTCATAGCAACCGCTATCTGGTGTCAGACTTGACAATAGGTTTGAGGACAAGGTTGAAAATGGATTATTATCCAACGCTTGCTTTTTAACTTTGGAACAATTAAGCGTGAAAAATAATTTTTTTTTGGAAAAATACGGTCAACTTTCTATATAAGCAACCTCTATACAAGCAACTTTTTTTAGTTCAACTGTTCTGTATGAGCAATTTATTTTTTTAAAGCTAAATATTAGAGTTATGTTTAGGTCAATTCAGAACTGAAGTCAGCTGTTCAATTTTAAAAAATGCTGCTAACGTTGAAGTGAATTTCTGTTAATTCTGTTAGTTTTCCGTCAAGTAATAAATTAATTAATATTTTTGTGCTTTAAATTCAACCATAAAATATGAATCAGAAGGTAAGAAGATATTCAATTAAGTTAAAAGATCCGTTTTAAAGGACATTGAGTATGGTAAAAAAACAAAGGACAATTTCAAGCAATACAAAGGATATGCATACAAAACGTACGTGAATCATAGTAAGATTAAGCTAATGAAGATAATAAAATATAGTGAAGTCGATGATAGAGTGTTGTCTCATTTTCTAAGTATTTTCAAGACGCACGGCTTTTTTATAATACTTTTTTTTATCGAAAACTACACAACGTCAGCTACAAATAAAAAAATTATGTATTATGCAACAAGTGCGGTGAACGGCATTTGACTCACGAATGTATTTGACACGAGCGGAGAGCGCGTTTAATAAACGAGTGACTTAAAAAGTTTACAGAACGTTTTGCATACTATACTTTTTCTATGACGGTTAGTTTTTGAGAACATTTTCGCTACACAACACGAATACAACATTCACTGACATGAGGTTCAAAATTAACAAACGTCAAAATTCGAGCCGAAACATCCGAAAACATCCGATTGCTCCCGGAAATGTCCGAAGTGGCTCGGATCCGCGGGAAACGAAACTGACGTGGTAAAGTGACCCTTCCCGCACGCTAGATCGGTGTATAATTAAGTATTTCACAGAAGGGAGTAGAAAAATATATTATCCACACCTTAATAGGCCTTTTAGATTTATATTAAAACTTTTCAATTACATTCTAAAAATACAATAAATTACACTCCAAAATATTTTTCCTAAAAACAGAAATATATTTACTCCTTAATTAATCCTAGAAAACTCGTCTTCTCCCTGTCATTTTGACGTCATACTAAGTGGAGATAAGCAACGCATTGTGGCCGTTGTGTTTGATTTTATTTTTCAATATGACCGAAGGATTTTGTAAAAGCAGAATCTCCTAGCTCCTTTATCGTGTCTAATTTTTTTGCAACATGAGGAAATTTTTTATGTCTGTGTATATCCTTTTTGTAAAACTCCCAATTCAGTACTGCTTGAATTGTACTATAGTTTTTCTCAATCTTTTTTGAGCTTCGAGCATTTTCCATTCCATATCCTGATTCAACTGAAAAAAGACTTTTAGCTACATTTTTCGTTGTTTTACTTGAATAGGAAAATTAATAAATATTTTTCTCAGATCAAAAATGGTTGTAATTTTACAACAGCATTTTAAATTCAGAAATAACTGAAAAAATGTCAAGCTGATAACTGTCAACACGCAAACAGCAACTAGAATGTCCAGTTCAAATTTTGATTTTTTATTACGACGTCAGTGTTTCAATTATGGGGGATACTTTTTAAAAATATGTCTTCAAGGATCCTGTTGTTAATAAGTAAATAGTTCCATTGTCCTCAAATCTATCGCCAAATCCAGGCGGCGATTCCAAGTGTCTCCAAATAATAATCCTTTTGGATTAATTAGAGAACGTCGAAAACGGTGAACTGGACAAGAGCGAGCGCAATCTCGCGGAACTAAAGAAAAGCGTCGACGATATAGTACAAAACCTGGAGCGGAATATCGAAATGGAGAAGGAACAAAAACTGAAAGAATCTCGCAGTATTAAGAAGGAGGAGCCGGGGGTGGAGGACGAGGAGACGGTGCCGATAGCGAACCGGAAGTTTAACCTGTTCGAGAGGTTGGGCCAGTGCATGGAGCGCGAGAACAAAACGGAGGAAGATCTGAAGGCGGACGTCAAAGCGGAAGTGAAGGAGGAACTGAAGAACGAGATACTCAAGGAGCTCAAGTCGGAAATCAAGAACGAGATAAAGGTGGAGGCGATCGAGGAGAGCGAGCGGAAATGGTTCAGCATTTTGCACGCGGACTGCGCGACGTGCGACGAGGTGCATCTGACGACGGGCAGCAAATGGGAAAACGGCAACGTCGGGGCGTGCACCCGCGACATAACCGAACTGAAGATTCCGGTTTTCCCGCCTCCCGGCTCGAATTCGGTCAACTATCATCACGGGTGCGACAGTCCGGCGCCGCTTCAGATGACAGCTGAGGAACGGGCCCAGCTCGAGCACATCCAGAGGCACGGCATGCCCGCATCCGGTACCGTTTGTTTATTTATTTATTTGGTTATTCAAGGCTCAACAAAAAAAAACAATTAATATGGCCGAAACGCGCATATTCATCAATAAATTAAACTCACAGTGACGGTCAGCAAATTAAAAACTATGGTTTTAGCATATTTTCTACTATTTACAAACTCTCTGCGTCAGTACTGTTGGCTCTTCAGAGCTTAACTGAAACTGGCTCCCAGTCTACTTTGTACACAGCTATATATTGTTTGAGGAGGGCGGAGATAAAGGAGGGGCATGAACATTGTCTCCTATGACTGATTCCCCTATTGGTGAAAGTTGAAAGAACATAGAATCCATTTTTTCTAAAGTCTGGAAGCAAACTTTCTTATCTTAAATGAAAAATGAGAAGAACACCTTCTTATCTAAAACCAGAAATTTCCTTAGCCATATATACTCTATACACTCTCACATATGTTTTACCATTGAGTTAGAAACCATTCTTAGATATTTTTATCAATAGAAAACCAGACCGAGCATTGGGTCATTCTGTTTATATGTAACCGGCCCAAAAATTATCAGTTATCAAATCTCTCGTTTATAGAGCTGTAAAACATCTGCTCTTTTCTCTAATAATTTCAACATTAGAGGTATTAAGCGTTCGATTACTTCACCACTTGCCACTGCTCTCCTTCCTTACATTCAAAACTTCGCTGACCACATATCCAAATTTCTTAAGAGATATAACATCAAACCCATATTTACCATTTGTTCAAAAGTCTTCGATCCGTCATAGACAGAAAGCGTTTCAAACATATGGGACAAGAAATGTATTGGAGAGACCTAGGCTCAAAGGATATGAAAGAGTCTTAAAACTAGAACAAATAAACTCATCAGCAACACAATCACGAAACCGGACATAAAATTTTATTTGATAAAACTAAAATTCTTGCATGTAATCAATTCTTCTACCAACGAAAGAGACGATGTTTGTGCCCCTGTCTTAGCTCCGCCCCCTTAAACAATATATAAGGAGATACAGAGCAGAATGCGAGTCAGTTTCAGTTAAGCTCTGAAGAAGCCAACAGAATGATTGGCGAAACGTCAGCAAGTTCGATTTAGCAATAATCGACGCAGGATGAATCTAGAAGTTTTGTAAATAGTATTAGAGTAGCTTGCGGAAGTTTCTTTGAAAAATTAACTAAGTTTTTATTGGATACTGTACTGTGTGTATCGAAGTGTCATCTCTGTCATTCTCCTGTTTGTTCCAAGTACGAAGAATCTGGCTGTGATAAAGGAAATATAATAATAATAACATTTATTTTAGGAATTAGATAATACATACAGAAAACATATCATGTGCACAATGAATTTGAGAAATTTGTTCAGTCTAATACTTGAATACTTAAAATAAAATAATTAAATTAAATTAAATCACATTGTTATTAAATTTATCACCCACTTGATTTATCACTTCCATAATATCATAGTTAACACCAAACAACCAGGAGTCAACAAGCCTCTTAATTTTCTTTGTTTACTATTCTTTACTATTATCCAGATAAGATTGAAAACTACAGTGTTTTTTCTTTCATTCAATAATACACTCTTAACAATATCCTTTATCAAGAATGTTGGCATTTCTGTAAATAGATTTCTTTTAAGGCTTGCTTTTTAAAGAATGTTCTACTTATGTTCATACACACTTCTCTCAATTGGTTTAGCATCTAATGATAAGTAATATCATCAAACACGTGATTGATATCAATCTGTCTCGCCCATGTCTTGTAACTTACTACTTATTTAACGTGACCGAATAATACTTTAAGTGTTTTAGCCTTCTCGATCACCGCCCTAGTCCTATCCGTTGCTACTTCTTCCCAATTTCGTATTCCCAATATATGACATTATCTTACCACCTTTGTTTAGGTTGCCCTAGTGGCCTTCTTGCGATTGGTCTCCATTTTCCACTCTGACTAATTGACCTGTCCATGCAAGCCTCCTGGACCTTATTATACAAGTGAGCCATGGCGTTTAATCATTTCCCTTATTTCACCACATCCAACAATCGGATCACTATGTCTTCAGTTTTTTTTTTCTTGGTAGATTGCGTGGTCGAAGTAAATTGCTCAGTGCAGCTATGACTATAAGGTACTGCATTTCCTTTCTTATGCCTTTTTTTTGTTTATCTGTCAGCCCAGGTACTTTCACTCTTCGAATGACCCATTATCTGTAATTAGGTTTCTGTCTGTGTGGATTCCCTTCTATCTAATTTCATGTATTTAGTTTTATTTTTACTTGCCCTGAGGTCTCTTTCCCCTCTCTTGTATTAGCGTATGAATACTTTCTGATGGAGGACCCGGCAAAATTCAAGACAACATACTTTGGGACACACCATACCCATGTATTGTTGACACAGCTTTAGTTCATTAGTCATATATCAAGCGCGTTCCGGAGTGTTTTTTTTTTTTTCACACACCACCGATATTTTTTCGAAATATTTACGTATATTTATCGAACACTGAAATAACTGCTGGTTCAGGTCTTCGACAAAATAACACCAGGTTGATTTGTAGGTACCAAGAAGTCGGTACCGCCGGAAAAAAGGTACGGCTGGTGGCGAGTAACGAGCTGCGAGCAGCTGCGCGAGCTTTTGGACAACCTCCACGTGCGAGGCGTGCGCGAACGCGAGCTCAAGCGGAACTTCATCGTGTACATGCAATCGACTTACCAGAGGCGTGGTCGCCTGTTTATAGCCGAAGGCGACAATGAGCTGACTGAACTGTCTGGAGAGCACATCGACCGCGTCAGCTACGCCGACGTCGGAGCACCGGCACCGGACGAACCTGGATCCTGGAACAGGGCGGTCGCCCATCGGGTCGATCTATTTTTGCTCGAGCAGGTGAGGCGCGATCAAAATTAAAAAAAAAATGCCTAAAGGATATTTTTTCAAAATGTACGTGTCAGAGATAAAGGGAAATAAAATAGAATCGAGTTGCTGAATTTTTATGATATTCTTAATAATTTAATTGAACTTAAGTTGAGTAAATAACATTAGATGTGGGTGATTCCGTTCTGTTACTATTTTTTTTTTCAAATTTCTAAGATTTTAAAACTAACTCGACTTTTTAAATTTTTTCATGCATATTATGCATCTATTTTACTATAAAAGTAAAAGCCTCAAAAGATTTTACTACAACTTCAATTCATTTATTCACGGTACTGACAGAAAATAAGTTTGAGTTCTTAAATGAAAATTGGAGTGTATTGCTAACAAAAAGTGTTTCCCATACGTGCCCAAATATTAACTTGGATGATTTTGTTCCAACTGTTACTTTTTTACTTAAAATTCCTAAATTTTTAAAATTACATTAAAATTTACTTTACCAAAATTTCTAAGATTTTAAAACTAACTAGAATTTTTCAATTTTTTCTTGCATATTATTAATCTATTTTACTGTAAAAGTAAAAGCCTCAAAAGATTTTACTACAGCTTCAACTCATTTATTCACAGTACTGTCAGAAAATAAATTTGAGTTCTTAAATGAAAATTGGAGCGCATTGTTAACAAGAAGTGTTGCCTACACATGCCCAAATAATAACTTGGATGATTTCGTTCTAACTGTTACTTTTTTACTTAAAATTACCAAATTTTTAAAATTAAATTAAAATTTACTTTACCAAAATTTCTAAGATTTTAAAACTAACTAGAATTTTTCAATTTTTTCTTGCATATTATTAATCTATTTTACTGTAAAAGTAAAAGCCTCAAAAGATTTTACTACAGCTTCAACTCATTTATTCACAGTACTGTCAGAAAATAAATTTGAGTTCTTAAATGAAAATTGGAGCGCATTGTTAACAAGAAGTGTTGCCTACACATGCCCAAATAATAACTTGGATGATTACTGTTACTTTTTACTTACATTTACTAACATTTTAAAATTAAATTTAAAATTTACTTTACGGAAATTTCTAATATTTTAAAACTAGACTTTTTACATTGTTTTTATGCGTTATGATTCATCTATTTAACTGGAAAAATAAAAATAATGACATGACAATTGTTTCGACAACACCGTGTCTTTATCAAATGTTTACATATATAATTTCGTGAAAATCTGAACTCTTAGTTATTATTTATTTTGTTAAATGGATTTTCATCAAGTAAAAGCCACCTGAGTTCAAAATTTGTAAAAATAAAAGCATTAAAGGATTTCACTACAACTTCAAAGCGTCAAGAACAAAAAACAAATTTCCAATTTTTCATTCCACGGTACTGACATAAAATAAGCTTAAGTTCTAAAATCGTATAAACTATTTGCACTATTTCACCAACTCCATGTTTGTAAACAGTATTCGGATGGCATAATTACCGAGACGTTTTATACATCTCAAGAAAGATGGCGCTCAAGTCATATAAATTAAAAATAAAAAAATCGTTAAATTTTAAAAACAAATGTTATTAAACCAAAAAAAGTATCATTTCTTTTTAGTTTGATCATAGAAATAAGAATTTCTGAGGTTATTTTTAAAAATCATAAGTAATATATGTTTTTTTAACTTGTATTTGTAGAAGTAAAACACCTAGAAATATTTAAGCTGACTTTTTACATTTACGTATCTAATATTTATAAACAAAAATATTTTTTTCTGCAACATCCAAAGCATACGAGAGTGGTTCACTGAAAGTTAAGCGCGCCTTGATGCATATGCGGACTTCATGAGAGCCTTTAGTCCACCTTTAGTATAGTATCTTATCCGTTTCTTGTCAGTACCAAACAATGTTAAGTAATGTTATAACATACTGGTTGTTTAAGCCCACAATTTAGGTTATGTGTTGTGTTTATATAAAGTTACTCTTTACGTTTGCGTCGGTGAAACGATAGAACGTAAAAAGACGTTTTTGGCAATTAGTAAAATTTGGACTATTTTTTCCCGCAATATCCGTTTCATTTTTTGATTTCACCTTTTTGAAAATTGATTATTTTAATTTTTAATTTAACATAAATCTTCGTTTTTTTTTAGATGTTTTTAACTCTAACTACTTAATTATGTAAAGTATTTTGGACATACGCTACGTCTCTCGATGTGTGGCGAAACTAAATCATGCAATTAAAAACTGTTATTATTTTTAAACTATATTATAACACTAAATAATTCGGGTAGTAATTTTTGCGATTTTGTGTTTTCGATTTTTAGGTGGAAGCTCTGGAAGATAAAGTGGCGAGCGCAAGCATGCAGGTCAAGGGATGGAAAATGCCCGTCAGAGATTCGCAAGACATACCGGAAGGGGATATCGTCAATATTGTAAGGGAGCGACTGTCGTCCCTCGAGTTGAACATCGAAAGAAGATATTTGAAGCCTCCTCTGGGAATCAAGTAAGAATAAAAGAATTTATTGATTGATTTAAAATTGATATTTCAAGATTTTGTATGTGAGTTTTCACTTTCACATGACCACACTTTATTTTTCTTTTGAACTTATGAAAAAAAAGCAAATGCGCGTCGCAAATTAAAAAAAAAAATCGTCAACTTCACTCTTTAGAAACGGAAGATGAAAGTCCCTTTTTAAAGTAACGTTAAGTTACCCTCACAGATATTAATAGTGTCACCAATTACCATAAAAACACTAGTTTATAATGCGAGTCATTGTTTATTCAAACAATGAAAATATCACCAACGTTTTTCCGAATAACATATACTGAATATTGAATAAATAAAAAACTTGAGTTATTGCAAACCGCTGCACTAGAGAGCAACAAACTATGAAAAGAATTTTAATCTTTAAAAGTAATGAATAATTTTTTTATCTTTACGCCGATCATTTGTTTTTATTGATATGTTCCGAAGATAATAGTAATTGAACTCCAACCGGAGCAGTTGTGTAATTACGTGACGTATGGTGACGTAATTAAGCATGATCCGTATGTCTTAGCTATAATGCTACCATTTTTAGATGCGTCCCGATTTTAATTAATACATTAGTTGAAAGTAGGTAAAGAGTGGGCACATTATTGGGGGTCTGTACCTTTTCTCAGGAACTACGGATTTTAGGAAAAAAAAGTTTATACAAAAGTTTTATGGTTTAAACTAAATTTAAAAATTATCTATTTTTTATATATACGGGTTGTTCGATAAGTGCTAAATTGACATTAGTTTCAAAATGTGAAACAAAACACCCTATATATTTTAATATTTTTAGAATCCTTGCCAAAAATAAAGGTAACGTTTATAGAAACTACTCATTCGAATTATGTATAGTTTAGTCAGAAATTGAGGTTATATAAATTTTTTTATACAAAATTATTTTCGTAGTTAATATGGTCTCTAACTGCTGGCAGTAATGACTACTTGATCAAATTTTAAACACATTTTGGTGATCTGCCACGACTAGGTATTTTAAAATTATACAGGGTGTCTTAAATTAAAAGAGATTTTTTTTTTTTAATTTCAACTTGCAGTATTCATTTTTTTTTTTAATGAGAGGCGCATGTTATTGATATTTTTTCTCCGAGCGGGTCAAAATACTATAATTTGGTATATATATGTCTTATACCTAAATCTAATGGTTTTTGAAATACTGACACCTAATTATTTTAAAGAATTTTAAAAAAGCATATCATTCTTATTTTTTAATTAATTTTAAGGATTTTTGTAATGGGTGATGGGCCTTTTTTGTAGGTAAAATCAAAACGTCATATTTTATACCATCAACGATTTAAAATAATATGTATAATTATGATAGTTTAAAAATTCAAAACAAGTAACAATAACAAGTAAATTAAGCAACAAACAACAGTAACTGTAACAATTAAAGTAAAAATTAAGGAAAAACAAAATAGAAAATCTACAGTAGGTTTTCAACATTGGGTTATTCTGTTTACAGAAAACCTACATACAGGCTGATACCTGAATGCAATGTCACATCACCATCCATTATTAACTCTCCTGTTTACAGAGTCGTAAAACTATCTCAGTCCGAGTCATTGAACCCAGAATTAAAACACCTTACCTCTGCTCTTCTCTCTAATAATTTCCACATTAAAGATATTAAACTTTCCATCAAAAAATACACTTCACCACAACCTTCCAATAGCAATGAGGCCGAAAGCAATCCTACACTTGCCACTGTGATCCTTCCCTACATTCAAAACATCACTGAACACATATCAAAAGTTCTGAAGAAGTATAACGTCAAACCCAGGTTTACCGCTTATCCAAAAACCTCTCAACATCTTCGATCCGTCAAAGACAAAATTCCATTTGAGACGCCAGGAGTTTACAGCATTGCATGCATATGCGGCAAAGAATACATTGGAGAGACCGGACGAAAAATATCAGCTAGGCTCAAAGAACAGGAAAGATCCTTAAGACTAAGACAAATAAACTTATCGGCAGTTGCCGAGCACAAACCGGACATAAAATGTTATTCAATAAAACTAAAATTCTTGCATGTAATCAATTCTTCTACCAACGGAAAATCCGGGAGTCCATAGAAATATATAAGCAACCTAATAACCTTAACCGCGACTCAGATCTCTACCTGTCACTAATATGTGAATTAGTCATCCGAGACGGTGTTTATGCCCCTTATTTAGCTCCGCCCCTTTCAAACAATATAAAAGCAGGTGCAGAGCGAGTTTTAGTCAAGCTCTGAAGAAGCCAACGAGATGATTGGCGAAACGTTAGCTAATTCGAGTCACCAAATACCGACGCAGGAGGAATCCAGAAGTTTTATAAAAAGTATTACAGTAGCCTGTGGAAGTTTCTTTGAAAAATTAGCATATCTTTGATTGTTCCCCATAAAAAAAAACAGTGTTGTAAGACCTGGACTTGGAGATGTTTCCAGAATGGATTACTAATTAAAACAAATTTTGATATAGGTTAACTTGGAATATTTTTGAGGAAACCCGTTTTTTCTATTTTACAGTAGAGGTTACGCTCCCTAGCGGCCATTTTATGAACTTGAAAATAATTTCCAGCTTTTTCTCTCGGCCGATTTACCCATAAATTTTCTTTTTCTAAATTGTAGGACTAACGGTTCCTGATATATGGCCGATTTCCTTTATTTGGTGGGCCACCTGGTAATGAGTAGAAAATCTGAAAGACATTGAAAATTGTCGTTTTTGTGGGTAAACTATTAGCCATAAATGAAAAACTGCACAAGATGGGATAATTCGGTTAGTTGTGAGATTGCGAAAGCAAACAATCTTGTGTTATTTATCGGAAATAGTTGTTTCAAGGCGAAGCAAAGCACTCGAACTTGATGAACTCACTTCAAACTGTATCATTTGTTTCAGCACCAACATCCGTTCGAGTACTGGCGAAGCCACTAGCCAAGTCGGCAGTACCAACCAGGAGTCGTCGGCGTCCGCCGGTACGGCGACGGTACCGTCTCAATTGGTACCGGGTCCCGACGAGATCCCGAAAGGTTTGACCGTTTGGCGGGAGGCCATCAACAGGGCCGTCACCTCTGCCCAGCTGGCGATGTGCCTGTACTCGCTCGAATCGTCCATCGCGTGGGACAAAAGCATAATGAAAGCTGTGAGCCCCCCAACAGAATTTAGCTTGCAGAACGCTCGCAAATATAACAGCAAACAGAGTGTGGGTGCTTCACTCGCTTTTAGTAGCTAATATTATTTTGCGTGTGAGTGGGCGCGCGGTCCGGGGTAAAGGCGGGTACCTACGGCAAAATTCGATGCGCGTTTTTTATATTCACTATATAATCGCATATAGTAAATTTTAAATTTAAGGCAAAACTTTATTAATGGTTTTTTAATGGGAAAAAATATTTCTGCGCAAAATTCGAGACTTACAGTTCACCCGGAGCACTTTTAATATGACGTCACAATACATTAAATGCCAACCGGTGTCCTTGCACATATTTTTGGATGTACATGAATACTTTGTAATTGCCTTCTAAAATACGATAAGTTACACTCCGGAATATGTTTTCTAAAAACAACATGTTCACTCTCTACTCAATTCTAGAAAGGTCGCCTGCGGATTTTAACTTTGACGTCATAAAAAACGCTACTCCGTTGCCTGTGACGTCACGAGGTATGTGGAGACAATGTTGTTATGCTCATTTTTTAAAATATGCAATATTTTTTCATCGATAAGTTTAAAAATAGTGACTTCCCTTAAAATATCTTGTTCTATTTATAACTGTCATTCGATTAAGTAGTGGGCAAGTCTGCTTTCTGTCTTTTTGGCAGGCAAAAATGCCTCCCTTCGATAAAACTATAATAATAATAATAACTAACAAAAGTGAGGTTAGGTCACTATTTATCTTTCATTTAATGAATTCGAAAGTAATTTTTTTTAAGTACCTTTAGTTTTTAAATAAATAATAAATAAAATACTTACGCAAAGTGGGCTTCACAATGGTTATGGATTCCTCCTGCGTAGGTTTTTGCTGACGTTTCGCCAATAATCCTGTTGGCTTCTTCAGAGCTTGACTGAGACTGACTCGCATATTTGCTCTGTACCTGCTTCTATATTGTTCGAAGGAGGCGGAGCTAATGGATGGGCATGAACATTGTCTCGGATGCCTGATTCCCATATTGGTGAAAGTTGAAGTGACATAGAATCCCTCTACCTGAAACTCTCAACATTATTTCAGATATTTTAAAATCCGAGAATCTAGAACCAAACTTGCTGATCTTAATTTTTCTACCAACGAAAAATTCGAAAGTTTATAGAAATCTATAAGCAACCTTACCCAATCTTAACGGCGACTTGCTGACGTTTCGCCAAACATCATGTTGGCTTCTTAAGAGCTTAACTGAAACTGGCTCGCATTTTGCTCTGTACTTGCTTATATATTGTTTGAGGGGGGCGGAGCTAAATGAGGGCCATAAACACCGTCTCGGATGACTGATTCCGATATTGGTCTGAGTCGCGGTTAAGATTGGTTAAGGTTGTTTATAGATTTCTATGAACTTTCGGATTTTTCGTTGCTAGAAAAATTAAGATAAGCAAGTTTGGGTCTAGATTCTCGGATTTTAAAATATCTGAAATAATGTTGAGAGTTTCAGGGATAGGGACTTTAGAAAAGAGGGATTCTATGTCACTTCACCTTTCACCTATATGGGAATCAGTCATCCGAGACGGTGTTTATGGCCCTCATTTAGCTCCGCCCCTTTCAAACAATATAAAAGCAGGTGCAGAGCGAGTTTTGGTCAAGCTCTGAAGAAGCCAACGAGATGATTGGCGAAACGTTAGCTAGTTCGAGTCAGCAAATACCGACGCAGGAGGAATCCAGAAGTGTTATAAAAAGTATTAACAAATATTTCTTACCGGAGCAGAAATAGTTTTAGTGTTGCGTTCTGGCACGATGCAATAACGATAAACCATTTTCAACTCAAAAATAACTGAAGAAATGTCCAGCTGATAAATGTCAACAGCAAAATGTACCTCGTGACGTCACGAACAGCTGAAAATCCTACCTAACACTTATTAATTACGACGTTAATATTTCACTTGTCGCAAAAATATTTAGTGAAAATACTTTTCAAGTCTGGTTAAGTATTTTCACTCATTAAAAAAATATCTCGTTAGACTTATAATTTTTCATATTCTCCTAATTTAAACAGATCTATGAATACTACGTAACTTTATAGGTTATGTCTTTTAATATCGTTCGCGTGATGAAAGTGCAACGTGACGTCATAGCCGATTTTGTAGGGCTTCATGTCGATTCAGACTTCGAATATGTGTATGGGTTAGTGGATTCCAAAAATATTTAGCAAGTTTGTTTTAAATCTATAAATAAACATTTCTGACAAATCAAAAAATGCGGGCCAGCAAACTACCGCTAGAGGCGCTGAAGACACTTTACACAAAAGTTATATAGGGCCGTGTTTTATCTATAATAACCTAATACCGTTTGAATTTTAAAAGTTTACAGTTTTTTTTTTTCTAACCGAATTTTATCGTATCCGCGTATCGAATTTTGCTGTTAGAAAAGCAACGTTTGAAAACTATCACTGATTATTGTTTAACCAAAAAAAATAAGTATTAGTAGAATAAGATAAAGGCTTTGTTCAGGTGATTTGTATATTTATCCCGGATTCGCCTAGGGGGTTGTATTCATAGTCGTTCCTCAGGATGTCTTAATAACTTAAAATTATTCATGATGTCATATTCCAATTTCCATCCTGATACACGAAATCCAAAAACATTTCCATAATTTCAGTAACAACGGAATGTTATTAATAAAAGTGTGTACCTACATGGGCCTAACAAACATCTTCCGCTTTTAGACAATCTTTTTTTTGCCTTTCTCAAATCCGCTCTTTCCTTATTTCTTTATAATTCGCTTGGATTTCTTTGATTTTCTTCCTCGTCCTCTGCGATACTCTTTTTCTATACTTATATTTGTGGTTGTTTTTAATACCCCTTGCGGGATAGAATTTTGCAACTACAATAATTTTTGCACGGGTGCCAACCTCTTTGATTTTTCAGAACTGCCAGTTCTGCCACAGCGGCGACAACGAGGACAAGTTACTTTTGTGTGACAGCTGCGATCGGGGGTACCACACCTATTGTTTCAAACCAAAAATGGAAACCATACCCGACGGTGACTGGTAAGCGGTGTTCTCTTGATTTTCAGTCAATTTTGTACAACTTATAATGAATTTTAGATCCTAAGAATAGAAAATTGTGGTTGAAAATAATTTAAAAAAATTTTAGGTTGAAAATTTCAGTTACAAAAACTATTTTTTTACTTTATTAATAAGTCGAGAATTAATTGTTTAATTAAATGTCTTTAAGTGTATGATTTGATTTGCTGTGACCCTTCAAAAGTATATTTAACCTTGTTATAAATTATTAAATACAAAAATACCCAATTTAAACTTTTAAAAATACTTCTAACAAGTGACGCCAGTGCCAGTCAGGGCACAGTCTTAAATCTAATACCTGCAAATGAGGAAACTAAATTTTGGGAATATTACGCAGATTTAAGATGTTGCTATATGTGTTGAGAACATGTAGTTACTAGATAATTGGGGGCCTTGCTTACCCGAAATACGTTAAAAAGTAACATTCAAAGCAACACAACTTCTACAGTAAGGTGGAGAAACTGTTAATGATGGGTGGTAGTGGACCTTTAAGGTTATGTTGGTGATTCTCTTTTTAACTGTGATTTTTTATATCTTGTATTGCTTGTTCTCACTGGTGATTAATTAATAATCTAATTTTTTATATAATATAATTTGTCATTCAGAGAGAACTTTCAATATATCAGCTAAATGTTTAAATTCGTATTTTTTTTTTGTGATTATATAAATTTTTGTTTCTATTGTCAAACTAAAATTAATGACACTCTTGATTAATGTTTTAAGTTAACATTGAACTCCAGTTCAATAAATTCTGTCTTTAATATTTAACGAATTTTTAATTTGAATTTATATGACTCGAGCGCCATCTACCTTGAGATTTATGAAAAGTACGTCATCCGGGAACTGTTTACAAACATGGAGTTGATGAAATAGTGCAAAGGGTTAATATGATTTTAGAACTCGTCAACTCCGTGAATAAATGAGTTAAATTTGTAGTAAAATCCTTTCGGGCTTTTAGAATAATATAATAATATGCATAAAAAAAGTTTAAGAGTCTAGTTTTAAAATGATAGAAATTTTATATTTTATTTATTATACTTTTGATATTGATTGATATCTAAACGAAATTGAAAGTTGCAACTTGCACCGATGAATAAATTGAAAATTTTGATTTTTGATCAATAGTAGATTTTATTTATCAACTTTTCCATTCAGTGCTGCTGTAGCTGGAGCGTCTAGTTTAACCGGTTGTCTGAGTTATTTATCTAAAGCCCAGTCTAGTTACAGAGAAAGTCCTTTGGCAAAAAGTTAAATATTAGAACTCGAGGTCATCAAACAGGCAACTAAAATAAATACATAAAATTTCCATTCACAGTGATTGATATAAATCTGCTTGAATTACTGAGGCGACGAGATTTTTAAATTTAAACCCGAAAGGTACAACAGTAGAAAACAATATATAGTCAATACGATTTGCGATGGCGTAGTTGGTCCTAAAACCAAGAGTATTTTACTTGGTTCCACTCGCATACTAAGAATATAAAAACCCACCCATTTAACTGACAGTGTTCTACCTTTGCCTATTACATTCCGATAGCACTAGCACTACAGTACTACAAAATAATGTCGTATTTTTGAAAAACTGCTGCAAAAACTCGAAAGGCCGTCTTTAATTGTTATGAATGATGCACGATATCATTCTAGACTTGGTGATGTGTACCAAATGCATAGGCAAGAATAGAAGAAATTAACATTTGGCTGCGCAGTAAGCGGATTAATCAGAAAATAGTCTAACATGCGAGTTGTTGAAAATTGTCAAAAATTACAAAACAAACATGCCGTATGCTATAGACGAAATAATTGCTGAAATGGGTCAAGTTTTAAGATTGCCTTCTTACCATTGTTATTTTAAATGCCTTAGAATATTGGTGTGGGCTCAGTGCAAAATATTGTTTAATAAAAATATTGTAAGTAAGGCGAGGCGAGATGGTCCTACAGTAGTATATGTTTGAAAGGCAATTCTCCAGGCAGTTACTAAAAAAAATTGAATCAGTTGCATAGCACATACAGAACATATAATAAAACAGTAAATACACTTGTACAATGTAGACGAAGGATCATTTTCTGGTAAAACTAACAGTTCCAATTTTGGCTCCGACGATGAAGATGTTTTATCGTAAATACAAAGTAAATATGGTTTACTTGTATAATTACCGTGGGCAAATTATGTTTTATACGGTTTTTTTCCAATGTTTTGCTATTGTTTTAATTTTTATTGACAGAGTTTTCTGACAATAGTTTATTTAACGAATTGTGTTAATCTTTCGCACTCCGATCTATTATTACATAGAAAATACACGACTACATCTCTCAGTATGGGCCTACTAGTTAAATTAATAAATACCAAATACAACTCTTACTCCCAAGTGATATAATCGTGATCGTTAGTGACGGCTGTCTTGCAATGATCAGATAGACATTTAGAGCGGCACAACATATATTAAAGTGCAAGTGGAAGCAAGATGAACAATATTTTATTCTGTCTGGCACTTTATTGCCATCACAAACCGACTATAAGAAAACGTATTACATATTTTAAGCACAGTTTCAGAACAAGTGCCCGAAAAAAGGCATACTCTATAATTCTATTCTATTAAAAGCTACTGCCAAACTCAGTTACAATACTCTTTGGATACATGCTTTGCCTATTTTTTTCAATATCTCATGATTCATTCATTCAAAAAGAATTATAGCCAATTCTACATATTTGCACTATATTTTAAATATTACAATAGTATAAAGCAATTGTGATTTAGGAGTTGTTGTTCAAGGTCCATTTTGGATCTCGCTTTCTGAAGCATAAATTTGATGGTAGTTACGGCCCCATAACTTTAGATGGCAAAATTTTAACTATTTTTTGTGATTTTAATATCTCTGCATCCTCCGACTTCTTAGACACGTACAGAAAATCAATGTATTAGATTGCTTAGGAACTTCATGCACTGTATGAAACTCTCGCAAAGTAATTTTGTCAGAAATAGAAGCAATAAAATTTTGGACTATCACCAATTGCTTGGTAGAACGTGCAATAGATGAGTTAGTTCAACAAGGTGACCATCATCCTACAATTCTTTTATGCAACTCTTACGCCACCGGATAATCATTTTAATTTAAAAAAAGCTAACTTTCTGCTTATGTACGACATGTTTTTAATATAGAATAGAAAAGACGAAGTTCGATGTCACAAAAGGTTCAGAAATACAGGTAGTCCTAGTAGTTATTCACCTGAGGAGGAAAAGGTTTTAGTTGATCGGTGATCCTCGTAAAGGACATCAACAAGACACTATTATTGAGCACCAACATCTTTAAACAAGCTCAATTTTGTCTATTCCGCAGATTTCCTAGACCACCAAAAATAAAATTATATAAACTTTAATGACACTGAGTTACACACGAGATATACTCCACTCTTTTGCATTATGTTTTCGACAGTCATGTTCTAATAGGAGTTCTCTCAACAATTTTAATGGCATTAGCAATTTACTCTGAATGTCAGGTGGAAAAAGCTCTTAAAGTAATTAAACCTAAATTTACAATGGGTCAAGATTTAATTCCAGCACTCCTGACTAGGTGACTGTCGTTTTGTTCTGACTAAACCGCTTGTTACTCTGTGACTGAGAAACTAAGCCGTTCCTGGTTTATGGGAAATGTCTAAAATTATTCCCGTACACAAAAAAAGACGGAAATCGCAAACTATAGAGCTATTTCCTTTATTTTTGTAAAGTTTTATCTCTCCTACGGGACAAAAGATTTCATATTGTTAAGAACCAAATAGTCCCCCCACAATATGTTCTTTTAAACGAAAGATTCATTATTTAACGAATATGTCTCAGTATATTTCTGAGGCTACTGATGAAGGTTCTGAAATGGACGTCACAAAATTCTAATCCACAAGGTCCGTGACTTTGGAGATTTTCCGAATCGCTTGTTAATTTGTTTTTCTGTCAAACGGCACTCAGTGCTTCTATCTTTATGGTCACACTTGCGTGCTGCATTGCTTCCTCAGGCGTTCCTCAAAGCCATTGGAGCCATTATTATTCAACATTTTCGTTAATGAAATTGGTGACTTTGGTAAGGACCTTGATATTAGTTTTTTGATATATGCGGGCCACATAAAAATTAAAAAAAAAAAACGGTGTTCAGAGGATTGTCTTACTCTCCAGCGTAGTTTGAAGCAAATGAATGAATAATAACTTGTAATTTAATACAGCCAAGTGTAATGTAGTCTTTTACCGCCATGACTATCATTTTTTTGATAAAACTCTCTCCCATTATAACACTTTTTGTGACTTGGGAATAATATTCGACTCGAAATTATCCTTTGTTGCTAATAAGGTACTGGCAGACGCCTCAAAAAGCTACGGATTTATCGTACGTTGCACCAGATACTTTAAAAATACAGAAGTGATAAAAATACGTCATACGTGAGGCCTAAGTTGGAGTATGCACGAGTAGTTTGGTTCAACTGGCTACAGTTGTCATATTAATAGCCTGGAAAAAATTTAACGAAAGTTTTGGTTAGTATGTATGCATGGTATAAGTTGGACGTAGTATATCCCCCCACAAGGCATACAATTGTATTAAATAAATTTATTTGGTTATCTGTATTTTAGTGATCGCCATGGTTGCCATTACTTAATGATGTTATTTAAAATTTTAAATAACTTTTACTTGATGAAAATCCATTTAACAAAATAAATAAGAATTAGAAGTTCAGATTTTCACGAAATTATATATTTTCATATGACAATTGTTTCGGCAACACCGTGTCTTTATCAAATGTAATATTTACAAACTACCTGGTACTACATATACCGAAAAATGACCATAAAACCTTAATTAATATTGTTGTGATAATTTAAGTTCACTAAAGGAGAGGTATTTAAATCTAATTGATTGTTAAGCAATACATTTATCAATACAATATCAAAATTATCGTCAAAAATGTGTTTTTATGTGTTTAAGTGTGTTCCAACAAAGCAAGCAAAAACATCAGCCACTCATAGAAAACTTTTACTTAAAGGATGTTCTAGTATGATATTTTAAAAAATTATTCATAAAAATCTCGGGTAACGAAGGACTAAGTGGGTTTCCCATAATCAAACCTTCCTTAGAGATGTAAATCTGACCATTAAAATCAAAATAATTTGGGTCTAATGATACTATTAAGCAATCTAATAAATCTTGTTTCACCAATGGGTTAACCTGTTTCCGAGTGAGGGTGAAATCTACTTTTATTCCAAATTTTGGTTTAAAATCTCTGTGGAACTTTAAAATATTTATTAATTTTGTTGAGAGTTTTAACTGCTGGAACTGTTACATAAGATACGACTTTTTTTTTAATTTTAAATAACTTGTTTATGGGTTAGACTTTAGGTTAAGTTTCGTAATATCATTTAATAATTTGTACTACAACCTACCTGATAGTTGGTCTCCATGCCTGTTAAGTAGACTTCTTTAAATAAATAAATATTATCTAATAGCAATATGGTTGAAAGTATTCATCTCGCTTCACATTCGTATCCGTACAGGTATTGCCACGAGTGCATGAACAAGGCGACTGGCGAACGCAACTGTATAGTTTGTGGAAAGAAAACGTCTACCACAGGAACGAGACTGATAGTGTGCGAGCTGTGCCCTCGCGCTTACCACACAGACTGCATTCAACCTCAGATACACAAAGTTCCTCGCGGTAAATGGTACTGTACGAACTGTATATCGAAGAAACCTCAAAAGAAACCAGTTAAAAAGAACAACAAATCGTCCGGTTCGAAAGACGACTCGTTCGAACAGCAGCCTCCTTCTAGGTGAGTTTTCGATACATGTCTTGTTTCGATAACCAAAAGAAAGTGGTGAGAATAACATGCCCATAGAGCTGCTTTTTGCGAGAGATTTATTTGGAATTTTTAATCGGATTTATGTTTCAGGCATGTTACAGAAAGTAGCAAATAATTTCGTAAGACTTTCACTGTTAAAAACAAAATTAGTCTCGGTGATGGACGTTTTAGTTTAATGCATTTAACGAAGATTGTACGAGCATTTGGCGACCGAATTATTCTTATTCTTATGTCAATGAAATTGTATGATGCAACGTATGTAATAATAAATATTTACTTAAAAAAATCACGATTCAATGTCTTGTCTTTGTTTTTAAAACAATATTTTTGGGCGTAAGGTGATTTACTTTTATTGGGCGCGATGGTTGGCCATGGAAGTGTAGGTTTTTTTTTTAACATTTTCCCCTACTTTTCGTTCATTGTTTTTTAATCTTTTTGTAAAAATTGCAATAAATAGGGCTTTTATGAGAAGGAAATTTGCAATGACGGCCGATCATTGGGTCAGTAAAAGTGAGTAGGCCTACCGACGTAATTGTTTGAATTCACAACAACAAATGTCACATGCAGCACTACCATAATGTTCGGTTCACTATATTCATTAAGTGTTACATGGTACGCTTGTATTATGTTTGTGTAAAAAAAAATGTTAATGATCCTTACAATGGACCAAAAAAATCGATTATTTTGTTTTATGTCCTGATAGCCAACAGCCAAACGATTGGGGTAGAAATATTTAACTATATTTTTGTAGGAAATTGAATTCTTTATAGAAACGCAATGGTTGAAAATTGTTATTATACGTTTATTATCCTTGGCTAGCAATTGCACTAATGGTTATTAATAGTTAATAGTTATTACTATGCAATAATAGTTATAAATCATTAATAATAACAATAATAATATAACGCGGTTCAGATGAGCAAAATATGTATATTTTTTCCATTTGTTCCATTTATTATTATTATTGTTTAAAAACCTGTATGTGTCAAAGCCCAACATTAACCAATTTATCAAATTGCAAACCTACAATAATTCGTTCGCGATTCAAATCAGAATAATTAAATTAATTAATCAATTAACGTTAAGCATACCAGCAAAACCTGGAAGAGTTTTCTAGAATATTTTCTAGAATTAATAAGTACTTTTTCGTTTTAGAATGTTGTAACTAACAAACAACTCAATATAGAAAAAAGAACACAAATGATAATGATAATATTTTTTATTATTCACGATTGAACTTAACAAAAACATTTAATCCTTTTCAATCATCAAAAATTATTTTCAAATTTCGAATTAGTTTCGAACATTTGAATTTTATTGCTTTCTGGTACATTTTCAGTGTAAATACGATTGTTTTTTTGTTATAAATACAAATTATTTATTTACAATATTTTATGCATTTATTTAATATTATATTTGCCAATACGGACAAATTCGTATCTATTTATAACTTTGTTCCCTTGCCCTTTGTATTTGTAGATCAATGAAAAGGGAACTAGTGTAGGGATTAACGGAAAGGCTTTGTCATTTTAAGTTAGTAGTTGCGGTAGAGAGAGAAAGAGACAGTCCTTTCTCTCATCAAAGCGCTTAATAAGTTAAAGAAAAGTTATAGATACAAATTCGTCTTTATTAACAACTATAATATTGTACTAATGTATAAAATATTTCAAATAAATAATTTTCAAGAATAAGAAATTGATATAGTAATTTTGAGTGGAAACAATTGCGTAAAATATGAAAGGAATTTCTTTTCAAGTTCAATGGTGATTAACTTTATAAAAAATATTAAGACCCGTTCTTGTAGGCCAGTAAATTCTTTTTTATTTATTGAGTTATCCGCAACAAAATTTAAAAAAAAAAAAGAATGTTTAAGGGTTGAGTTCTTGAAAACTGCTCGTCTGATGACAATTTTGAAGCTTTTTTTTTATAGAGAAATCATTTTCCTACACGAATATATTCAGATAAATATGTTTACCTCCATCGTTTGACTGTTTTGACGCACTAATGAGAACAGTACTAACAAATTGAAAATACGATAGATCTTTTCTCATTAATATTAAGGGCTTCAAACGGTCACGTCATTTTTTTTCTCGTCAATAATGAGTTTAAATAATTTACAAAAATCATGTGACATTTAATACCGCCAAAGTTGCAACATATAGTCCGGCAAATTTCGTAAACAATGTGCTTATGTTATGTTTTCCCAAAACTTCACACGGTCATAATTACAGCATACGTACCTGGTGATCATTTATAATGCCCCCCTCCCCCTCCTTTAACTCTTTTATTTAACGTTTGGGAAACATGTTAAATACAAAAGCTGTTGAAATTAAAGTAACCTATTTTCAAGTATTGATTCACGGATGGAAAAATGTGATGACACTATATTCCGGGATATAATCCGTTCGATTGTTGAACTCCGACTGGAATCCTGCAGACGTTTCGCCAAAATCTCACTTGGCATCTTCAATGCTCGCGCCCCGAAAACACTACGAACACTGGGAGGTTATCGGCGGTGCGTGCGGTATTTATACCCTGCGCCGGAGATGGTAACGGTGCTGCTTGTGCGGGAGGGGAGGTGGCTCCGCCCCCCGAATTGTCGCGTTGTTAATTTCGCCCGATCGTAGTTGCGATGTCCCCGTTGGCTGCTGCGTATCGCTCTGCTGTTTGATTATCGTTCTCCACGTATTGGATAAATGCAGAGCATCGTCTCTCGTATTCAGGTGTCCGGACTTTTCTATCTCGATGGCCTCTCGTATCATCCTAGTCCTAAAATCTGGAATATTAGCTATTTGTTTGCAAGTACCGAAATCAATTTTATGGCCTGTCTGATGTTGGTGCTGAAACAAAGCAGATGTTGTTTGTTTGTTTCTTATGGCTAAACGATGTTCCTCGAGCCTGGCTGAAATCCTTCTGTTGGTCTGTCCCACATACGTCAGGCTGCACGATCCGCATGCTACACTGTATACTCCTTGGTTTTTCATAGTAATTTTTTGTTTTGGGTTTCTTAGTATTGCTCCGATGGTATGATCAGGTTTGTATGCCGTTGATATGTCGTGTTTCCATAATATTCGGCCGATTTTGTCAGTAACCCCCTTGATGTATGGCAGGACAGCGATCGATCTTTGTTGGGTCTCGTCCTGCACTCTCTGCTGCGGCTGTTGTTTGCTGATTGCCTTGCTGATGATGCGCCTTTGGTATCCGTTTTATCGAAGACAGCTACTAATTTTCTTCATCTCTGTTCCTCTCGTTTGTTAGCCTGAAGGACCGAGCAATTAATGTACTTGCCACTGCCTGTATCTGTGATGGGTGATGATGAGATTTAGCGCTCAGATATCTATTAGTGTGTGTTGGTTTTCTATAGACAGTGTGTGTGTTCCAAGTGTCCATCTTCGGTTCTTGTGATGTGCACATCTAAAAAGGGCAGACTGTTATCCTCTTCAAGTTCTATTGTAAATTGAATCCTTGGGTGAATGGAATTCAGATGATCTAGGAATTTCAAAAACTCATCCTTGCCAAAAGGCCATACAACAAATACGTCATCTACGTATCTTGTCTATGGTTTTGGCTTCAGATTTGCCTTCTCTATTGCTTTCTTTTCGAAGTAAATCATGAAGAGGTTGGCAATCACAGGTGAGAGAGATGATCCTGTTGCTGCTCCATCTACTTGTCGGTAAATTTTCCCGTTGTACATAAAGTAAGCGTTTTTCAGGCAATGTCTTGACAGATTCATTATGTTTTCTTCTATAAGCAAGAGTGCCTCTTCTACTGGAATGCTCGGGTAGAGAGATTTGACATCGAAATTTGCCATAATGTCGTCCTTGACAATCCTGAGAGAACCTAAAATCTGAGTGAAATGTTCTGAGTTTTTAACATAGGAATCTGCCTTTTCCACTATGGGCTGAAGTGCACTGGCCAGATGTTTTTCCAGCTTACATAATGGTGAGTTAAAGGCGCTAAAACCCCGTCCTTATGGATCTTTGGGAGCCCGTAGAATTTTGGGCAACGACTCGATTTTTCCCTAGGAATAAGTTTCTTCTTTGTATCCTCGTTTATTGATGAATCGAGAATTTTGGACTTGTTTTTTCCAAATATGTCGTGGGATCTCTGGTGACTAGTTTGTATATTGGGTCGTTCAAAATATCCTCCAATTTTGCATTATAATCCAACGTATTCATGACGACAGTGGCATTTCCTTTGTCTGCTGCAGTCAGATGCAGGATTCCAGTCCCGGAATATAGTGTCATTATATATATTATATATACATATATATATATATATATATATATATATATATATATATATATATATATATATATATATATATATATATATATATATATATATATATATCAAATAACCAATATTCTATAATTTATAACGTATATATGTTTATAACTGATAGTGACAGTTACAGATTTAGCAAAACTATGCTCTTTTTATTATATGTAAAATTATTCGCAAAGAGAAGAACAAAGCAGAAAGAAGGGAACATTGGAAAGAGATAAAAAATAGTGTTGATTAATGTTTACTGAAATTTTTCATAGATTCGATGAAAGGTTTTTTTGTCTGGAACGTGTATTCAAGAGTTAATTACTTTGAGCCAATTTAGCGCTCTTATTTGCTTTGAACAAACGTTTTGTAATAAAATAACATTAGTTTTGCTAAATCTGAAACTGGTAATTGCCACTGTCAATTATAAAAACTTACTTCACCTAAAATATAAATTATAAATCCTAGAATATTATTTTATTTTTGAATGTTCCTTTTATGCTAAAAACGGGATATATCTCAAAAACTATCGGATTTGTGTATGGTACATATTATACAAGAAAAGTGCAGAATTTTTAATTGATTTAATTAAGGGGGGTGGGGGCATTATAAATGATCACCAGGTGTACATAAGTTTGCAACAAAATTATATTATTTTGCAATATAAATTTTTGGTACTCCAAAAATAAATTTGTGTATGTTTTGGTTATGTGCAGGTATGCATTATAAAATATTTTTGTTGCAATTAATTTTTAAAAAATCTCATTTGGTTTGCAAATTTCCCACACCCCACTGTGTACCGCTTATTATCGTCACAACGTGTCCCAACCAGCACTTTTCATTTTTCCATATCATTGTACAACTCAATCTCGGTAAACGTATTAAAAGATGTGTTAATTTGCAGTCCCGCCCCATCTCATAGCTCAGTGACAACTAACGAAGATATGCCGACAACGAATTGCAACCAGAGTGATGTTTCGAACTCGAGCCTAACCAATGCCAGCTCTCCGTCCACGCAGCAGCAAAACTTAAAAAAGGAACGCGACAAGGCAAATAAAAAACTGATGAAAGAGTTGGCGCCTTGCAAAGCGGTCATGGAAGATTTGGAATGTCACGATGACGCGTGGCCTTTCCTATTGCCCGTCAATACGAAACAGTTTCCCACTTACAAGAAGATTATTAAAATTCCGATGGACCTGTCCACGATTAAAAAAAGACTGCAGGATATGGTGTAAGCACTCGTTTTCCCGTAATTTATTCTTTTAAGGAGAGTTCGTGCAGTTTTTTTGGTTTCAACCCTGTATCTATAGAAGTTACAGCCCTTTCAAATTATTTTTATCCAATGAAATGCGCTTTTTGCCCTTTCAAATATATCAAGGCCACGAATGATCAAACTCATTTTCTAAGTGTTTTTATTTTGTTTTGTTTGCCATTTTTATTAAAAAAATATTCTGCAAGTTGACAGACAAGTAGATATTTGTACTTACTCATGTACTGCACGTCGATATCTCGTTTTCCATTATCATCTATCATCACATCATAATCCACTTCTTTACGATTTGAAGAGGTTTGTTTTTTGAGTTCTGAAGATTATTGACAAGAGTATCAAAAATTATGAATCCGGTCCTTGACAAAACTAGCCTTAATTAAAATGACTAGAAAATGTCAAATTTCATCTGTCATGATTGAAATTTTAGAGTTCTCCAAACGATATATCGTTTTTACGACATAGTTCGGTATTTAACTTGGATAAATTTTAATGAAGGTCTAACCTCGCTTGGGTTTCTCTTTGTAACCCTTAGTACGGCTACTTCGCGCATACAAATGCTGAAAGCTGACGGATTTAGTAAATTATATTTGTATATGGTACCTGAATATAAATGGCACATTGCGTCTTGAAGTAAGTAATTACTAATTATAAACACAAGACGGAATGGAAATAACTCCAAAGCCTTGGACGGCTAGAAAATACTGTTTCATAAAACTGACAGTATACTCCGATTTCCCCAACCCCCACAAATCAACCAATAGCAAAGTGGGAAAACATCCATTATAAGATTTTGTGTTGCCTTCCTTAGACCCTTAGATTGGAAATCAGTTTAAGCTTTCTAATGGGCAAATTCAGCTTGAACTTGAGCTACCTGAAATAGGGACTGTTTTAGGAAGATTTAAAAATAGAAAATTTCCCTCCTCCTAAAATACCAACAGTCCCCACGGCACCGTTCTTATCGGCTAACATCCTAAATACGGCCCTGGCGGGTCTTTTAAACTCATTCCCAAGTGCAAACCATAAAAAGTTGTAAATACGGTATATGGTTTGGAGAACTCTACTTGGCCCAGACTGTAGTGTTTATTTACGGTTTTTAATGTAAGAACTTATAAATGATAATAATAAGTAGTTCCCCTAAAAGAACTATTCTTCATGTATCTGGGCATGTTGCATGAGTGGATCTCTTTTTTTTTTCAGGTACAAATCGCGAGAGGAATTCTGCAACGACGTGAGGCAGATATTTAATAATTGCGAAACGTTTAACGAAGACGACAGCCCGGTGGGCAAGGCGGGCCATTGCATGAGGCAATTTTTCGAGGCAAAGTGGAACGAGCTGAGCAATTCTCACAGTTGAGGACTTAAGAGTAAATTTAAGAGGCCTTAATCGAAAAAGGCGGGACGCCAGTATACAGTATAGGGAGTTGCATAACTGTAAATTGTTGTGGTGCTTTTGGTTAGTTAAAGGGCCGCAAGGGTTAATTGGAGGGCAAGTTTGAGGCACTGTAGTTTTACTGTAAATTGATACAGGTATTTTCATTGCGTGATATTGATAATTGACAATTATTGATAATATTTATATATATATATGAAGGCTTTTTTACGATTTTTTATATTTTGTCGGCAAACTGGTATAGATTCATCATTTGTATGTCCCGGCTGGACATCGCATCACAGATAGACTTAAGTAAAATTAGTTTGCGATTTTGCGTAGTTGTTAAACCATCGACTTCGTCTTTTTTTGATATTTTTTATGTACGTTTTTTTTTATACATTATTTAAACACTTATTTATTTAGAGTTAGGTTCGCTTGCGTCAGTTGACAAATGTGAGTTTGTTTGATGAAAGTAATAAGTCGCTACATTATCGAACTGTAAACAATATGATTGTTGACTTTTTCTCAAGTGTATGTTGGTTGAACATTTTGTAATATAAAACTGTAAAAAAAAAATGTGAAAAATTGTGTCGCTCAACTCTAATGGTAAAACTCCCCTTCAAATTGTGTTTTATGTAAGCTGAAAACGCAGAATCTATTTAAAATTTAATGAATGTATTTTGGTAGACTAGTTCTATGCAAATTATGTTTTGCGACATTAGAACTAGATTATGTATTTGAGTGTAAGATATTTATATTAATTATATTTAATTATAAATGTAGCGCATTTATTCATTCATCCTTTAAGTAAAGAACCCAATAGCCAATTCCTCATTTTACATTAATCTTTATAATAAATTCTTCGCGATTCACACGTCATAGTTATTTTGTGATCCATTACATCCATGCTTTCACTATTTGGCCGAATGATGCTTGCGCTTATGGCCCATAGGCACACTGTCAAAACGTTAGTTCATAAAGATGTCGGACGAGGTTGCTCTGGCACAAAATGCTCGACCGGGTGAGGACACAATTTTCGGAAAAATATTGAGGAAAGAAATCCCTTGCAACTTTATATACGAAGACGACCTGGTGGGTATACCCTAAAATGTTCAAACCTCGTCCAACTGACTTGTTTTCAGTGTGTGGCTTTCGACGATGTAAATCCTCAAGCGCCCGTCCACTATTTGGTTATTCCTCGCAAACCAATACCTCAGTTATCCAAAGCCGCCGACGAAGACGAACTGCTATTAGGTCATTTGCTAATTGTAGCAAGAAAAATAGCTGCAACGCGGAAGTTGGATCAAGGGTTTCGAATCGTTATTAATGATGGGCCTGTGGGCGCTCAGTCTGTTTATCACGTTCACATACACGTTTTGTCCGGGAGGCAGATGCGTTGGCCTCCGGGTTAATAATTTTGTTGAGCTGTTTTACTCAATAAGTGTGTTATTAAAGTAATTTTTTGCTGCTGTATGTATCCCCTTTACAACTTATATGGCTTAAAGCCTAATTTAAAAAAAATACTTCGCTGTTACTAAATTATATATTTGGTTAAACATAAATTAAATATTTGAACACATAATACTATCAAGTGAAAAACAGTGAAGGAGAATAATACAATCAAAAACTGTTTTTCTAGTACAAAAACACCCAAATTTAGGGAGCATTTACCAAAAAAAAAATCACATTATTTAGTTCCAGTAGATCCAAATCCACCTTCACCTCTGACAGTGTCCCCTAATTCCTAAAATAATGAAAAGCAATTAATGCCAAACTTGGGAAAAATTACTTACTCACCTGTACTTCCTCCAAATCAGGATAGTAAATTTTTTCGCATATGAGTTGGGCAATTCTATCCCCACTTTTAATATCGAAATCTGAGTCAGAGTGGTTAAATAAAACTACCTTTAAAACTCCCCTATAATCCTCATCTACGACGCCGGCTAAAAAAAACTCGTTTTACTCATCGCGTTTTCAGAAACAAATTCTAAGTATATACCTCCAACGTCAATAAAATTCTTCACAGCTAATCCAGATCTGGGTGCGATTCTTCCATAACAGCCTTCCGGTAATTCGATTTTAAGGCCCGTGTCGACCAGAGCTTTGCCTCGTGCCGGTACCACACAATCCAGAGCACTTTTTAAGTCATATCCTGCCGCTTTTATTGATCCTTTGCTTGGAGGATACGCTTCTGGAATCGCTTTGGTGTATTTGATCACGAGAGACTTATCGTTAGCAGAAGGCATTTCTGTTAGATTACTTTTACAAAATTTATTTAACACCTTCGAAACGGCGCGTAAAAATGAGACGTTTCTGACCCAGCTCTTTTTATTGTGGGCCAAATGGGCGCCAAATTTACACGAAGGGAGGGGATGGAAAACGCGCCAAACGGACGAAACCGTTACAACGGAATTTCGCATTTTAATATTTCTATTTTACAAAGATTTCTAGCCATACGTACCACGTAACTAAATATTTAAGAGCAATACTCTTAGCTAAATTAAGGTTAGAAACTGTATTGGTCTTCTTAGTCGGCTTATTTCAATTGTAAAACGGGAGAAACTTTCAAATTAACGAATTTTGATGCGTAATTTTCTACGAATTTTAATACATTCAAGACCATTTTAATTGAAGCAATACGTACTAACTTGATTACATTCTTAATTTTTATTACCCTCACAGCTATCACGTACCACCAGTACACTAAACTGAAAAAAAAAAAACGTTTTTGTATTAACACGCCACCGCATCACGAAAATTCAATAGCGGCTCCTTCCAATGCGCACGCTCTTCCGAATCGTTATTGGTCCCTTCAATCTCGTGATAAGGCTCCTTGCTATTGGTCCTCGGAATCACGTGACAATATTTCAGAACAAAATAACTACGTCTCGTTGGTCAGAAATGGCGATTTCGAATTCCGGCAAAAATTGCATTGGATGTCAAAGACCACAAACCACTGCTACTGCCATTTTTTCCCATCGGTTAGTGCAAGCCATGACGTCATCCATCCCGTTTCACGTGTTGTTTTTATGAGATAAAATAATTTCTAGTCTTTTGATGGTGTTTTTAAGGTTTTAATGCAATGGATTTTTCTTGAACGACAAAAGCAATGGGGATTGGATACCTGGAAGGAGGGCGAGATGTTAATCAAAGACTCGGGTTGTGATGGCATGTTTTACTCGGTTTATTCAAATATATCATTCGACAAAATGTGGATAAAATTATACGATTCAAATGGACAAACAAAACATGTTATAATGTGATACGGTAAAAAAAATAACACCAACATCGAAAACATGAACATCTCTTAATTTTAGAAACTATGTATAATAGCAAATAAAATCCTATCGTTACAACAAACGTTTATTATTAACGCTTAACTCTAACAGAAAACTAGTTTGACTTAGAACGTAAATATACAGGTTGAGCCGACGAGTTGTGTAAACAATTCAAAACCGTAATATTTTTGAACGATTAAAAAGACAGACTGTATATAGATTTGCGTTACGGAATGAACTAAACAAGATTTTGCGTTGGGCCCAACCTGTACATAAAATTTTTAGCAGCAACATCATCCGAAAACAAACTTTGCGGAACAACTACAATGTTAAAATATACTTTTTTTCTATATAAAGCTAAACTGTAATAATAATAAATTTCAATATCACTTAATGAAAATCTTTTCATTTTGCTCACGACTCAATTTAACGCACTTAATAGAATATAATCACTTTTAAAATCAAAAATTCTTAAACGTAGTTATGTTTTATGGGGACCCACTCCAAAAAATAGTATTACCATCAGTCGTACTCGATTTGGAACGAACTATTTGCAAATTCGCGTCACGTAAGTTTATTTCGCGCTACATTGTAAAAATATTACCGACTGTTTCGAATTTAAATTTGTACAGCCACTGCCGATTACGAATTACAATAATATGAAGGTAAATTGTCGGGTACTCGCATAAAAAAAAGTTCATCATGTCAAAATTTCACGGTAACACGCTAAGCTCCAAAATCGTTGCGAGCAGTTGCTTAAGGGCCTATGCGCCAATTTACTCGAAACGGATTTTGTTACAGTTTTGGAACTTGCACATAAAATTTTATGATATTGTGCTGCCATTTTTAGGAGTTATTTGAAATTTACAAAAAGTTCTATATACCATCACATGGCTTGCGTAAACTTTGGTACCGGAAAACGGAGATGCAATGAAATAGGCTCCTGTATTTTTCATTTTCTAACAAACAAACTAAACACTACAAAAATGTCGTTGATACTTTGGTCTGTCAACTGGGCGGGTCAAAATAAAAATTAAGGAACCTCGACAGCCTACATTACGTTAGTTGCGAAAGGGTAATTCAATGAAATGTTGCATAAATAATAATAATAATTACTTTGAAGTAGTTCCTTTTCCGCAGAGTTAAGATTTTTAAACAAAATATGATGATTGATTCAAATAAGAGTTAAGGAACCAATTACGACAATTTTGCCCTCTAACTGTCGGAGTAACGACAAAACATATACATTTTTTTTTATTAATGAGCACTTATGTTTATACTTTTTTAAATCATTTTTAATAATTTTTTTAACGAGGTTCTTGCGGACAATGAAACCGAGAATTACGACGGTACCAACATGGAGACCGAGATCAAAGGAAGAGAACGCAGAAAAAAACCATAGTACATGACAACGAGTAGTAAATGCCAAATCTCTTATAAAAGTTTTAATTAATGGGAGAACCCGAGTTTCGAAAGTTAATATGGAGGTAGAAAATAATGTCAGTGATAGTGACGATTCAGACTACATAGACTAATTATAAAAAAAAGTTTCAGAGGGCATTTAGCTTAAGTCAATTTTTTTTTCTAAGTGTCGTTTTATTTTTTTTATTTTCCATACTTGCGATTTAGTTTTTTTTGTTTGCATGTTCTTTCAATAAAAAAGAGTACTTTGAATTTTTACAGATATAGTATTTTTTATGTCCAACTTAAATAAAACACCATTTATTTCTTTTTTTTTTATCACTTAGACTGATTGAGTTCTGAGTCCTCCATTTGTCGGTCTTATTGTGCTTAACAAGTCATTTAAAATTGAAACAACACTTATCATACACATTTTTTTTTAATTTGACGTTTTGTGACCTGAATCTGTTTACAAAGAATCGAGATTTATCCTGCAATACTTAGATGCTATCACAGACTTCACGTATGGTGTAGGCTGCAATCTCACTAGAGGCACATACAAAATTGCATATCGCTCCAAGAGACTCCGTAACTGATGTTACATATACTGAAGAAATTGTGGACTATTTTGTTGTCCTTTATGATGATTATATTGGAGATATTTTTATTCTGATGCATGATGATGTCACTCAAAACTACTTAAAACAATGTAGACTTTCTCTTCACCATTACGTCCAGAAACCAATGGAAAATGTTTGGGACATGCTTGGACGAAGAATACGAAGTCAGGCTTCTGCACCTTTGACTTTAAATAAATAGCATTGCTATTAGTTGAATGGGAACTTATCTGTTAAGAAGACTTCTGATTTTAAAAAAAAGTGGGTGATTCTGTTTTAACTTTGATTTTTTATGTTTGTTCCCACTGGTGATTGATAAATAATCTAATAATGAAATTATTGTATGAATTAGATAATCTTGAACACATTTCATCATATTTTTTATGTAATACCATTTCTTTCAGAGAGAAGCTTCAAAAGTTAATATGAAGATAGAAAATAATGTCAGTGATAGTGACGATTCAAAACTACATAGACTAAATAAACAAACTTTCAGAGGACATTTATCTTAAGCCAATTTTTTTTTGAAAATTTCGTTTTATTTTTCTAAATTTCCTTAATTTTGCTTTAGTTTTCTTGTATTTGAATATGTATAAAATTTATTTTATGTCGGTACCGTGCAATGGCAAATTGAAAATTTGTTTCTCGTTCTTGACCGCTTTCAAGTTGTAGTAAAATCATTTGAGACTTTTAAAGTTAAATAGATGAATAATATGCATAATTTTTTTTTAAAAAAATCTAGTTTTAAAATCTTAGAAATTTTGGTAAAGTAAATTTAAATTTAATTTTAAAAATTTCGTAAATTTAAGTAAAAAAGTAACAGAACGGAATCATCGAGGTCATTATTCAGGGAAATATATGGAAAAACTTTTTGTTACCGATACAGGTCAATTTTCATTAATTTAACGTCACATTGGCGTTTTTTTTTCGTGGTGTTGTAGTGAAAACAATAAAGTATTACAAACCATTAAGTTTCTGTCAACTTTGTCGAACCCATTTTTCCCACCCGAGGACTCGTTCTATCGTTTCTGTATAGTGTATGAAAAAACCCGGCATCGCAACGACTTACGCACATCCACACCCTTCCAGATGGCAGATTACGGTTAAATGCGGAGTGGATCCCGTTCGACGAGCGTTCATAATTCACATGCACATGGGATAAACACCAAATCTATGACATTGAACTGCACGGTAACCTAGGAGAACCCATCTGGGTCAGGACCCGGTCCAACCACTGTAAGGGACCGTTCAAGTGAAGTTCTATCCAGCACGGTGTCGACGTCACCGTCTGGCGCCTGAAGAAAAAAAAAGTTACGTATAAGGTTGGTAATTCCACAAGAAAAATAATTTCAAACAAATCAAATGTCATTTGTTGCCAACTAAAAATTTCGACGGAAGGAATGAAAGATCTTAGATATGAAGCTAGCGCCAAAATTTCCCGGCCTGACATAGATGCAGCTCCAGTATCACGATAAAACTTTGTCTCCTTTTAAATATATATCTTAGTAGGCTGCGAAAAAAAAATTGAAGTCTTGCGTCAAATAGTTTTTTATTGACAGCATTTTAAACAAGACGTGTCCGAAAAAATGTAGCAAATAACGCAAATTGAGCATAGAGCAGTCATAAAGTTATTGACAAAAGAAGGGTTAGCACCCAAAATTATTAAAGAACGGCTGGATTGTGTGTACGGTCAAAGTTCTCCTTCGTATTCCGTAGTGAAAGAATGGGCAAAACGTTTTTGAATGGGGCAGGAGTCCCCTGAAGATGATTCAAGAACTGGTCGACCAGTGGAGGTCATAACGGAAGACATTGTTGCGATTGTGGGAGAAGTGGTATTGAGTGATCGACGTTTAAAGGTCAAGCAAATCTCAGAAATTACTAAGCTTTCTGATACAAATGTTCGTCGAATCCTGCATGATCATTTAGGTATGCATAAGGTAGTGCAAGATGGGTTCTTAAAAACCTTTCGGCTATTCAAAAACAACGCCGTGTTGAGTACGCGGCGGTCTTTTTTGGAACTCTGTGGGTCGGAACCGAAGCCTGTGATAGAAACTATTGTGACGGGAGATGAAACTATGGTTCTCTATTATGACCTTCTATCGAGAAAAGAATCAATGGGGTGGCGTCGTAAGTGTGAAGCACCTCCCAAGAAGGCTGCCAGTCAACAAAAACGGTGATGGCCACGATCTTTTGGGATTGTGAAGGAATTCTTTTGATAAATTTTAAAGAAACTAATACCACTGTCAACGGTAAATATTACGCAACATTATTACATAATGCCATGCCAGACTGCATAAGCCTTTTTGGTAGCGACAGACGAAAAAAACTGTACTGAAGTGTACCAGGAAAGCGATTTGCAATATGCTGCATGATGTGGGGTGCAATTTCTATGGACATACCCTGTTTTCATCCGTGGTCATGCGGCAGGAGGTTTACCAGGTGCTAGGTACATTGAGGATATTTTATCGGAGAGAATTCATTTTTATGCATGACAATGCTAGGCGGCAAACCACAAGGATCGTGCAAGATTACTTTATAAAAGTCGGTTTTCGAGTTATGGAGTGGCCAGCATGCAGTTCCGACCTGAATCCGATCGAACATTTAAGGGATGAGCTTATTGTTGCAGTAGAGGAAGAGTGGCTTAACATTCCATAAGAAACAGCAGCGAACTTGATTAGATCTATGCCTAATCGAGTAAAAAATGTTATTAGGGCAAGAGAGGGTCATACACATTATTTAAAAATAAGTGTTGAGTTGCTAATTGTCAATAACGCTATCTGTTTTTAGCAATTAAAAAAAATACTTTGACTTGTGTAATTATTTTACGATGCTAAACCTAAAAAGTAGAAATAAATTTTAATCTGATCAGTAATTTAAAAAAAAAATCGAAGTCAAAAGTTTTCTATGCAAGTTTATAAATTGTCGACCAATGGAATAAACTATTACGAACGCAGGCGACGAAAAATAGCGGCCTGGGCGAGTATTGCCGGTATTGGTAGTCACTTGACCCTAATAGGTCCAGGATTGAAATAGGCTGCATTGCAATAAAATGGTTTCCTAAGGATTTCCTTTAACATTAATTATTTAAAAGTATTTGGAAACTTATTTGAGCTGAATATCTGCCAGTGATGAAACCTTTTTTGACATTTTCAAAGGTTTTTTGTGTCTCTAGGCTTGCTTTTATCGCTGCCTCCATTTGCTCTGCTTTGACATCAGCTAAACGAACCACATTGTGCTGTTTGGGTGAAGTAGTTTGGGGCATTCTCGAAATAATTGGCACAGCACCTTCCGAGCATATTCTTTGTACTCTCCTTTAACTAGGCACTTGTCAATCCAAATAACATCTTTCTCTGCATACAGCTGGTTTCTTTAATTGCCTAATATCATTAGGTATCTTTCTTAGCCAAACTTCTTTTTGATTCGGGTCAGATGGTAAACTGAAAGTGGAAACGGGTCCCGTTTCTTCGGACTTGTAATTTGACCGACGCCCAAAAAAAAAAAAAAATGCCCACGGGTTTTCTCAAACATTTTAGTTATTGATAACACAAAAAATACAGTTAAAAACCGACTTTCAAAGTTTAAAATACGGCGGTATAACCTGCAATCCAAAGATACAACTTCGCGGGCAGTTTGCACTGTTGTTTGTCGGATTGGTTTTTACTACGAATCCACACGGGTTTTTAAAACATTCCAGTTATTACTGACACAAAAGAAAACAATAAAAAAATCGAGTTTTAAACAATTTAACACGCCGATAACCTACATAAACATACGTGTTTTCCGGACCGCAGCCGGACTGGCTGAAATTGCTGGATCTCTTAGAGTCACGTGACTTTCGCACGGCAGGGCCGGTCTTTTTCGTCGGCTGCGATTACCAATAAACTATGAACGAATAAAGTCTGTTCATAGATATAAGAAAGTGACTAACTGATACGAATTGAGGAAAGACCCGGGGGGGCAAGCTGTAAGAATGAAATATGGCCGAACAGGTCCGTACTTTGCTTAGAATTTAAGTATTTGGGATTTTGTTACGGAAGATACTAAACAATATTTATTTATTTATGTTTGTATTTACGTTTAAATCTAAAATAAAATTACAAATTATTTTTGTTACCTACTTAAATTACTTAAAATTATTCACATAATATCACTATCGCTATCGCCTGTTCTAATTATTATTTGTTTTATATTATTTGCAATATGGATATGATTGTTTCGCTTTATCTATATGTTTAACAGAATTTGCCCAACTTTGTGGAGGGATGTTAAAAACTTCGGTTTATATAAGTTTGAGGACTTTGGAGTTAACACGGGGAAAAACAATGTTACGACGAATGGCAGATTTCAGTTGGTGTTCAATGGGATTATATATATAGTGGTAAGGTGGAAGCCTTAAAACTGTATGCCCTAGATTTTTTGGATAATTATCACAGATGTATTCCTTTTGTGGGTTCAAGTTTTGTAGAACCTCAATTAATTGCTTTTTGGTATAATCTTCGTGAAAATAAATGTCGTTATTATACATGTAGTTTTGGATTGTTGCTTTTGTGTCACACGAGGAAGGGGTTTTAGTCAACTGTCTACTGTGATAACTTGCATTGTCCATTACAATTACGCTATTAGGAGGAATCTTTGGAACTAGTTTGTTTTTAAACCAAATTTCAAATAAATCAGCGGTGGTGTCTTCATGGTAATCCAGAGAAGAATCTTTAATATTTTTCGCAGACAGAGAAAGTCCATTTGGAATCCAACCATCTTTTCATCATTCTGTTACCTCTTTTTGATGGCGCGTTTGTTTTACACACAGTTGAGTCAACCCAACTCTTTTTCGGGGTATCATAAGTGTCGAACCAGGTTTCTTCCAAGTAAATAATTGGCCTTTGTTGTTCTCTGTAAATCCTAATTTTTTCAAGATATTCCAGTCGCCATTTCCGAATTCTAAGATTCCATTAAAACATGCCTTTTGTCAATTTTTTTAAATCTAAAACCCATGTGTTGAATACACTTCCATAAGGTAGTTCTGCCGTATTTAACACCGGTTTCATTTTTTTCAAGCATCCTAATTATGATATCTAATGTAGGCAACGCTTTGTTCCGCGTATAACTGGTAATTTTTACGCCGTATTATATCTTGATCACTACACTCGAGAAAACGTCGGCATCGCTTCTTTTTTTCCTCGCTGAAATGCGATTAATCACAATTTTCCATACAATTGATGTTGGAATTTTCGTCAATGTTGCCGTTTCTTCTAAAAATGCTGGCACCACGTTCAATGAGAGTGAAATAAACATTGTTTATAACTTCCTCAGTCTCAACAGAATAGTGTTTTTCACACGCACACGATTCAACACACGCTGCATTACACACGAAATAAGAATGATTACTAATAAACTTAAACCAAGTAGTATGCCAAACCAAAGAATGTTAAACACACACAGGTAGGTATAAAATTGTTTTCTGTTATGCACCACAATTTTATCTGAATTTAAATTCTGAAACTTTAGGTAATAATCTTGTTGAGTTGTATGTTAATGACCACCCTTGGATAATCCCATTCAAAAGCAATTGGTCACTTTCTTATATCTACGAACGGACCATACCTGTATTCCGCTCCCCAACCTTTGACGAATGACATTCTGATGGTGCACATGCGCGTCAACTGAAACACCGCCTCGAATCCCTGACTGACCGATTGCGACAACAAGGCGGCGAATTCCTGGTTGTTGAATATTTTCAGGTTGCAGCCTGAAACACAGGAACCTCTGTTGAAAAGAAAACGGAAGAGACGGGCGTCACCTGGGGGTATTTTACACACGGTAGCCGGATGCCAACCGTATCTTTGGTTGCAGTTGGGCGACTGCACGAATATGCTCGAATCACTCAGGCATTCGGCGAACACTTCGCCGCCGATGTAATACAGTCTCACCCCTTTGCCGATATGCCTCCGCGTCTGTTCGACGACAGTGTTCCGATTGACGTTCGACAAAAGGCCCAAACAAAATCTGTAGGATGTAAAAATCGTTCGTTAGGCGCAACTTTTGGTACCAAGGTATACTTCGGCCAGAAATATAGTGTTTTACGACCGACCCCGTGATTAAATTTGCCTACTGCCGAGACTACACTAACAAGCGGGATATAAGTGTGTTTTCAATCTTTTTCTCCGAGCAATTCTTGAAACAGTTACACAAAAAAAGTCTCATCAAAGTTGTACCGTATATCGTGGGGAACGTTGTTTGTGGGAGGCCGAAAATTTTTAAAAAATAAAAAATTTCAATCTTTTCGAAGCAACGTAGGTATTTAAAAAAAAAAAAGAAAATGGGAATTTTTGAGGAGTATCATAATATCCATGAAAATGATAAATTGAGAATACTAACTAATGATGGAGAACGTTGGAGACTTATTTTATAGTATTTGTGAATAGATCTCATTGACCTCTAACTTCGATACAAATTTCAATCTTTTCGGAAAAACGTAGATTTTTAAAAAAATTAAAAATCTAAAATTTATGAGGAAAAATATGATAAACATGAAAAAGCCACAAAATTTTTAGTATTTTGAAAAAAAAAACTGTAATATTTTAAATACTTGTACTATTGCTACTGTTTTGCTACAGATTTTCTTATTTAGAAAAAAGTTCATTTACAAATATATCAATATTATTGATTTGAGGGTTGGAAGTTTTTTGCATAATGTGGCCCAGTTAAAAGTTTGATTGTGAAGGATCCGTCGAAAACCAACAATATGAAGATTGAGATAGACTATACAGTATTTTCTGCAGATATATATGTATACAGCCAAAACGATTACAATATAACTAATAAAATTATATTTCAAAAACAAAGGACGTTTGTTTAGCATATTGGGTATTTATAGTGGAATAACAATTATTGTTGAGCCTCAAATATTCTAAGATAATTGTTACTAGTATACTACGACCAGAAATATAGTGCTTTTACAACCGACCCTGTCATTAATTTTGCCTACTGTTTATTACTCCAAAACCGCCGCCCCTTATAGAACACAATTTATACACATTATGAAGCTTTTGAATCTGATATGTTTGAAGAGTAGGCGTATATTTTTTGACATCTCCACATTGTACAAAAACCCTCATACCTTGATGGATGCACCAGATCTTCTGGCATCTGTTGGTTTTCATATTTCTCATACTAATGCAAGAAATAAGGCTCTTTTTAACATTGATTTTCATAGGACTAACTATGGCGTTTATTCTCAAATAACGAGCGTATTGATTTATTTTCTGACTCTCTCAGAAGTTTTAATTGTAAAGTAAAGAAGACTGTTTTTAATCAACCCGCCGCCTTGTAAACTTGGTAGTTTGGCAATTGTGAGTGTTGTTTGGATTAAGTATTATTACTCGATTGACATGTGTGGGTACTATTTTTCTTAGGTTAAACTATATTGTAAATGCTTAATGCGACAATAAAAATTTTCATTCTAATTTTTAATTTACACGACACTAACAAGCGGGATATAAGTATGTTTTCAATCTTTTTCGCTGAGCAACTCTTGAAACAGGTATATAAAAAAATTAGTACAAAGTAACAATTTATTACTTTCTATTGCATGACATTTCTACCTAGTATCATTACTAATATATAAAATATTAAATATTATATTAATAAAGTGTCAGTCACTTAAAAAATCGTCACTATCGCTACTGTTGTCACCTAGTTCTAAGACAGTATTTATACACGATTTTGAGTGCATAATTTTGGCTAGCCGACCATATACCCCTCTGTGCGACGTCTACAAGAGTGCGGAAAAATGGTGCGTTACCACGAAAAGGAGAGTAAATACCGACTGCTCTTAAGGATATATGTTCGTTTATACGTTTTGATTGAGATATTTGACAATAAAAAATAATTTTAATATTAAAAATAGGTAAAAAAATAAGTTCTTCAGAATTCTTAAAAAAAAAATCAAAATACACATTTCTACACCATTTTTATCTATTTTACTTCACTGGTACTACATATCAAGCATTAAAATCACATAAGGCAATTAAAACGTTTTTTTTTTAATTCTTTTTCACCTAAATTTCATATTATGCCCTACGCAATCAAATATATCCTTAATATGATGACTCATACTTTAGCGTTTAATAGCTTTTGATACAGGAGGCTCCCGAAGTGAAATCATCCACAGTAATCACCGACATCTGTGCCTAACAGACCCGTCAGTTACGGCAAGTCGCGTCGGAACTTAACCTTGCTTATTTCATGGCGACCTTGCATTGATTTCTATTTTTAGTTTTGATATGATTTGCTGATGGTGACATCATTACTACACATTACTACACACCAAAACTAAAATGTACCTATCCAAAAATTATTGCTCGAAAGTACCTACCATCAAACACCCTATATCCGAATTTAACGCCATTTCAGAATATGCACTACCCATCCAATTTGTGACGTCACGTTAATTTCGAATTTTGCGAAAAATTTTCATATGTAGTAGTGTTCGTTTTTTTGTCACTCTCTGATGTGGACTATATGTCTTCATAACACAAATATACCACTCATTGTTGAATATTTTTTATTTTTATTATATTTATACTAGAAACAACATTAATTCCACAAACCACTGTCAGATTTAACTATGCGTGGTGGATACTAAATTGATCAAGTTCAAAATAAATTAAACGAGGATGTCACTAGATTCTTTTAAATTTAACATCTCTCAACTTGGGTCTATTTTTTGATTCAACTTTTACAACTTAAGACATCTTCTATTGAAAACTCAAAAAAATATTACCAACAGATTTTTTGATAGAATTTGATAGACATAGTCCATAAACTCAGTACGTCCAAAATCTTGTTCTGAATTTATCTATGGTATCCGTCATCGCCAGGCCGTATCTAACCAATTGGCCTGTACCAAATGGCTCTCAACATTTATATTCTTTACAATATTTCAAAGGAACTGAAAATATTATCTCCCTATCAGTTCAGAAGGAAATATAGACATTTATTATTAAATCACACTCTTTTACCTTCCACAATTTTTACAAACAAGTTATTACACTTTTTTTTTTATTTTTAACCAGGGGATGAACTAACATCTTTTTGTTATTGATTTTTATCCTTTTTGGCAACATCTGGAACTGGACTAAAGTGTTTTTTTTGTGTTCGTCCCAAAAAAACTTAGTTTTAAATGTCAAAAATCTCAGGCTATGATATCTGCCTTTTCAAAGCTGAACTGAATATGCCACTTCTTAGATAACCAAATATTAAATTTATTTCATTTGGTATAAACTAAGCTAACTTTTTATATTAATTATGGTAAGATTGTAGGCCAAAAAGTACCTTTCGGAATTGCTGGGGTCTGTAAACCCATCGACCGTGATTGAGGGTTGACTGGCGTGGAACGTTTCACCGACTCGCGTGTTCAGCTCATAGTAACTGATACTGCACCAAAATGTTGGTTCGCAATATAAAACGGGTTGAGCATCGACGGGAGGGCTGGGGGTAATTCTTGACAGACCTGAAAAGGGTATAAACGATCAACGATCATCAAAAATTTTACTATTACAGGTGGAAAAACTCACTGAGGTTGTCATTGGGATCGATAGGATCTCCATCTTCCGACATATAGCCCGGGGGAGGAGTTTCAGTTGGCGGCACAATGCTAAGAGGCGACTCCATGTTAGTGGGTGTACCGTTTGGGCATATTCCAACTGTATCCATGTACCCTCCAGTGTGCTGCATGTGGATTCTTAAAGCACAAATAAGAGAAATAAAAAATCAACGGTTTGTAACCCTCGCTCACCCCAAATTGCTGGTATTATGAGGAAATGAAGTATTCTCTGGTACAGAAGTGCTTAAATCCTCCAAAGAATGTGGAAAGAGATTGTTCTCGTCGCCCAATGTATGGCGGGGTACCAAAATAGCGGGCAATGCTTCAATTAAAGAGATCAAGAATAACACAACTGAACCGCTTGGTACCACAATAAAACACAACAAAAATTCAACTGACCAGGGCTTTCGATTCTTGTGTAGTGATAAGGATTTACACAGACTTCGTCCTTTTTCAACGAATAAGCATACTCGCAATGATCCAGAGCTCTCAGTTCGTGATGGGATTGTAACTCAGGCCATCTCCAAAGGCGGCAGTAAATAACGTGAGGCAAACCCTTTCTTTGCTGCTGAATGCTGCCTAATTCAGCAGTTGGTCTTATTCTAAAATTTTATTAAAATTGTATTCAACGCGACAAAAATCCTTCCATTTATTTATTCTGACAGATTTTTTTGTGTAAGAGAAATATGTATTTATTTGCATTTTTTGATATTGTTTGGAAATTAATAAAAACAACAATTCCGTCCAGCAAACGCTTCTCTCATTGAGAAAAACGAATCCGTAAAATCACTAACAAAACTGATCAATAAACTCCAAATAAGTCAAAAATGCGATTAATTCGCGGTCGCCAAAACTTAAAAAAATCTCAAATAAGCGGCCCTTAAAAGTGTTTCCAAACTAATTAGATGTAAATGTCCCAGACTGGTTGGTGCGGGGCATTTTCCAGACATTTAGGGTAGGTCACAAGTCAGACGTGGTGCAGTAAGGGGGGTACAGAAATCCATAACATGACCTTAAACTTCGCATCTCAAACGCGAGAGAAACAATAACAATACCTGGGCACAGTCACGCATTTCGTATTATGATTCTGAGATGATATAGCTCGTTCGAGTTCTTCCAAAGCGCCGGATTTCTTTAGCTTTTTCACCAAACTTTTAACTGCCTTCTCGCACCATTTGTCGTCGGCGTCTGAGCCTTTTTTCCAGCCCAACAGACGCTTGACAACGGGCGGAGTGAATGACGGCAGCATTCCGTTCATCACAGATATGCTAAAAATGCATCAGAACACAAAGACAAAGCACGTGCTCCGCGTAATCTCCGCAAATACCATAAATTTATGACATAAAAATATTATTGCTTACAGCAGCCATATTGTTCTTTGACATTGACAGTCGCATTGCGAATCGATTCTCATTGGATAAGCAATTCGGAAATGTCAAAAAAGAACCTTCCTTTTTTCTCCAGATTCCTATCCTTGTTGGTGGCTTTTTGACATTCGCACGGTTAGAGCAGCAGCGCAAAGGTGGCACCATTAGCGGATTAGAACAACGTCATAGATTAAACACTCAAACTTGATTTATAGAAACATATTATGGTAATGCTCATTTTTTGCGCCGATTAATAACAATTTCCATTACTTTGATTACTTAGATGTTGTCAATGTATGTTTAAGAGATATGAACACCGAAGTTATTGCGTAATTTCAATGATAAAATCTTACCGATAGGAGATGCCTTTGTGAAAATTTTTTTTTAAGAGATCGTTTCCTGCAATTTTTTTCACCGTCGCATTTAAAGACCGGTAACAAATTTTCTAAGCTAGGATAGCGGTAATTATTTTATAATTTAACGTCTTGATTTTTGTCCTCGTCCATCTAATTCTCCGACTGGTATTATGTTTCACCGCAAAGCGGATGACTTCATGGTCGCTAAATCCAAATATCTGTGTGCTGCAACTTACTTTACTATACTGCTTTTACTAGCTAATTTCTTTCTACGTAAAGTTTCTTTATGGAAAATAAGTTCCCAACCCGCTTAAATTGTGGATTTTCCACTTGAGGGTGATGGATATTAGCTATAAAGATATAAGTGAGAAAAAAAGAAACAATAATATTGTAGGTCACTATATAAGCACTCCCAACAATAATTTACAGTACAACTTTAGACACGAATTACTGAGTTACTTATATTATTTGGGCTAGTACTTAACTAAACGAATTGGCAAAGTTGTATGTTATTAATAGTGATTTTGCGAATGAAATAATGTCCGTATACAAATTTTGATTGCGTTTAATATCGTTTCGTTTCATTTCAAGGTGACAAAATGGAAACAAAATGGCGCCGGAAATCCAATAACCGATTATAAGACATAGGCTAAGTTCTGATAAATTACAAAAATGGAGCAATAAATATATACTTAATAGTCAAAAGGGAAATTTTCCACTTAAAACTGAATTGTAATTAGCCAAATAGAGTCTACTAGTTTTGAAAAAAAAATAAAAAATACGGAGATTTTTTTCCCCCTTGGACAGCAGAGTCGATGAAATCGAATTTTTGCGAAAGCATATATGCACTTGGCAAAGAAACTTATATTTCCTCCATTGGTATGGAAATGTCCAAGATTGAAAAAAAATTTCTCTGTCCGTTCTCTGTTCTCTAGCGACGCTCCATAAAAATACGAATAACTTCCAAACAGTTTGGTCTAAAGTATTCAAATTTGTCCCTTTTGAAATATTCCAGAAGACACATTCGCTAAAAAAAAATAGTCAAGATCAAATCCTGGCGTCTATCTTTTTTCGGGATGTTCTTCTGTTTTTCATACATCGCTATAGTGTCAGAAATTTGAAGCTGTCGAGTTCAAATTTAGCAGGCGAATTGCTTTCAGTCCGGGCAGTATTTTTTAATAATTAAAAACCGCGTTGCAGTGGTCCAAGCAATAATTTAAAAAAAAAATGGTTACACAAGACCCAAATTTAAAAATCACTAAAAATAAGATTTTTAAAAAATGTACAGGGTGCGTCGGAAATTAGCAAAAAAAAAACAAATACTGGTTTCTTCTTTTACCGAAAATTGGATATATCTATGTTACAATTGTCAGTTTGTATTACTTTGCCATATCGAGAGTATGTAAAGCTAACATTTTTATAATTGCCGTTTTCACATATCGTACAGGGTGTTTGGGATATTTCGTGATATATTTGAAAGTATAAATGTGTTATATTTGTATCTGTCGATTTGGCTGGGCAGTAGAAATCCATACCCACATTTAAACTTAGAAGTTATCGAAAGTCACGAAGTATTTTTTTAAATTTTTAAAAAATATTTTATGGGTTATTTTGACCTTCAGAAAAAAAAATTTCTCTAATAATATAAATATAAAAGTTATTGAACTGAAAGTCAGTGTTAACTTGAAACGTTAACCATAAAAGTGGGAGCATGTATGCTGTAATTAATTTAAGTATTTATTGCGGCAAAAGAAAAATTAAGAATTTTCAGAAAAATGTTTGAAATGTCATGAGACGGCGCCGATATTTAGTTCAAATACTGAAGTATGTTCATAATCGTCTAATTTATTCAACAATTGTATTATTAGAATTAACCACGAGTGAGAACAAACAATACAAAATATCAAAAATTACAGTTAAAACAAAATCACCTAAATGTTTCCGTCTCTTTTTTTTTACTGGGAATAGTAATAAAACTGTTATAACGTAAAATATGCACAAGTTAAAAATATGAAATAATTAATATAGCCTATTTCAAAAACTATTGAACTTCTGAAAAATCATAGGCACTTAACTGTGTAAAATCCATTATATCGTCAAAAAAGTGTCTAATTTATATTAGACATTAGATATCCGATAGATAAATAGGTGAGTTAATGAAAAAACTAAATAGTTAATAATATTTAGGTTATTCGAAGAAATTAAAAGAAATCTAAAAATACGTAAATTAATACTGATTGAATATTTTTATTTAGACATATCAAAAATACGCAAAAATAGACTGCTTATATGCAGTGGAGTTCAGATATAGTAAACCCGTTTATTGTGAACACTCGGTTATAATGGACACTTTTTTGCAATACACTCAAAAAGTCAATGTAATGACAAATGTAAATTTTTACTGTTTATAGTGAACCCGGATATAGTGAACTTTCGGATACAATGAACCAAATTTTCCGCTTTTATTTACCTTTTTCGGGGGTTCCCCCAGTTATTCTCGGGAGAATAAAATGAACATAGCACATTATTTACCGCAGACCTGCTCCAATGGGATACAGAATTGAAGAAGAACAACAGAAAAATTATTCTTCTTGTAGATAATTGTCCAGCACATCCCAATGTTCCTTTGAGCCAAATCAAACTGGTTTTTATGCCACCCAATACCAGTTCAAATCTGCAGCCCATGGATCAAAGCATAATTCATTCCCTGAAGTGTAGGAAGATGTTGCTGATAAAGATTATAGAAGCAATTGATGGTGGACGAGAGTTTTCAGTGAGCTTATTGGATGCTGTAAATTTTATTTACCGTGCTTGGCAGGAAGTTAGCAGAAACACTATTGCAAACTGTTGTAAACATGCAGGATTCTTTGAAGAAGAAGATGATTTTGACTCTCATGATGAATTGCCGGAATGACTAAAAAACATTCAGAAGATTCCCAAAATACCCCGACCCCCAGAAAGAACTTGAAGCAGAGATTAGGATAGGATTGAACTTTTCGACTTCAAAAGTTACGTTTCAATAGACAATCAAGAATCTTTGACAGAAGACGAAATTATCCAGTTTGCGTCAACAAGTATTAAAATAATAACCAAATAATAAGTAATAAATAAGTTATTTGTTGAGAAACAAGTGCAGAATTGAGTAAATAATGATGAACAAGGAGGCCATTGAGGAACTGGCCATGATCAATGTTTCTTCAGTAAAAGACATGACGAAAAAAATTAGAGAGATACGCAAGTTTTTGGAGTCACGCGACATTCCTGAGAAAGTTTGGAATACTAATTTTTCTAACAGACTCGTACAAACTAAAACTTTATCCAAGAGTAGGTGGATACATGTATTTTTTTAGTTTATTTTTTTTAGATATTGTTTACTTGTTCTTGTTCACTTGTTTCTTGTTTTGTATAGAATGATATTTATTTTTCACTTTTCCAACATTACGTAATAGATTTCTTATACATATCTAGAAAAATGCTAGTATATCGTGGTGTTTTTTTACAAAACCAATGTACATATTATTATTATGTAATAACCTCATCGGGAAACATCAGTTGTGTACAAAAGTTCATTTATTGCTTATAGTAAACCTCGGATACAGCGAACCAATTTTGATGCAACTTTAAAGTTTACTATATCCGAACTTAACTCTATTAATACTACTTATATAGTAATTATACAAAGTATAATATGTAAACGCGTATTTTACGGAAATATTTTTAATGAGTTTGAAATGTTTTACTGGCAAAACTTGGATCGGATGTATTTTTCACTTGTTGTTTTCCTTTAAAATTTAATTAATAATTTTTATCAAAACCCATAAATAAATTTTACAAATATAATTTAAGATAAATTCCCGTACGTTGCAGAAGTTTGGATATACTTCATAAATATAAAGATATTAAAATTTGTTTGTGTTTTATGCAATCATCACCAACTAAATCCCTACAATATTCCTCAGATACTTTTACTCTGCGAAGATTTTTTTTGCTGAATGCTGATTATGAGTCAACATACCGAGTTAGCATAAAGTACCGACCGCATAAATATCCCCAAAACTGACAAAGCTGGAAAGCTAGAATTTGAACAGGCCAGAATTAAAAAATGCCAACAGCAGTGTTGTCAGATTTCCCACTTTTACGTTCACGTCATAATTTTGCTGCAATGAAAAATTGCCGGAATTATAAATATGGCGGCATCTGCGGTCGTCCAGAAACCCGAGGTATTGAATTTTATTGTTCCAGCTTGGACGGTTTTGGAGATATTTAAACTTATTTTTTACTAACCCCGTATATTTCAAGTCATCAAAACGCTTCAACATCAAGATGACAAAGTTTTCCAATGCATTTTGATTAATATTTCTTGGGCATAAAATTTAATACCTTCTTTGGATGGTTTGTCAAATAGGTAATAAAATCCTTTTAAAGCATGTATCAGATGAAGGTCGTAATTTTTTTTACCTTTGTTGTCAACGAAATCCATTGATTTGGACAATTTAATAACTTCAATCCATAATTGCTTATGTTCTGATTTACTAGTAATAGCACATGTTAAGTTTTTACCATTTTTTATGGACGAAGTAGCACCACTGATATATATCATTCATAAAAAGTAGAAGGTACAAGACATTCGTTGGATATAGTCTTGGTTTTCTCAGTGAAGTGCGCAATATATGGTTCTGTGTTACTTTTAGATGGTCTAGATGACAGTTTTGTGCTCCTCCGCATACCAGTATACCATAACAAAAGTTTTCTTAACAGAATATTTCGCAATAGATAGAATTTATCGAAGTTGCACAGGAAAAGAATATGTTGATCCAATTTTAAATGGTTATCTACTACTACACCCATATATTTGATACATTGTTCACAAGAATTTCATAATAATAAGGCCGACTGGCTTCTCTCAGGGAATAGGCAATATATCGTGTTTCTGCAATATTTTAACTTAGCTTTACCTTTTCTCTGACTTCTGACCAAGTTTTTGCAGAGAAAGCTATGACGGTAACATCGGCATATGAAATAAGTTTGCCATCTAGAGCAGACCTGCAGGGTTTGTGAAAGGTTATTATTATTATTATGGAAAAAGCTTTTACTCAGGGCTACGTCTGAATAGGTCCGAATGCTCAGACAATCCGAATACCACTTCGACACATTCATGATATACAAAACCAGGGACACTTGGGGCAAAACTAACTAAACTAAAAAATCGTCGGTGAGCCAGGCAAGTTCGTCGCAAATAGCGCGAATCATCTTTTTGTTTTAAAAAGGCGCTTCGCGGATTTTTGTGCTCGAGGGGTGCATTCTTTTTCTATTATGCTCCTGCGGACCACTATGGAACTTTCCCAGAATCGATGTAATTTTATTGTGAATACACCCTGTATAAAGTGTCCTTCACACCTCGTCGAACTTCAAAGTTACGGCACACTTCGGTAAATATTAAAATTTGTACTGGTAATTGCAATTTAAAATTATATTTTTTCAAATATCCTGCGACCCCTGTATTATAGACGAAACCTTAAACTCTCTCTCGACATAGTTTACGATACCGTTCATATCAAATTATCACATCTTTAAAAGTTTTTCATGTACCGGCAATAATTCACCCACAAGCGCGGAAATTTCTAGGATCAATTAGAATTTTTTGCCCACAAACGACGTACCCTATATATAATTGCAACAATGTTCGAAATAGAGGATAGGATCTCCTTAGTTTCCTGGTATCCGAATTTTTCCAATGGAGTGAATAGTTTTCAAAAAACTACTTGTATTCTGAAACCATACAATACGTGGTAATATTAAATGACGTCATCGCGTCTAGACTGGGGGCGAGAAATAGCGATTTTCATTTTGATTTTTTCAAATATCTCGAACAGCGAATGTGATGTACGAAAACCATAAATACAAAAATTGTAGCCCTAGATACGGGCTATAACACTGTTTGAACGGATTAGGCATTGTTTGTACAAATTTTGATTTACGGTTAATAATTTACTATCTAAAAGAACACTTTTCAGGGACTTTTAGATTTTTGTCCATACCTAAAACACCTTGTATATAATCAAGAAAATGAGTGAAGCAAAAGTTCTAGCGCCGGGATGCCAAAATAACCACAAACGAAAATTAAAAAAAAAATACTTCTAGTTATTTTATTGCTCCCAATTTAAAGAGACTAAATGCGGGTCCAAGTCTGAAGTCGGTAGCTGCAAATTTGGAGTACTTAATATGTTTTTTAATATTGCACGGAATATCGCGTACACCCTGTACAATACTTAAAAACCGTAAATACAAATGTTTAAGCTATCTATAAGGGATATATCGCCATGGAAAAGAAACTGACATCTAAAACACAGATTTGAAATAATTGCCAATTTTCAATAAAGAGGTATTTTTCAGTTTTTTGAATTTCCGGTGCCCCCTGTATATTCTTGAAAAATTGTCACGAATAAAAGTTTATAGAGCCGTATGTTCTGCTTAGAATACTTCCCGACCCCCCCTCCCCCCCCATTTTCAATAGGTTCCGTCACGTGGCAAAGCTGCATATATGTGCTAAATACGAAGTCGATTGCTTCAAATTTCGGACACTTATCGTGTTTCATAGCAAGGTCCAAAAAACAGTCGAAACAGGGCCATTTCTTATAAGCTTATGTTTCTCGTGGAGGGTTAAAAAGGAGGCCAATTTCAATTTTGTAGCTCCAACGGTTCGAAAGTTATTCAGGAAAAACCAAAAGACGAGAACGGAGAACGAACAGACAAAAAAAAATTTTTTTTTTCGACAGTGATCATTTCTGTACAAACGGCGATCCCATAGGACCTACCGTTACCGAGATATAAACTTTTATACGAGCGCAGATACTTTCGCAAATTCGATTTCATCGATTTTCGAAAGTAACAACATTGCTTTCGAAAAATTGTCGCTGAGCGGGGCAAGTTCGTAGTGCGAAGCAGCTTTGTATTTCAAAAGAAGCCGCTTCGCGATTTCTTGCTCTATTGTGCATACGCCCTGTATAAAGCGTCTTTCACGTATCACCGAGTTCCAAACTCACGACAAACTTTGATGAAAAATTGTAAAAGAATAACGATTTCCAATGATATTATTCGAGGAATCTCGCCCACCCTGTGTGATAGATGAAACCTGAAACTCCCTCGATACAGTTTACGACATTGTTTAACCCATGTTTTATAGTTTTTCATTTACAGCTAATAATTTATCCCCAAAAACCGCAATTTTCAAGGACTTTTAGGTTAGTTACCCACAATCGACATATCCTGTATATAATCGAAAAAAATCCGGAAATGAGGTTATAGCTGGATCTTCCACGTTCCCTGGTTCAAGAATTTTTGCACAATAGTAAACGAGAAAATAAGTTTTTTCTGAAACTATGCAGTGCGCTGTAATAATCAATGACGTCATCCCGTCTTGACTGAGCCCGAGGAACAGTGATTTTCAAATAGATTTTTTCAAATATCTCGAGCAGCGTATGTGATAGACGAAAACCGCAAATACAAAAATTGTAGCTCTTGTTGCGGCCTATGACACTGTTTGAACCTATTAGCCATATTTCTGACTATTTTTCATTTGCGATTAATAATTTACTCTGGAAAAGAAAATTTGTCTGGCTCTTTTAGATTTTTGTCTATAATTGGAAAACCCCGTATCAGCAAAATGCCTGAAATAAATGTTATAGCACTTTATCCTCCGTGTCTGCTAGTTAAAGAATTTTGAGTGTCGAGTGAATGGTTATGGAGAAAAACACGTTTTTCTAGGAGCCAAAAACACCAAAAAAAAGTTTAAAAAATTTTAAAAAATACTTTGAGGTACTTAATTGAGCTCGACTTTAATAGTTTAAGTCTGAGTATGGACTTCAACTTCTCGGTCAAATCTGCAGTACGTAGCTGCAAATTTGGGGCACCTATAATGTTTTTTAATATTGCACGGAATATGGAACACCCTGCACAATAGGTACAAAAGTTTTAGCTGTGTATGCGAGCTTTATTGCCATGTAAAGCAAACTGATATCTGAAATACCGCCCTTTAGTTATCGCCAATTTTCAATAATAGCGGGACCCATGTTCCATTATTTTTTATTTGTGGCACACCCTTTACATTTTTCAAAAATTGTCAAGAATAAAAGTTTATAAAGCCAAATCTTCATAAACGTTTTCGAGAAACGATCTTTTCCTTAAACCCTTGCAAACGCAGTTTGTATTTTTATTTTTAAATACTTCCGAACCCCCCAGCCCTCATAATTTCAATAGGTTCCGTCATATGTGAGCCAAATTTGAAGTCGATAGCTTCAAATTTCGGACACTTATCTTGTTTCGTAGCAATGACCAAAAAACAGTAGAAAACGAAAAAAAAGATGGTCGCCAATGTCAGATCGCCGGCCATTTTCAAACATCTTATGCACCTAGTGAACTGTCAAAAACGAACAAAATTTGAAGCGTCTAGCTCAAACCGTTCGGAAGTTATGGTCGAAAAATCCTGAGACAGAGAACGGAGAACAGTCAGACCAAAAATAAAAAAGTTTTTTTTTTCGACGCTGATTCCATCTGTACCAACGGCAATGCTGTAGGATGCACCGTTATCGAGATCTCGAGTTTAGTTCCGAGCCAAAAATCAAGAGAAGGATTGGGATGGCAATAGGAGCTTTGGGTAGACTGGCTAAAATCTGGATAGACCACAACATTCAAGAAATGACCAAGATGAAACTTATCAACTTATTGGTCGGAATCTTCGACATTAAATGCAGCATGCAGCAGAAGAATAGAAACGTTTGAAATAAAATGCTACCTCAAGATGTTACGGATCCCTTGGACAGCGCGCAGGACAAACATTTGCATACGCAGTGATCATGAAAGACTGCTTCCAACAATCCAAAAGCGTGTACTAAAATACTTTGGTCACGTGATACGGAAGAGTGGTATGGAGAAAATTGTGATCCAAGGGAAAATGAGGAACGAGAGGCAGATCACCAGTTAGATTTATAGACCAGATCCAGGACCTTACAAAGAAGGCTTGCACCATGACTTTAGAGAGAGATCTCGCTTATAGTCTTCCCGATCTTCACCTGTTGACGGCGGTCTTTGAGGTAGCTTCCAAAAACCTAAAACACAATCCCCCACTCCGCAGGGTATTAGACAGCTATTGGTAGCGTTAGTATTCAGGGACCGCTGTCACTGTAAAATCCCGGAAATGTTCGAAGTGGCTCAGATCTGTGGGAAACGAAACTGACGTGGTAAAGTGACGCTTCCCGCACAACAGATCGGTGTGTAATTGGGTATTTTACAGGCGGGAGTAGAAAAAATAATTAAAATCACTTAAGACGCGTAAAATTTGAAACCTTCTGGATGTAGGCGCGGCGAAGGAAGCAAAAAGAAAACAATGCAACGAGCTTAACCGTCTCAAAATTGCGGACGTATGTCAATGGCGCCCCTGTCTATAAAGTAACGTTAGACGACGCCGTTATTGTTAGTTTGGGTGGAAAGAGTCGCTCGGAAAAAAATATATAGGGCGGGCATACAGAACACGCGCCAAAAGGTTTCAAATTGCGTGACGGTGTTACGGTCGGCGTGTCTCAGCTAACTGAAGAGAATCATTTGTCACGCCAGTGTGTCTCCAAACGCACACTCCTTAAAATTGCTCGTCCGTGATTCTGCTGTTAGAACTGAAGATGTATAACGCGTCGACGCTATAAAAACTGAGGAAAATGACTAAGGAATGGCGAAATTTCGTTCGTTTCGGTATCGCGGTTGTGTTTTTTTACGGGAAAAATTTCAACGAAGCTCGTTTGATTCAGGTAAGTTCGTATAAAAAAAGAGACACCTACACACACACACCCACACATACACGAAATGTCCACGGATAATCCGCCACTGTTGATCTGTCAAAGCTTACGCGCCTTTTTTCGAGCTAGAGGGCGCCTTCATATTTCTCAATGAAAATTGTAATATTTGTTGTTTTTTTTTGGCTTATAAGGCAAAATTTACAAGAACTTGTCTATTAGGTTCTTATTTTCGTGTTCGCGGCATTTACGAGATACAAAACATGCCAATCGAGCAGCAAAATCCGCTTTTTAAAAGCCACTCACAGTTTGGGTATAAAACAACATTTAAGAGATACAAAAAGCACTAAATGAAAAGGAAAAACACAAAAAATAGAGAAAAACCCAGTTGCCGAAAATATCGATTATTGTCTGTCCCGGGAGGACACTAATAAATTTTCTGTAAACCTTATTACTAATGTACTATTTTACTAACGCAACTATAATCTTTTTTCTTTAAACTTTTTTGCAAACGTACTCTTCTTCTTCTTATGTTTCTGGGCCTCTGCCTTGAGCAATTCGCCAGCTCGTCACGTGTTGGTTAGTACCACCCTCACCCTTTTACATATATCCACGCAAGGAACCAGTGGCAATTAATTTTTGGTCATGTTTAATAATTATCAAAGCATGCTCTGGAAACACATCAGTTTTTTTGAAACAAATTAAACAGTAAATTTTGACAATTTGGTGACGGAAGGAAAATCGTTATTAATTACCAGTCACTAATTAATACTAAAAACATGGTTTGGATAATTCAAACATGAGCTTTAAACGGTTAATTCCATTCTGGTATAACAAGAAGGTATATTTTAAGGTTTTGTTGGTCTTTAATATAATTATAATAAGCTTTTAAAATTGTTAGAAAAAAATTTTACAAAAGTGTTTGATGAATTTCTTCTTCTTCTTCTTTTTCTTTTTAAACCACTATAGGAATTTTAATTTAATTTATCCAGTAGAGTCAGACCTTAAATTTTGCGATACCCTGTATATGTTTCTCAAAAAATCACACCCCGAAAGTTTTGCTATATCTAATTACCACTAAGATTACCACAGTCTCACGTTACACATGTTTCAAAATTGACTATCAAATGGGAGCTGTTTTTATATTAACGATTTTTTTAAAAATTAGTTTATCCCTCCACCCCCCCAAATTATGTAGGTCCGGGAAAGTTGAAGTTCTTATTTACCAGTTGGCCACCATTTTTTAATAAATTTTGACCTCACAAATTCGTTCCTGAAGCTGATTGTAAATAAGATAGACACAAACATTTTAAAATTTTTCAAAAATTAATGTTTTTAATTCTTTAAAATACCTACCTTGCTCCGGAGAAGTTGAAATTTCCGTCGTTTATAAGCAAAAGTGGATTCTCACGAAGAGACTTAAATGTTCAAACGAAAGACATTTTTAACTGCAAATAATTTAATTGAAAATATACAAGACAAAACTTCTTTCAAAAGTAGACGATTTTTAAGAAAGTGATAATAGGAAAAGTCTGTTCATAGATATAAGAAAGCGACTAACTGATACGAAAGGAAAGACCTGGGCAAGCTGTAAGAATGAAATATGGCCGAACAGGTCCTTACTTTGCTTAGAATTTAATTATTCGGGGTTTTGTTAGGAAAGATACTAAACAATATTTATTTATTTATGTTTAAATCTAAAATAAAATTGCAAATTATTTTTATTACCTACTTATCACTATATCACATACCACTATCGCTATCATCGCCTGTTCTAATTATTATTGGTTCTATATTATTTACAATATGGATATATGATTGTTCTGCTTTTTCTATATGTTTAACAGAATTTGCCCAACTTTGTGGATGGATGTTAAAAACTTCGGTTTCTATAAGTTTGAGGACGTTGGAGTTAAAACGGGGAAAAACATTGTTACGACGAATGGCAGATTTCAGTTAGTGCCAATTACACTATTAGGAGGAATTTTTGGAACTAGTTTGTTTTTAAAAAAAAAACTTTCAAATAAATCAGCGGTGGTGTCTTCATGGTAATCCAGAGAAGAATCTTTAATATTTTTCTTCTTCTGTCTACTGTGATAACCTGCATTGTCCATTACAATTACGCTATTAGGCGGAATGTTTTTCAAGCCTCCTAATTAAGATATCTAATGTAGGCACGCTTTGTTTCTCGTATAAATGGTAAATTTTACGCCGTATTATATCTTGATCACTTTCATCTACACTCGAGAAAATGTCAGCATCGCTTGTTCACAATTTTCCATACAGTTGATGTTGGAATTTTGCTCAATGTCGCCGTTTCTTCTAAAGATGCTTGCTTGCTGGCACCACGTTCAATGAGAGTCAAATACACATTGTTTATAACTTCCTTAGTCTCAATAGAATAGTGTTTTTTACATTTGAGCGGAAACATCTCCTGAAATACACTAGACTCGCACATATTTTGCATAATTCGCACACTATTCAACACACGCTATATTACACACTAAATAAGAATGAAAACTAATAAACTTAAACTAAGTAGTATACCAAACCAAAGAATATTATTTTCTATTACGGACCACAATTTTATTTATTAAATTCCGAAATTTTAGGTACTAATCTTGTTGCGTTGTATGTTAATGACCACCCTTGGATAATCCCATTCAAAAGCAATTGGTCACTTTCTTATATCTATGAACAGACCATAACCTTATTTGAAATAATGAAATTAAAAATTAACATTAACCAGAATTTATTTTAAACAAACCAAAGCCGCCATTAATATAACAAATACGGATACTCTCCGCTGTTCTGCTACTATAAAATGATACACCCCGTATCTAAAAAAATTCTAAATGTTATTTAACGGTTTATAACTAACACCATCTTGTCTATAAAACAAAACGCAGGATCGATAAAAAGTTAAAGGATTGCTTCAGTAAATGCAGCGAAATCCCTCATGTGTGATTTCCTGCCGGTTTTCGTCATCGCCGACGCTAATCGTTCATAAAGTTCCTGCTACACGCCGAGATAATTCGTGTTTTGTTTAAAAGTAAAAAGGAAACTTGCCAAGCCTTAATGATTTTGTAGGCTAATTTAAATTTCCATCTCGCTAGAATGAAACCGTCGATCGTACGGAGTAAAATACTGAAATTTCCGGTTTTCGCTTTATTTTTTGAGGGGGAAAGATAATTTGCAAATACAAGGATTACTGGAAAAGTTTCCGACATGATAAAAGACATTTTTTTCTCGCTTTGGACTAGATCTGGTGAGTAAACCGGATGATCAAGCGGTTCAGACCGTTATTCATGTATTTTCGCCATGCCTGAGGTATGAGACGGTTAAACAGCTTGTCAAGTAATGATGTGTAATATGTTCCTGTAATGATTTTTTTTAAGGTAATTAAGGTTAATATGGCTCCATGGCTATCTCAAAAAACAGTCGCCATCACTTTCCCAACAAAAATTTCTGAAACTTAGGTTAGTAACTATAAAGATGTGCACCACTAGCATTTAGTAACTTTTAGTAACTAGTGCCCTCTTCAGGGTGTGGTCGGAAACTTTCTTCTTTTTCTTATAATGCCGTTGGGTATTAGGCTCACATTGGCAATGATTGTTCTATCAACAGCTACACGTAACAGTCCGATCGATGGCTTTCCATCTTCTTCTTCTAGGGCCTCTCTTGCTTTTTATTTTTCCCTCCATTATGAGGTATAGTGTGCCATATTCTCAGGATATGATGTGACCAAAGTAAAGTTTTTCACTCTACCCATCAAATAGACAAACCATCGCTGAGATATGGTTCAATTTTTACTACTGCCTTTTGATGCTAATACAGATTTGGAATAATCGGGATATTTCTGGGATCTAAGCCAGACCTTTTTAGAAGTTAAAACAGTATTGTGTGTCCGTACTCTATCAAAACATTTTTGAAAATCATGATGAGAACATCACAATTCACTTCTTCAATTCACCTCTAATTCCTAGATCCTTACGAAATCCCATCTTCCTTCCAATTTGTAAGAAGAGTTTTAATACATAGCTCTTCAAGCATGCAGATGCATAGCAAAGAATGATTTTAACCCATTCTTTGGCTGTGTTCCAGGCAGTATATACGCCGTAGGCAAATGATAGTTTTATATATATGCATGGAATGCTGAAAACTCCTGGCATCTCAAATGGAACTTTGTCCTTGACAGATCCAAGGTGTTGAGAGATTTTGGGACAAGTGATTTTGACGTTATATTTCTTTAGAACTTTTGATATGTGGTCAGTGATGTTTTGAATATAAGGAAGGACAACAGTCGCAACAACTGCTTTCGGTTTCATTGCTATTGGAAGGTTGTGATGAAGTTATTCAGTCCATAAAATGTTTTTCAAAAAATTGTTATTCTCATTATGTCTATTTAAAAAATTCAGACAAAACTGTGTGCATTATATTTATATTCTTTTAAAACTGATTGAATTGATCCCCGAGAAATATCTGTCTCTTCATATACTCTAGTAATAGAGGAAACTGGATATGATTCATAGAATCCTAATATGTTTGCCTTATTTTCTTCATTTAAAACATTATGATTCCGGCATACTTTTTTAGAATTTAATACGTCACCGTTTTCTGCAAATTTCTCTGCCAGCCTTGGAAATATCTGTTGGAAGGAGCTCGACGCTCTCGATAAAGTCTAACATACTGACGACGAGCTGTGGTTGCAGTTCTATTATTTTATTATTCAGAAAGTATACTTGAAGCATATCACTCCTTTCAGGGATGCTAAATTCGCAAAAAACAATTTTAACAATAATGAGTTGGACCATAATTCAACCATCAACTTTGTCTACTGATATGTCAAACATAAACATATAAAACGGAATAAGATATTCTATTAAACACATTTATAATATACAGAGTGTTCCATTTAAAGATATGATGTAGGTTATATTTCAAAAAATTGATAGTGTTTTGTTTTATACGTCACTTGGAAAAAAACTTGGCTACTAACGCTACATTTTGTTACAACCAATTAAAACATTATCAAGACAAATTGAACGCACAGTACGCAACACACGTGCAGTGCTTGTTTTAAAATACTCTTTCACAAAACTCAATTTATTTAAAAGTCTTGAGACTTTATTACGTAATAATTTCCCTCCGCAGGGTGAGAACCCGAGCGTTGGCGAAGCCCTTCAGTTCCTGAGGGAGTACGATGCCGAAGGGTCCGACTTGTGTTTTCGCGTAAACTCCGCTAGATGGCTCTATTCAATAAACATGACCGATGCGAACAAGCGCAGGATGATCGACGAGCAAACTTTGAAAGCAAAGTTTGACAAAGTCACGTGGAGGAAAGCGGCAGAATTCGATTGGTCGACAATGCCGGATCCGGTGGTACGCAGACAGATGAGGATGTTACTGGCCAATGGCAGGGCTTCATTGCCCGACGAAAAGTTTAATGAGGTGAATATCGTTAGTTTTATAATAATAATAAATTGAATGGACAAATAATAATAACATTTAACAAAAAAACTCCATTAACAACCGCAACCGTAACTAATGACCTACCCCAGTCACTTTTATGAAACAGTTTTGGTTAGTTTTTTATTAAACATATCTGCACGACTATGTGAAATATGTTCGAACTTCCTTGTATTCGTGTTCTACTCGCCTTACATTCGGACAAAAACCAAGTCACTATAATTAAATGTAAACAGAACAGCTGACTCACTTAAATTCCTCCTCAGACTGTTACCTAATGTGTTTTTCGGAAAATGGATTTTAACTTCTTTGCTATAGATTCAAATTTTAGTTCCTCTTCTCTTGTTGAATGGCAATTGTAGCATAGAGCCAAAAGTTAAATACAGAAGTTAATTGACATATTACAAACTTTCAATCTATTTTAATTTTGTGCTTTATTTTAAATGAAACATCTAGTATATTACTTCATTTTTGAATTCTATTCAAAATTCTAGACACATTTTGTCTAGTCTAGGTTAAGTCTAACCGTTTTTGACATTTTTATTTTTTAATACGAAAAATGGCGTTTTGCAAGACATAAAATATCTATATTTCTTCATTCGGAAGGATTTATTGTTTCACTTGAGCAAGTTTTGTGGTAGGCAAAGGACTCGAATAACAGAATTCATAAGAAATTTTGATACATATTAATACAGGGTACGCGAAAAAGGAAATAAAACTGCCAAAAAATTTTTTTAATGGAAACTACCGATGCCTTTTCATATTTACCATTAAAAATTAAGGCAATATTTTTACTTTTTGAAATATTTCCTTTTAAACATTTGTCTATCACAAATAATATGCTGTTGCCATAAAAGTTCAGTTAGTGTAAGGTGGTTATGCCACTTTGATTTACCATTTTTTAGTTGACCATAATGTTGCCGATGCGCTTATGAAGATCCAAAGATTATTTAAATATATGTATGCATTGTTTATACAGAATAAGACTAAGGACACACGATAACGTTGGTGAATATTTTATTAGGCAACAAAAAATAAAAATTAATCCCTTAGAAAAATGAAAAGGCTCCAATGATGACCAGAGAATAAATAATTCACGCAATACCAGTTCAAAAAAAAAGTAAAATTCATGGGTCCCGATAAAGTTAGTATCGAAATAATTAAAATAATTGGAGAGAACGAAACCAATGGCTTGGACCTAATCATCATTATTTACATCATTTCTCATTATTGTTACATATATCAGAATTTTATTGGAATCAAACTGCAATAGTTAATGTAAGCAAACGCTGATGATACTGCCAACATAGCAAGAACTCGGTGGTCAATATAGCGAAATATTCGGCTTGCATCTAAATGCAAAATCGAAGTATGAGTATTCTCAAAGGAACCAATAAGAACACACCTGCATGTAAGGGATGGACAATCCAACATCAGGTAGCACCCGTAAAATACCTAGGAGTTAAAGTCTGTTCATAGATATAAGAAAGTGACTAACTGATACGAATTAAGGAAAGACCCGGGCAAGCTGTAAGAATGAAATATGGACGACCAGGTCCGTACTTTGCTTAGAATTTATTTGGGGTTTTGTTAGGAAATATACTAAACAAAATTTATTTATTTATGTATGTATTTATTTTTAAATCTTAAATAAAATTACAAATTATTTTTATTACCTACTTAAATTACTTAAAATTATTTACATAATATATCAGTATCACTATCGCTATCATCGCCTGTTCTAATTATTATTTGTTCTATATTATTTGCCCAACTTTGTGGAGGGATGTTAAAAACTTCGATTTCTATAAGTTTGAGGACATTGGAGTTAACACGTGGAAAACATTGTTACGACGAATGGCAGATTTCAGTTGGTGCCAAACATGTTCAATGGGATTAAATATACAGTGGTAAGGTGGAAGCCTTAAAACTGTATGCCCTAGATTTTTTGCATAATTATCACAAACGTATTTCTTTTGTAGGTTCAAATTTTGTAGAAACTCAATTAATTGCTTTTTGATATAATCTTCTTGAAAATAAATGTCGTTATATACATGTAGTTTTGGATTGTTGCTCACATGAGGAAGGGGTTTTAGTCAACTGTCTACTGCGATAACTTGCATTGTCCATAACAATGACGCTATTAGGAGGAATGTTTGCAACTAGTTTGTTTTTAAACCAACTTTCAAATAAATCAGCTGTGGTGTCTTCGTGGTAATCCAGAGAAGAATCTTTAATATTTTTCGCAGACAGAGAAAATCCATTTGGAATCCAACCATCTTTAGAGCCAGCATGCAAAATAGTTATTCTTGTACCTCTTTTTGATGGCGCGTTTGTTTTACACTTATCAGTTGAGTCAACCCAACCCTTTTCTGGGGTATCATAAGTGTAGACCCGGTTTCATCCAAGTAAATAATTAGCCTTTGTTGTTCTCTGTAAATCCTAATTTGTTCTAGATATTCCAGTCGCCATTTCCGAATTCTAAAAGATTCCATTAAAACTTGCCTTTTGTCAATTTTTTAAAATCTAAAACCCATGTGTTGAATACACTTCCATAAGGTAGTTCTGCAACATTTAACACCGGTTTCATCCTAATTAAGATATTTAATGTAGGCACGCTTTGTTCCTCGTATAACAGGTAAATTTTACGCCGTATTATATCTTGATCACTTTCATCTACACTCGAGAAAATGTCAGCATCGCTTCTTTTTTTTCTCGCTGAAATGGGATTATTCACAATTTTCCATACAATTGATGTTAGGATTTGCGTCAATGTGGCCGTTTCTTCTAAAGTTGCTTGCTTGCTGGCACCACGTTCAATGAGAGTCAAATAAACATTGTTTATAACTTCCTTAGTCTCATTAGAATAGTGTTTTCTACATTTGGGCGGAAACATCTCCTAAGATACACTAGACTCGCACATATTTTGCATAATTCGCACACGATTCAACACACGCTGTATTACACACGAAATAAGAATGATTACTAATAAACTAAAAACTAAGTAGTATACCAAACCAAAGAATATTATTTTCTATTACGGACCACAATTTTACCTGAATTTAAATTCCGAAACTTTAGGTAATAATCTTGTTGCATTGTATGTTAACGACCATCCTTGGATAATCCCATTCAAAAGCAATTGATCACTTTCTTATATCTATGAACAGACCATACTAAATACCATTAAAACAAGAAAGGCGGAGTATTTCGCTTACGTAATGAGAAATGAAAAATATGAATTGCTTCATATAATCATGCCAAGAAAAATATAGTGAAGATGTGGTCCTGGTCACCGAACAACGTCTTGCCTCAAAAATCTTCGTCAGTGTTACGTGTGTTATATTGTGGAGGGGACCACGGCGCTTGAAGAAGAAGAAGATGGCAAATCTACAATAATGTTAAAATTAGGATAAAAAAACAAATTTTTAAATTATTAACGCGTACACAACATGGACTTTTTTGCATAAAATTAAAATTTGATGATGTTTTCAGCTCTATCATTTAATTGCGGAAATGAAAGACATTTACGGCCACGTCCGCGTCTGCCCCTACAGGTCGAGCGAAGAGTTTGGGGCGGCGATTTATTGCGACTTGGAATTGGGTGACGTGAATCGCATAATGGCGGCTTCCAGGGATAATCAGGAACTCGTCCATATCTGGCGCGAGTGGCACGACAAAACGGGACCGCCGTTGAAGAACAAATTTATGAGATACGTCGAGCTGGCCAACCAAGCAGCCCGACTCAACGGTACGTAATACATCAACGTACAAAAAGTAGAACTTTTATTCTCCCCCTTCTACATTGTCGATTTTCTCAATCAAAATCAGATGAAAATGTTTTTCTTTTTTCTAGACACATCTCCTGAATTAGCATCCCGTACAACTTTTTCATTTTTCATTTTTTATTTTGTGGATATACAAAATGTGATGCATTATTTTTAATTTAAATTTGTCGTTGTCCACAGAATAAGCATATTATTATGATTAACGATTTCTGAACGGCATATTGTAGATGGGGTCTAACTTCAGGATTCAAGTATCATAATGGCAGTGTTGGGATTTAGGCTGACCATCACTGCTACCGAAATTGTGATTTTCTTCATAGATTTATCGGGGTCGTCTTTCTGATTAGGCCTCACAGCTTCGATGTGGTCTAGTTGTTTAGAAGTATGAGGAATTCCTTGGCCTGTTTTTGCCCTGGTGTTGAACTGAGGAGGCTTTTACTTGATGAAAACACATTTGTCAAAATAAATAAGAACTAAAAGTTCGTATTTTCACGAATTTCGTGAAAATCTGAACTTTTAGTTCTTATTGATTTTGTCCTGGTGTGTCTCTTCACCATTGATGTTTTTTTTCTGTCTATTGTTTGATGGTTGATGTTGCGATGGTCCTGGTCCCTCCAGGTCCTGCAACCTAGGAAAACGTAACATAACTCCTAATTTACTATATCCTTTAATGCCTTATGACAATCCAAAACGAACTTGGATGTTACTTTGGTGGATTTCATGGCTTTTATTCTTGCTTGGTTCTCAATGCAGATCTAGATTGATATGTCTAAGCATATATTTAAGTTAGTTAGTTAGTGAGTGTAGACGAGTGAAATAACTAAATCGGAATTCTTTTTTTTCTTTTTGATATCTCAAGGTCATTCCTGGGGGGTGGAGGATGCAGAAGTTACGTATTCTTTCTACTGACGCCACAGACGCTATAAAAATTTTCCAATTTTTACACTTATTACACACACACTTTTTAATTACAATATACAATTACAATAAGTTGGTGCACGTGCATTAAAAATGTTTGCAAGTCAAACGGTATATTTATTTTAGTAGGATTTCGTTGATAATTTGTATCGTCTTCGTTATAAACATTTAAAATAAATATTTTGAACTTTCAATTTGAGATTTTTACATTTTTGTAAATATGTATGTATAATGTCAGTAAAGAATATTTCATAATCAGAGCCGTAATATTTGAAAAAATACTTATAGAATAATTTTATAGTACTGTCAAAGAACACAGAAATGTTGTTTAGAATCAGAAAAAGAAATGTTACGTAACGTTTTTATAAAATGGTAAGTATTGTTATATAATTATCATGGGCGATCATTATATAACAACTATTAATAATAATAATAATAATAATTTTATTCACGTATTGATATACAATGAAAAGGGCACGGTTCGGATGAACAAAATAAGATATTTTGTGCTTCCATTTTTAAACCTATCCTAAGAAGAAGGTAGCAGCGCTAGGCAGGAAAAATATACATAAAGAAAAAATAAATAAATAAATACCTAGTACAATCTGTGCAAATAGAGGGACTTTGGAAATAGTTTACAGTAGACATTACTTAAATATTTAATGATAATAATACTTCACGCAGGTGGAAAAGGTATTGTTTAGCAATTTAAGAGACTGATCCAATGCATTATATGTTTCAGCCATGTCATATGTAAAGGATCTTTCAAAAATTCCAGAGGTGTGACGTGAAGGGGTAGCAGGCCTTTAAATCTTAAATTTAAATTGTGAACGTCCGTGCGAAAGCTGATTTTTTTAAAAAGATAGCGTGGAGACTTCAATCTTATAATTTTGTGATAAAGATATTAAGCCATCGGACTTCCTTCAGTTTATGACTAACAGGCCTGCCGCGTTTAATCCCAAAAATGAATCTTAGACAGTATTTCTGGATTTTTTGAATCCGTTCTGAGACAGCCGCTGCCAGACATGGGTCATAGACGACATCACAATGATTAAAAGAAGATAAAACTATGGGACCTTTTTTAATGATTGATTTAAAGTATTTTTAGAATCATATAAGCATTTTAAGTGAGCAATGGATTTTTTAATACATTGTGTAACGTGACCATTAAATCTTAGCTTACTGTCGAGCATAAGCACGGTCTCTTGCCTCCGTTTTCAGAGGATTCGATATTTTTATTTCAACTAGTTGCGATAATCAATCAACGTCCACGGGCCTACCAAAGAACTTGTTATAGATTTTTTTGGTTTTAGATGAAATGAATGTTCTAGGGACACTCTGTTAATGATTTCTAGATCATTACTTATGATTTGACAGCTTTCAAAAATTTTATCTTCCGAAAATGAGTAATAAACTTGTATATCATTTATAAAACTAGGACACGCGGACGTATATATACAGTATAAAATCGGCAGCAGAATGGAGCCTTGAGGCACCCCAGATATTATAGCACGGCAGTCTGATTGCTGTCCATTTAGAACCACTTTTTGTGTGCGACCTTGTAAGTAGTTCCCCATAATTTCGACAGCATTGGATACAATTGTTTTATACACTTGCGCCTTCTCCATGTTTGTAAGGCCCATAATAAAGGTTAACAGTCATTTCTAGCTTTTTTTTTGTGCCACTTTGGTGGTTAATAGTAATTAGAACGTCCTCTGTCCTATGAGTTTAATGACATCTCAAAATATTTCGATTTCATCCAATAACAATTTGCCTTTTTTATTTTTATAAATTTGATGATTTGGTGAGGAAATATTGTCCGATATATAGAAAATAATGGAGGTTATGTGGAAGACCTTTAGCATTAATTATTGATATTTTTGTTGTTTAAATAATATAATTTTATTATTTGGCGTTTTTCTTGAAATATCTTAAGTTATTTAACTTACGCTGCAGATCTTTAGTTTTGATTAGTTTTCAAAAGTAAAAGCAATTGCAAACATAGATAATATGGTTGCTATCAAGGCAGACTTGACCATTTTTAAACAATATGGCTATTGTCCAGAGATTGAATGAATTTTTAAAATGAAATATCTCGAAAATGGTTAAATGAAATGTCAATAAGTTATATGTTTTTGAAATCAGGAAAAAAGATCTACGATTTAGGCTATATATTGGACATTCCATTTAAAAAAAAAATGATGTCATTTTGACATTTGCAAAAGATAATAGCGCAAAAACTTTTGTATTCACACTTTTTTTTCTTTCAAAATTAACGCTGTAGGTGGGTGACATAATATAATGAATAACCCTGTACCCCTTGAGTTGGAACCATTTTATCACCAAATGGTTGTCGAGCGTGCACCAACCTTAGACAATAATTGTATTTTGGTGGACCCGTTAATAGAAAAACATCCCATACGTTGATTTTTTCCAAATTAGGTTTCACCGATGCCGGAGAAGAGAGTAGATTCGTATACGACGATCCAGATTTCGAAAACGAATTGGCGGAAACGTTTCAAAAAATCCAACCCCTCTACAAGGAGCTGTTCACTTACGTGAGGACGAAACTGTACCAAAAATACGGACCCGACGTGGTGAGAAAAGACGGGCCTCTGCCCGCCCATATTCTGGGCAACGTTTGGGGGCAAGAATGGGTGAACATTTTCGACGTCGTGGTACCCTATCCCCAGTTCAGTAACTTCGACGTTACCGCCGAAATGCTGCGCCAAGGATTCACGCCACTGAGGTACCATAGAATAGAAAACAACCATAACTCTCGGTTTTATGCGCGAAAGTTTACCTAACCTAAAAATAAAGATAAAACCGTAGGCTAAATATTCAAGGCATTTCGTGTATTTCGTTCAACAAAATGCTACTTCTTTTGTCGCGTTAAAAACAACCGTTCGATTTTATTTGCAATTAGTATCTTTTGTAGTAATCTTTTAACCAGTAGTTAAGCAGCTAGGTTTTTATCCACCAAAAGAATTTTACTCCTAAAATCAGTAGTTAAGTTAACTGGCGAATTTTGGCCGATTATGAGGTTGAAAAATGAGGTTATGTTGTGGTGGTGGCGGTTTGTTTTAAAAAAGAAGAAAAAACAGTACTGGGGCGCAATGGGAAAGAACAGATTACTTCGAAGACGTAGGAAATGAAGAAATTTCGTCGTTTTTTTTTATTCATTTATTAAAGGAAGAAAACATACTAACAGAAAATTTCTGATAAAAATTTCTGGGCTAGGCTATAACAAGCAATTTTTGTATTTTAAATTATCGCATATCATACAGAAAGTATCATTGACTTAAGGCAAATGATTATCGTGGTTCTTTTGTGGGCTTTTACAAACTGCGTCGGTTGTTGTTGAGTCGAACTTTCGCCAATCATACTGTGCTTATATGTTGTTTGAGGGGATACCTGCTTATATAAGGGGGCGGAGCTAAAGGAGGGCCACGAACATTGTGTCCGATGACAGGTAACGACCTGAGTCGTGGTTAAGATTGTTTGGTTCCTTATAGATTTCTACAGATTCTCAGTTTGGCAGTAGAAAAAGAACTCGCTAAAACTAACATTCTTGAAAACGCAATCAATCAATCAAACAATATATAAGCTATATATATAAGTTTCAGAAGAAGCCGACAGGATGATTGGCGAAACGTCAGAAGATTTGTAAATAGTGTAAAATAATAATAGCCAATAGGAGTAGATGGATAAAGGGACTTCCAGGGACCCCATAACCTCACTTTTTGGCCTCTCGGCCGCGGGCCCTCCGCCCACGGGCCGCCCGGCCATCTTTTGCCGCCCATAGGCCACTCGCTCATAGGCCACTTGCCCATAGGCCACTCGCCCATGGGCCTTCTTCTTTTGCGTGTCTGGCCGTTCGGCCATTGGCCGCTCGCCCGTTCAAGGTCACTCGCCCATTTTTATAAAATTATTTCTTATATTTCTTATATTTTTCGCAAAAACAAAAGTAGTTTCTAATCTGTGAAATGCCTATGCAAAAGGACGCTTTTGACATTTCTCTAGAAAAGTCTGTTCCAAAATTTAAAAATTATATAAATAAATATTATAATATAGAAATAAATTTTACATAAATAAAATAAATAAAATATATAAAATATAGATTAAAAAATGCACCTTTTTAGACCTGCTATTACACCACAGATGGCGCTAAAAAATTATGAGCTCCACAGAAGTAACCATCGGTTTATAAACTCTTTGTTAAAATGTCATTGTGAATACGTCAAAATATATATATATATATATATATATATATATATATATATATATATATATATATATATATATATATATATATATATATATATATATATATATATATGGATATACTCCACCAGTCTGGTAGGTATAGATCTAATTTTATTAGAGAGATCTAAAACTTACATGAATATAAAAACTAAACACTACAATAATGAAATACTTTAGCAACACAATTCCAACAATACTGATATTAAAATTTTTTGTTTTTTTTTATAAAATATGAGGTTAGTTTTATTAAATGTTTAGCTTTTTTTATGACTACTAACGAGATGCAGCTATATGGAAACAAGTTAAGAGCAATGGGTGCAAAATGGTAGTGGATAGTGTTTAAAGAAACTTTGAGTGTGTGCCTCCATTAACAAAAGTTCTAAAAAAAACAAAAATAACACTAAATAGTCCAAACGTAAACGACAGAAGATTTTGAAAATACGGCTAAAATATGGAACAAATTAATTTAAAAATCAGGTATTTTAATTATAAAAATTTTAAAATGTATACAGGGTGGCCAAAAAGTAGTAAACAGTACAATTTTTTAAGTGGTACTGTGTAAAGTTTCTCACGCATGGAATGAAAAAAAACATTTCACGAATCTGCCGTAGGATGTTCCAAACAGCCGAGGAATTTTATTCCTCTTTGGGGTTGAAGCCGATGCCTCCCGAGTTTTGGCGATTCTCGATGATAGAAAGGCCGAATGGACGAAAAGTGCAGTGCACGGCGAGCGCGTGGGACTTCTGCAATAAGGTCGATTTCAGGATCAAGCAGTGCACGGAAGTAAACATGGAGAATTTGATCACGATTCACCACGAGATGGCGCACATCGAGTATTACATGTACTACGCCGAGCAGCCATTTATTTATCGAGACGGTGCTAATCCAGGTATAGTTTTCTTTACTTTTTTTTATTCCTGAGTTTTACACGTTCAGTTTTATTAATACTCAAAAAAGTCTATACGAGAACTTCACTGAATACCAAACAAAACTTCCATTACTTAAACTATTATTCCATCTTAATCAACGGACAATTCAAAATCTAAGCTGGTAAATCCATTCCTAAATTTTGGCCTAAATAAAATACTATATAATACCATTACAACCTGAAAATATTAAGAAAAAGAAGATATTGATAAAAAAGGGTATGTAGCTTCTGTATTACAACCCTTTACAGGGAAAACTGATACTTTCGTGCTTAATTCCTTTCACTTAAGCAGGAACCAGACCTTCTCATCTTAATTGTCTCGAACAGATTTTTCTTATAACGGTCTAATTTTTGAACAAACGTCAGGAAAGCCTTTTGCACCTTCCATCGAAAACCAAAATTATGGATACGCTACTAAGAGGATAGTTTTGTTATTTGACCTCATAGTCAAGAATCCCTCCTAATTTTTCGTGTCCCTGTAAACATACGTTTTACATTTGAATTAGAAACTAATAATAATGTTTCATTCTTAGATATTCTTATCAATCGAAAATCGATACCTTAATGCATTGTCACATCACCATCCGACCCAAAAACTTTCTTGTTTACAGAGCCGTAACCTTAACCCGAGTCACTGAACCCAGAATTAAAACACTGCTCTTTATCACAACTGACATCACTGACCACATGTCCGACGAAAAATATCAACTAGGCTTAAAGAACACGAAAGAGCCTTAAGACTAAGACAAATAAACTCATCAGCTGTTGCCGAACACAATCGCGAAACCGGACATACAATTTTATTCGATAAAACTAAAATTCTATCTAAAATCTATAGAGATTTATAATCACCCACACAATCTTAACTGCTTCTCAAGTCTTTACCTTTCACCAATATGGGAATCAGTCATCCGGGACAATGTTCATACCCCATATCCCGAAGATTTGTAAATATTATTCTAAAATTTAGTATATTTTCTTTGTATATCTGTCTGGTCGGCAAATGTCTTTTTTTTCAATACAATTTTGAATGCCATTTACTGGTTCAAGTGCATGAATTAGCGTATCCTTCATACAATCCAACTATAGCGAAATGCAAAAAAAAACTACATTTAATGTGTGGAAGGACACAACAAGAACGATTGGGAGTTGGGGTGTCATGTTTTATTTTGGCCATACATATAGTTTATAGGATTTTTGAAGGAGGCCTGACAGAACTTACTGCCTGAGGAAGTTATTTAAGAAGTGCTGGAAAATATTCTATTGACCTAATGTAATGCTGCTTACCTACAGCAAGATGGTGCCCCAAGTCATAACGCTAGGAATTTCTAAATAATAAGTTTCCTCAGAGGATTAGATTTTTTTATGGGGCTATATAGAAAATGCACTATATAAAACACGGTATGACCGCATAGCACAATTTCGCTAGTTAAAGACAGCCGTCACTAACGAATACATTTATATTAATTCAGCTTAAGGGTGAGAGAATCATATGGATTCATGTATTTTCTATGTTATAAAAGGTCAAAGTGTTCCTTAATGATATGCGAATATTTAAGTAGATAAACCTACATGAAAAAATTATGACAATATTAAATAAACGAAAACTCCACGCAATAAAAATTAATTAATTAAGACAAAACCAAATAAAATATCACACCGTATAAGACATAATTTGCAGTAAATATACAAGTAAACCATATTAAGTTTGTATTTGTGATTAAACATCTTCATCAGTGCCAAAATTGGAACTGCTACCACCACAAAAGGATCGTTTATCCACATTAATACCAAGTAGTGGAAGTAGGTAAAATATTAAGGCACCTTCTCTATTGGTTTTATGTACGACTATGCCATCGCAAATCGTACCGACTATATATATATAATATACAAGCATAATAAACTTGCGTGCATATAAATCGGGCCATTATGAACTTTTGACTTCAATTTCATTTTTTTTTTAGAAACTATTGATCAGATAAAAAAAAAATCTGTTTGAATGACAATTTAATATGCTTCAATACGAGTTTAAATTGATTAAAATTTATTTTTACCTTTTAGGTTAGGTTTAGCGAGTCAAATTAACTTTTTTTATTAGCAAAAACAAATAGGATTATTTGCAATTAGCAAATAAGATTTTATTTAACAACATCGTCGATTTGGCATAAATATAATCAATGATAATAATAATAATGGCATAATAATAAATAAATGTTCGATCGGATTGAGGTCGGGACTGCATGCTGGCCACTCCATAACTGGAAAACCGACTTCTGTAACGTAATCTTGCACGATCCTTGCAGCCTAGCATTGTAGCAATGTAGTCGACATATGGTATCACGTGATCTGATAAAATATCCTCGATGTACCTAGCACCTGTTAAACCCTGTGCCTCTTGACCACGGCCGTCCCTACGGATGAAAACAGGATCGGTTCGTGCGTCTATAGAAATTACAGGAACCACCTCCTTAAGGGCTCCGCTCTTCATTGCAGCTTTCTACAAATCGCTCTCCTGGTCTTCCGTACACTTTTTTCTGTCGCTCACTACTAAAAAGGCATATTCTGGTGTCACCTGAGAATAGAACTGACCCATTGGTCCAATGTCCAATTTAGATGAGTAAGTTTTGGACCAATTGCAGTTGTTTTTGTCCAGTGTTACTATCACTATAACTATTGCTTAACCGTAGCTACGAATATAAAAGATCAGTACTCTTGACAAATTTAAACTCATACTAAAGCATTCCAAATATTTTTGGGTCAGAAGTGAATAGTTTCTAGAAAAAAAAATACTGAAGTCAAAAATTGAGAGTAGGCCGATGTGTCTGCACGCAAGTTTTTTTTGCAAGATATCATATGGTTGCATAAACTCGCCTTTAGATCCCATATTGGACTTCCAAACAAACTTTGTTTTGTTAAAATATGTGCAATTTTCAAGCGGTATCAGTTTTTTATGTACATAATTTAAATATAAGATTTACAGGTGTTACATCCTTCGTCATGAGATGATATTGTTCACACATCTTAAAACGTCCTTCTTAAAGCGTGCCTAAACCTTCAACACAAACTAGTCCGTTCTGTCTGCCTATATTGGTTTTGCGCAAATAAACACCTTTATTTATTTGTGCCTATATAATTATAAGATCTTGTTGTACCTGCTTTTTTTTCACCCATCAATGTGCACTTTGCTCCATTTTCTCTCTAAACAGCAATTTCCACACACTTAACTCGCTTTCCCAGAACATTTAACGAGATATAGACACATTCTGATAAAATACTTATTTAAGATCTGTCATCGGCCATGTTGACTGTGGAATGCCGCAAGGTCATTGGTTAGAAACGACATTTTATATCTCGCGCATGCGCATGTTGAATTTACTTCAAAATTTTTTTTATGGTCGCTTCATAAGTTCCTGTATTACAGGAACTGGCAGCGTAGTATAGTTATAATGCATTTGGTTTCAACCATTAAGGATAGCGAATACATTGAACATGGCGGACATCGCTGTAAACATAATAAGTGTGGCAAAGTAATGCTAATTTAACGCTTAAATTTTTCCCTGTGTAGGTTTTCACGAGGGCATAGCCAACGCTATCGTCCTATCCGTATTTAACCCGGTCCATTTGCATCGCGTGGGCCTTTCCAACGAAAGCACCGACGTCTTCGAAAGAAACATAAACTTCCTAATGTTAATGGCTCTAAAAAAAGTGACCTACGCGCCGTTCGCTTATCTAATCGACCAGGTGGGTATAGTGGCGACACAGTGTGGGCAAATCTTTCAAATTAATCAAATCAAATCAACCTAACAATAGGCCCCTCGCACATATTTATAAATTTACACGAACACTTAATTATCTTTTAAAATACAATAAGTTACATTCCAGAATATTTTTCCTAAAACCGAAAATATATTTAGTTCGTAATTAATACTAGATAGCGCGTCCGACATACAAAAACGCTACCCCATTGGTTGTGACGTCACGAGGTACGTGGAGATATAAAATAGTTACGTTAAAGTGGGTCTTCGCAAAGGTCTTCGTGGCTTTTTAATGAAATGTTTCCAGGTTAGCTTCTAATGGCTTTTAATCATTTTTGACGATGTTTTTCTTGCATAAGCAATTGAATAAATGGTTTTTCACGAAGCAGAACTGATTTTAGTTTTACAACCTGGCACGATGCAATAAATCATTTTCAACTAAAAAAAAAACACGAAAAAATGTTAGGCTGACAACTGTCAACACCAAAACGTACCGGTGACGTCAGAAACAGCTGAACAGAAACCACAAACAAAGTGAATGTCGGTGTATTTTAATGTGACACACGAAAATGAACTCGCAAAATTAATTTGATGGACGTTTAGTGTCACAATCATATAGCTATAAGACAATATAGTGACCCTACTACGGTAAAAATTGATGCGCCGCAGATGGCTATGATATTTTCGTAGAGGTGTGGATCTTTTGCTCATGCGTCACCCCCCAACTGTCTGAGTTGCTACATTGCCGTAATTTTTCATAGCCTGTGCCATTGTTATTTTCATTTTTTTATCAATATCTCCATACCGTACACACAAACTTGTATAATTTGTGCTTTCAATACTTTTGTTCTTTTACGGTATCAGAACAAATGTGAATTTTGACGTTTGTCAATTCTGGCGGTCATGTCATCGAATGTATTGGTGTTGTTTTGCGAAAATGTAACCAAAAACTAACGGTCGTAGAAAAAGTATAGTATGCAACACGTTCGGTAAATCTTTTAACTCACTCGTTTATTAAAAACTCGCTCCGCTCGTGTCAAATAAACTCGTGAATCAAATGCCGTTTACCACACTTGTTGCATAATATACTATTTTAGGTACACTTAAATAGCTACGAAGAATGTTTGGGTAATATGTTTTAGTGTACAAGAATTGCAGGAAATATAAGAAAACACTAGAATAAGCATAAGAAATACCCATTGTGAACTACAGTCTATAGCATGTGCTTCTTGAACATTTTTTCTACTTAGATGTTTCTTGTGCGATACCTCAAAGTTATTTCAATAGATGATAAACCTATCAGTTTATGAAAATTAACGCTTTGCGCCGATTTACAAGCAAAAAAGGCGTAAAAAATAGCTTACACGAAAAAAATACATGTAGAAATTGCATCGTATCTACAAGGCTTAAAGAACAAAAACGCCAAATTAATTACGGAATTATACTGACGCCGCAAGTCTGCACTTCTTTTCTACACCTTAAATCCTGCCTGAAATTGTAATAGGATTTCGACAGGAATTTTTTAATAATGGTATTAACACTCGAACGTAATACGGCAGCAACTAAATCAATAAAGCGGTTTCTTTTTAAATGGTCTTTAAAATTTCAATTCAGTTAGAATAACGTTCCGGGTATCTATTCATTTGACATTTTTAGCATTATTTGAGTGAAACTAAACCATCGAGAATGTGGATGCTAAATCTGCCCACAGTTGGGCGACCCGAAGCGGAATTTACCGTCTTTTTCCGAATTTTCAGTGGAGATATCAGATCTACGAGACCGGCGTTAACAGAATGAACTCAGACTGGTGGAATATCAGGCTGAGGTTCCAGGGGGTCGCGCCACCGGTACCTCGAACGGAAAGCCACTTTGACGCAGCCTCTAAACGACACGTACCGGCGGATATACCTTACATCAATTACTATATCGCGTTGCTGCTCGAGTTTCAGATCCACAAAGCGCTGTGCGAAGCGTCAGGTTTTACAGGACCACTGTACAAGTGCGACATTTATAGGTCGAGGGAAGCCGGAAGGATCCTGAGGTATAGTTTCTTTCTCGAACGGTGGGTACTAGCAAAATGACTAGCAAAAGTTTATGAAACGCAAGATGATTCAAACATTAACCTTCCAAGATCTTCTGGGCGAAGGGCTAAAAAGAAGAAGACACCAAGAACCAAAGAGTATAAGATAGAGGGGAAGGTCGCGTATACTGTTACGAATGCCATCTATTATTTGTGTCCGAGTACTAAAGTACTGTCATGACAGTTTAAAGTAATGTGTCACACTGAAACTACTACAGTAGCTTGTAACGGATAACAGAACCTTATTTATATTTTAATAAAAAAAAATGAAAACTATTCCGACATATTTTTTTCACATTTTACTTTTCACACTTTAAACTGAATTGAACCGTGCGTCTCGCGCGTTTTCCGGTCTCATGACTGGACACAATCACTAGACGGCGTTGCAACTCGTGTACACTTTTAACATTGCCACTAATGGAAACCTTCCCCTCTATCTTATACTCTTGGAACTTGGAACTTTGTCTTGGAACTTTTTAAAATTTCCGCTAGAGGCGTCGTATTCTAAGTCTCTCGAATACATTGTTCTATACAGGGTCACTCAAAAGTAGTGTATATCTCAGGAATGATTGGACAAATCTATTGAATTTAGGTTATGGTTGGGTTTATGGTTTTTTCCATACAGCTATAAGATAATATAGTGGCCCCACTACGGTAATAAGTGATGCGCTGCAGGTGGCTATGATATTTTCGTAGAGAAGGTGTGGAGCTTTTGCACATGCGTCACGCAAAAACTAACTGAGTTGTCACATTTAGGTAATTTTTCTGAAAAAATTTACTAATTTTCATATGAACGCAAAATCAGTTTCTGAAATCCGAATATAATTGGCAACGCCGAAGTAGGAACTGCTATTGCGAGATACTACTAATAGTCTGTGCCATTGTTGTTTACATTTTTGGTGTTTATGATTTTCTCCGTACGTTTTTCGTGTTTGTGGTCAAAACTCTAAGGAAAACAATGTGCCTATATACGGGTAGGTGTTGTCTTATGTACAAGTTAATTTAAAAGTGGTTTCTGTAGTCATATTTCGTGAATTCGACTTTATTTACATTTTCAATAGAAGTTAAACCAATAAGTTTATAAAAACACAATGTTTTCGTCGATTTACGGGTACAAATTTAGGAAAACTTACCTGTATCGTGTCTATAGCTCTTAAAGTCTTGAATTATGTGGGTTTAATAACACACACTGAAGCGTTTTATTTTAAGAAGGATGTATTAAATATTGGAATTTATAAGAAAACTAACAAAATTCATTCTATATTTGGTCCGCCATTCCACCGCGTGTTTTTTCTCTAGTCACGTAGGCCAAAAAAAAGTTATTTCAAAAACAATACATGTATGTGACAATAACTGTGTTCTGCACTAATACGTTCAACATAAAGAACCAAAATTATACAAAGGAAGCCCATCCGTGTACTCTAATTCAGCATAATATTAACTCTGCACTTGTCGCTAATTTTTTTAACAACACTTCTACACCTTAATTCCATTTTTGCCTGAAAATTTAATGGGATTTCGACATATTTTGAGAAATTACTGCATCCAAACATTGACGGCCTGGCAGCGGCCATGTTGGAAGCCGCATGGCCTTATGGTTAGAGCGTCAGAAAATGTAATTAGAGTTGCCATTGGTTAAAAACGAAATTTCAAATCTCGCGCACGCGCACATTGACCAGACCTTCTCAAAATTTTGTTACATAGTTGCTTCGCAAGTTTCTATACTATTAGCATAGGCAGAGCCTCTATATGTCTAGTAGCTATATGGTTTTTTCCCTTAGCTACCAAAATTCTTACCTTAAATAGAAAGGGTATGCACCCTATAACTCCGCACTTGGGCGAGTAGCTGCATTGTCTAGTAATAAAACACATTTTCTGGAGTATCCGTGTTCTTTAAAAAAAAAAACTACTTTTGGTAAGAAATTTGGAAGCATGTTCTTGAAGGCTCGTGGTTTTGCTGACAGATACCATAATAATTGAAGTTTGTCTCCCAGGAGCATTGGTCCTTTAGTAGTACCTAGTTTTAAACTTAATTTACAAAATGTTATTAAAAGAAACAATTTTAAAATATTTTGAAATGTGTCGAAAATCGAGCTTGAATTTTCTTAGATGGTACACCCTGTATATTATGGCATTAATAGATACACTGTTTTATACTCAATCTCCCAATGTAGGGTTGTTGTGGTGTATACAGAGTGTTTTCGGATTTATGCCAATTTTTATTGTCAAAAATGTGTTTCATGCCTTATATTTTTAAAAAATAAAATTTTGTGAAACGATTTAAACGATTAAATTTATATTGCTCACAGTTCCAGAAAAAGCACTTAAAAACTAAGAACAAAAATGCAAAACAAAATGAACTGTCTAACACGATATTTAGTCGATTGATCGATCTTTGTTAGGTCAGGAGAATTAGGTGGCCATCTAATCGGATCACCTCTTTCTATCCACGGTTGAGCAAATAAATTATTTAAGTAGTTCTTAACTTGACGGACATGGTATGCAGGAACCACATTATCTGCCTCATTTGGAATAGTTCTTAACTTATTCTGCAACTTCTGCTCTAATTTAGGTAAACTTGCCCATTCCCTATATATTCAAAAAAATTAGGCCCTACAACCCCAAACATTTAAAGACCATTTTTTCTTACTGAAAATTATAGCTATTAGCAAAATCGTTTTTATGGAATTTCGATTCATCCGTAAATAACACATATTCGAAAAAAATCATCTTGCTCAAAAATTCGTTCTTCACAAAATGTTGATCTAATCTGATAGTCATGTGTTGTTGATGAAGTTGTGCATAATAGGGATCCATCGTATTTTTTCGCAAAATATTGTTGACGTAATTCTTACATATAAGTTTTCTGTTTTCTATAATACTTTACATTAATTTTTCCTCTTCACCACAGTCTTTATTCCATTGAAAAATTAATGGTTGTGTTGCAAGTTAAGCAACTCACAACCAATTAGTTGCGGAAATCCAAATTGACAGGTTTCAAATAATTATTTATTTGCATGGCCAACTACATTTGTGTGGCCATCCTACATTTGCAAGACGCCATCTGAAAACATTATTTATGGTTTAATAATTCTGGGCTTTGAGAAAAGTTAATGGGAAGAAAGGAAACATTTGTTGTTATTTTTCTTGTCTTATTGCAATATTTTCTCGTAATTTGACAAATTTTCGGAGTTTTGTTCCTAAAAATGTGTATACCTCAAAAAAAAAGTTTAGGTATAAGGAATGCTTAATAAAATTGAAAGAGCATCAAAAATATTAAATAGTGATGGAATATAAAAAAGAATTTTATGCAGTAATATACCGAGTGTTCCGTTTAAAAAATATATAAGTTTTATCTCCCACAGATTTATTTATATTTGAAAATAATTTTAGATTGTTTCTATAAATTTTGTATTTATCCTTTTTTTTAAGCAAATGAAAAATGAGATATATTACTTCGACACACCCTTTATATGAGCTGGTTGCCTTAATGGCGGCTAAGATTTTAAGTGTCCTGTATATAACGTAACACTATTCTACCATTCTATCGCAGCAACATATTCCGGGTGGGGAGAGCGCGCCACTGGAAAGACGTCATCAAAATGCTATCGAACGGAAAAGTGTCGAAATTGTCGGCCGAACCAATGCTCGAATACTTTCAGCACTTGCTGACTTGGTTGCGGGAGAAAAATGAAGGAGAAACGGTTATAGGTTGGATGACCAATAAGGAAGATGTTGCTTTGTATCAACCGTTGGTCTACGGGTCAGGATCGATCCACATATTTCGAGCGGAGTTTGTTGTGATAATAGTGTACAACTTTTTGATACATAATTTTGTGTAACAATAGGCATCTCATTCAGCATAACGCACAAATCAACTGTTTTTGTAAATAATATACATTTATAATTGTTTGGACGAGTTTTATGTCGTATTGAATTCAAGAGAACCTCGTTTTTGACAATTTTTGATATCATCTCGGCACACTTGGAGTTAGGAGAACAATGCTTCATTTAGTGGGCCCTCTATTATTTAGAGCATGTTTAGCTGACCTCCCAGGATGTCTTGTCTTGAAAAACTAGTGAAAAGGGCAATTGAAATAGTTATAGAAAAATTTCAGACCTACTGTCTAAAAAAACCACCATACATTCAATCCTAAAAAAACTGTAGCAGTTCAGTTCACAGATCACTACAAAGGTCCTTTAGATCGATTAAGTGCCAAAATAAACCAAGATTATCGAACTAGAAATTCGAATACAAAATTTCTGGATAGAGAACTTGACTGTGAATTAAAGCGGTCCGCCCAAATTAATTGTGTGTCAAAAAAACTTAATAATGCGCTATATTAACATTGAAATCCACCCCAAATACTCTGTCTTAAGTGTATACTAATCGGTATACTCGGTAGAGTTCTCCGAACGGTATACCGTTTTTACCACCTTTTGCGGTTTTGACTTCGGAATGAGTTTAAGACCCGTCTGTTATAAACCGGAAGAGACCTTTCATTTCACCACGTGTGCCACACGCCAGGGCCGTATTTAACATATTAGCGGACAAGAACTGTGCCGTGCAGACTGTTGTATTTTAAGAGTAGGGAATTTTTATTTAATTCAACTGTTATATTAATTTATATCAGTGTGCTTTTTGTAAATCTTCAGTCCCTACTCGATTTCCCAAAAATGCGGATGCTTATCAGAAGATATTTGAGAGAAATCCATGAAATTCTAGCTAAAAACATCCCCATCATATATTTAGATGAGACCTGGTTTGATAGCCACGATGCCATCCTGGTAAAGTCTGTTCATAAATATAAGAAAGTGACCAATTGCTTTTGAATGGGATTATCCAAGGGTGGTCATTAACATACAATGCAACAAGATAAAGTTTCGGAATTTAAATTCAGGTAAAATTGTGGTCCGGCCATATTTCATTCTTACAGCTTGCCCGGATCTTTCCTTAATTTGTATCAGTATATATATATATATATATATATATATATATATATATATATATATATATATATATATATATATATATATATATATATATATATATATATATATATATATATATATATATATATATATATATATATATATATATATATATATATATATATATATATATATATATATATATATGATGACACTATATTCCGGGATATCATCCGTTCGCTCGTTGAACTCCGACTGGAATCCTGCATCCGACTGGAATCCTGCAAATCTTGCATCCGACTGGAATCCTGCAGACGTTTCGCCAAAATCTCACTTGGCATCTTCAATGCTCGCGCTCCGAAAACACTTCGAACACTCGGAGCGCGAGCATTGAAGATGCCAAGTGAGATTTTGGCGAAACGTCTGCAGGATTCCAGTCGGATGCAAGATTTGCAGGATTCCAGTCGGATGCAGGATTCCAGTCGGAGTTCAACGAGCGAACGGATGATATCCCGGAATATAGTGTCATCACATTTCCATCCGTGAATCAATACGTGAGAATATATATATATATATATATATATATATATATATATATATATATATATATATATATATATATATATATATATATATACATATCTATATATATATATATATATATATATATATATATATATATATATATATATATATATATATATATATATATATATATATATATATATATATATATATATATATCTATGAACAGACTTTAACAACAGGAAATGTTCGTTGAATGTGCAAGTTTCGCGAGGCAAACGATACATGCGGGCTCCGTAGCTGGTTGGATAAATAACGCTTCGCTGTTTTCTGTAAAAGATATCAAAGAAGCAAAGGTTGACTACGACGAAAACATGACGGCAGACATCTTTGAAAAATGGTTTTCTGAAAAATTGCTTCCCAATATTCCACCAAACAGTGTCATTCAAATTTTTTTACTTGAAAATGATGTGTAGAACATGTCAACGAAGAAGAAAATGTTTACAGAAGTGCGGGACGAGTCCAGTGACGATAGTGATTATTTTGAAAGAATATTTTTTTTATAAATATTCTAACATTGTTTTATAGTTACATTTACTCCTTTATTTATATTTATAATAAAAAATTAAAGTAAGAATCGATTTTTCACTGCACTTATAATAATTTAGGAATCTCACCGACGAAACCCTACACAAATCCGTCGGCTTTCAGCATTTGCATGCACGATGTAGCGAAGTACGGTTCTGGAACGAGAAACAAAGAGAAACCCAAGCGAGATAGACCTGTAGTTAGACCTTCATAAAAATTTATCAAAGTTAAATTCCGAATTATGTCGTAAAAACGGTATATGGTTTGGACAACTCTACCGAAGTACGGTTCTGTAAGGTCATTGTGGAATTGCGAATCTATTTAATGAGGGTTATAAACAAAAACCCAACCGAGGTAGGTAGGTAGGTAGACCTTCATAAAAATTTACCGATGTTAACGGTATATCGTTTGGAGAACTATAATCCCTTACAATATCGTAATCTTCGTCCAACGTGCCCGCATGTTTTAGAATTAAAAACGTTTTAACACTAACGGGCATTTATTTAAACTATTACTTTATATACAACTTTCAAACAAGATCTGACATTCATTCTGACTCGACAACAAATAAAAATAACTTCCATAATATTTACAAATCTTCTGGATTGCCCCTGCATCGGTTGTTGATGAATCGAATTTGTTGACGTTTCGTCAGTCGTCCTGTTAGCTTCTTCACAGCTTAAAAGATTAAGCTCTACACTAATTTTATTGTTACGTGGTTACGTTAAAATATCCGTGTCAAAATCTCATCTGCTTATAAACTTCTAGTTTTAATTTACTTCGAGAAAGAATGCATCACACTCGTTAGTTTAGAAATAGACCAAATCAATAATCGTAATATTAAACGCCGTGACACTTGAATATCAGGAAAAAATTCAAGATATTCTTACTAAGGATCCTATGGAACGCAACCTTAAATCTGTCATTAAGGCTTCTTTTCAATCATAATCAAAAAGTCTATCATCCCTCATGACTCTTAAATTCCTCGTGTCCAGAGATTCCCTAAGATTCTCTAGCAAAATACCTTGCTTGTTGATTAAAATCGTTTACAGGGAAAAACTGATAGTTTCGTACTTAATTCAATGAATAATTAAAAAGCATTACATTAGATTCGCATTGAAATCCGAAAATCTTCTCACGTTAATTGAAAAATGCTTGTCTGGAACATATTTTTCTTATAACGGACAATTTGCGACAAACGTCAGGACCAGCTATGGGTTCTCCATTATCACCAGTCATAGCAAACATTTTTATGGAAGCTTTTCAGAAGAAAGTGTTTTTTAAAAAATAACAATTCTCTATTATTATTTATCTTATTAGGATATTATGTAATTTCATAAAAACTGTAAAAGAAAAAAGAAGTCTTAAAGTTTTTTTTTCTGAAGGACGTTAGTTGGTAACTAAAAACTAGATATATTTTGTTTTAGTAAATATTTTATTGTTCACAAAAAAAGTTCTATATTTAACCAGTGCAGTGGCGACCTAATTAACCGAAATATTTTTTGTTCATAGCCAGTCAGTGGTACGCCACTGATTTCCTTAAAAAAAATAATGACACCCTGTATATCGCCTTGGTCCAATTCATCTGGATGTCTATTGTGCCGTACCCTAAACGTAAAGGAAGTGCTAAAAACTGAACATCAAATAAAAAATCAATGTTGTTCCTCTGAAAAAAAAAAACAGTTTGTATCTAATAAATTTATTTCGGAATGAAAATAACAACAAACGAATTTAACCGCGCACCTGTCCATTTATTTACAGACCTTCAAATTTACAAACTTTAGAAATAATATATAAAAATATAACAAAGAAAATTAAGTAGACAAATTCAGTGGTCGGATGAGATAAAAATCAAAAAATAATCACCCACGCTTTACGATTAGGCTCGTTTAAGGGTTGATCGTTACTACACCTTTCGTTTTATTAGTGACAACCGTAAAAATACTGCCATTTCATAATGAAGTATGCACAAAATATAACTAAACAATTATAGTTACGACTCACAACATTTTGGATGGAATGACGCTGAACATTTTTTCTACCTCTTCAATCAAATTAAGTCTTTCTTTTCGCTTTTCCAATTTAACTAAAATTACTAGAATCCTTCGACTATTCAAATTAAACAAGAAATACAAATAAATACAACTAGTATTTGCAAAACATCACAATTTAAACGGACTATTTAACTAAACCGAAACCCACAACTGCTACTAAAAGTAATATCACTTTATGGATTACCTTATAAATAATTTTCTTACATGACGCAACTTATTATTAGCGTCCGCGTTTATAAAATTTGTAGACAAACGCGAAACTCATTAATTAAAATAAATAATTAGTAAAAGAATACAATTCGCGTGTAAACGAAATCTCATACAATTCGCGGATGTGAAAATGATTAGATTAGAAATACTCCACGTTAGGTTAAATGTAATAATAAATTTTACATTAAATAACAATTATAATACATAAGTAGTCTAAAGTTAAAACAAATACTGATCCGTTTTCCGGATTTCAATTTTCGGTCTTATAATTAGATTTCCTGATTTTTCCCAAACAAACTTCGAGAAGTGAAACAAACAAAGGCAATTTGTTGTACAGGGCGGCCCGTTTATTATGGGATGATACTTGTTCTCACAAAATATAAAAAATAAATGCTTTTTTTGTATTTTCGTGTGCAAATGACGACTTTCTTATTTTAATATGGATTTGAAACATCCAAGACATAATTCATACCTAAACTTTTCCGTTTCTGACATAGTTTTAATTTTATGTCAAAAATGACGTTTATAAGACTAAACACATCTAACTATTTTTTCGACTTACGGTGCCCGCCTTACAATGGTAAGAGAGGTCACGTGATATCTCTTCTGAAAGATGTTTTCACGTTATATTTGCAATACCAATTTTGAAAACATTTGATTAGTCAGTTTTTGCGAGACAATACTACAAATGATACTTTTCCTAACAGGTGGATTAGAAGACGAGTCCCTATTGAATGGCCAGCTCGGTCGCGCTAACCTGGACTTTTTTCTTTGACAATATCTAAAAAGCAAAATTTATGTTACTGAACCAAATTCGGTTGAAGATTTGAAAAAGCAGAATTCGAAATGTTTGCAACGTAATTCACCCAGAAACTTCGTATAATGTTAAGAATTACTTTATTTCGAACATTTAATAAAGTATTATTTATTTTTGTAATTTAAACTATGGTTTCAAAATTCGTATGCATGTATGCATATCTTTCTTATCATTTACAAAACATGCTTAAAATGGCGTCCTACTGTAATTTTGTTTTTATGTATTAGGTCAAACATTAGACATTATATATTATTATAAACATGTACCGGATAATTACAATAATTTCAACTACAAAACAGGGTCGCATTTTTAAAAGGCCATCTTTAATTATTATGGATAATGCACGATAATCCAGACTGCGTGAAGACAAGAAAAGAAGAAATTATTAATTGGTTGCGTAAGAAGCAGATTAACAAACTTGCCGTATGGTACAGACGAAATAATTGCCGAAATGAATCAAGTTTTAAGATTGCCTCCTAACAATTGTTTATGCTATATAAAACGGAACTTGAACATTTTTTTCTTTAATACATTATAGGAAGTATAGGAATAACGCGTACCAAATATCAAAACTCAAAACCCAACATTTTAGTTGCAATAAATAATTCAAGTTGTGTCACCCGGCTATGCCTGTTAAATAACACTAAACGCGCGGAAATGATCGTGACGTCATACCGCTGCATCTACGCCAGTTTGTATATGTGCTTAGTATGCTTTACATAATAATAATGGAAGCGACACAAAAACAATACCACAAATCGTACCATCGCGTTTGAGTACAACTAGTAAAACGCCAGATAAATTTTTTATTCGTCTACCATAAAGTAAAAGCCGTCGTTACGCGCCGTCGTTCTCTACGTTCTCTATGCTACCGTCGGGCTGGCGCGTAGTCTAAGGAGCGAATTGACGTCACAACCGATCATACCCAATGACAGCGCGTCTCAAACAGAATTCAAATTTTACAATTTTTAATTGCTTATATTTGTTACATAGAACTACGAAATTATCTTTTTTTGTGAACTGTGCTTCTTTTAATAATATAAAATTACTTTTATAAGCAATATTGCACTGCAATATATTTACTCTTGGCAAATTGTTGGTATTAACTTAAATATTCGCACCTCATTAAGAAACGCCCTAATCTATGAATACACAGAAAATATATGAATCCATATCTGGGTATGGGCGTACTAGCTAAATTAATACATGTAAAGTACAACTGATTCTGTCTCTATTGCCGACTATGCCATCACAAATCGTACATGTGTCATATAGGGTTCCTTAGACCATTTCTATTAGTTTAATAATCAAGTAATAGATGGCGCTTCCCACGAAGTGACGTTGCCCCCCAACGACGCCACATCCGACAAGAAAACATAAGAACACGATTTCCGAGCACGCCAGGAATGAGTAGTAATGTTTTAGTTGTTATGCACAATAATTAATAAATAATACTTTAATAATATGTGTACTTTACTGCTACGAATATAAAATAAAACAGTACAGACTATAATATTTGAAAAGTATACGTGAATTTTGATATTTTCTGTGATATGGTATCATCCCATAATAAACAGGTCACCATTATACGTCTACTTTGAACATAAATTAAAATGAAACCCTATTATCAACATAATCGTCGGCTTTTTTTTCTAATACGTCCGTATCGCAGCTTGAAAAAGACAAAGAGAAAGTCGGTACCGCGTTTTAACAATATCTAACTAACGAAAACGATTACCCCGGCTCACAACATGACGTCCCTTGGTCATTTGAAGAAAGAAGTCCGATTTTTGGGGGCGGCAAACTCCAATTCCGGTATCGGGATATTCAACGACGCGGTTTTACTCTTGGCAGGTATCACAGTGTCGGCAACTTTTTTCGCGCTACTACCACCTTGAAAGCTATCGAAACTACCCGGGTTGGTGATAATATTGGGTGCGGTAGACCACTGGGGCTGATACGAGGCCGCTTTTCTGGGCAACGTCGACTGATGCGACACGAAATCGCTCCACTCGTCTTCTAATGGCGGCCCGTAGACTTGACTCGCGAACTGATTGCTTATGATCGACGGCTGATTCGACGCCGACGAATGCTTATACAGAGCGCTCGTATAGTGACGGGAATGGAACGCGTTCTGTTGCAATACCGAGTTAAAATTGAACGCGTTATTGCTGGACAATTTGGTCTGAACCAAACCCTTGGGCGTGATGACCGGGATCGGCTGTTTCGCAGGGTGGACATTGCCCAGATTTAATACTGACAGGGGTAAGTCGGGCGTGGAACTTCTCTCCCTTTCGGTAGCGATCTTGCGGATCGGGGATCCGCTGCTCTTCACCGAGACGAAGTCGGACCATTCGTCATCGTCTCTCGCGACGGTGGGCGTTCCCGCACTAGGTCGCACGCGGGAATAATTCAACTCGAAGTTTCGAATATCGTCGTCGGTGATGCCCGGGTCCGGCCAGCTGATGCTTGCAGGTGGCGCCCGCGCGTTGGTCTAACGGAAAAGATGAGAAAATTTAAGTTTTGAAACGTTGGTACTGAAAGCTGAGCAAGAACCCCATATCGTTCGCAAGATGCCTCGAAAACTCTAAGCCAATGGTCGCCAACCTCTTCAATGTGTTGAGCTACTTTCTTAATTTTGAAATAACGTAACGCAGCGTAAATGAAATAATCCAAACGAAGGTGTTTGAAAAATAAACACAAACTTTTATCCAGCCACGACGTCATGTAAGATTTAAAAACAGTTAAGGATAACAAAAAAGTAACGCGCTATCATGAACATAAACATTGAGAAATAAAAAAGTACGTTCAATGAGAAGGCTGACTGACACTCAGTTTGCAGTATAATTTGATACAGCCATTCGAATACAATTATCCAAATGTTCATCTGTTCATCACTTTCAGGCAACACGGCATAGAACTTAATATTTGTCTTTACTTACAATAGGCCAGATACATTTAGTAGTTGAGACCAACAATTTTAAGGCTAAATCATTTTGAAACTCAAATACTTCCAAATGCTTTGCATCGCTCTTAATTAGGTTTTGCTCCCAGAACTCCAGCTTTTTGATAAATGCTTTTATATCAGAAATAATTTCCGTTAGTTCTCTGTCCCTCCCCCGAAGCTGCAAATTAAGTTCGTTTAATTTCTGTGTAATGTCAACGAGAAAAGCCAAATCTCTAACCCAGATTGAAATTTCGGTTCATCGCGTTGTTTAAAAAATTGAACTATGCCAGATAGGACATCATTAAAACGTCTCTTCAGTGTCCTTTCGGTGGAATAAATTTCAAATGATCTTCTTTAATCGTAGAATCACTAAAAACCATCCTGACGAACACGGCCATCTGGGCAGTGTCAACCACATCTGTTGATTCATCCGGTTGAAGTGAAAAATAAGCACAGTTATCTAAGTCAGTTGTTAAGTGTAAAAAAATATTATTGCTCATTATTTCTACACGTCTCATCACTGTATTAGCAGAAAGTTACATAGAATTTATAGCTGAAACTATTTCGTATTTATTTCTAAAGTTGGCAAATAACGAATCAGCAGCTTCTAAACACGCCTGTTTTACCATTTCCCCGTCTTCATAAGGTCTCTTTTTTTGTGCAATTATCTGGGACACACGGTACGATGCTTTAGGTGCAGCCTTATTTTTGTCTATTGTTCTTAAAACTATTAATTGTTCTCCAATTAACAGCTTTTTTAACTGTTTCAGTTTCTCCTTTCTAGAGGCAGAATCTAGTGAAAATGATTTTTCAAAATTAGATTGTACAATTTTATGACGTCTCTCAATATTTCCTTTTTTAGCAACGGAGACATAATAAACACACATTTTTACCTTTAACTTCTGTAAAAAAGATATTGTTCTTCCCAGGCCGAATGAAAATGGTATGTATTTACCTTCTTACTACTGCTTACCATAATATTATTTTTTGTTGTTCTCTACTAACCCAACCGCTGGAAGTTGGTTATGCGTTAAGTTTTAAACTAACCGCTATGACAATTAGATTTTTTTGTGGAATTGTTTATATTTAATATTATGACAATTAAATTTTTAGAATTTTGAAGCTTCTCTGACTTTTGCAGTTAGTATTTTTAAAATGAAAATCGTTGTTAGAGCTACCACGTTGGTCACCGCTGCTCTAAGCAGGCTCAGATGAAGTGCCTAATTATTTCTTGAAAAATTTCATTTGCGCCATAATTTCGCCATGATATATCTTGTCAACTGAGTCGCTATCTCCTAGCTATCAAGACTTGGTGGAAAAAAACCTACATTGTATATACGGGGTGTTCGGAAATTGAGTTCGGATACTTGGAGGAAAGACTGAACGTGGTAAAATAACGGTAGTAAGTCATAGTAATATTTCCCGAGTTATAGTTTGTCAAAGTTCATTTTTTAAAATTTTTATTTTTAACGCGGTGGCAATTCTCTACGCAATAGGCTGGTATTTTACACATAGCCCTAATTTAGTAAAAGTCATCGTTAGAAAAGGTACTTTACCTAGAACTTTTTTTTTAAATTATTTATTACTATTATTTAGGCTATGACATGTTACTCTTGTTTTAAGTTGGTAAGTGTTATCGTTTAGTCACAAATCGACTTTTTTATTCGGAGCTTCCATGTTCAAAGGGTCCAAGCACTGTATGAAGATAATGAGCAATTGAGAGTTATTTTATACAATAAAATTTTAGGAAAAATTCAAAATTACCCGCAATTCTTAAAAGGCATTTTGTTGAGCACATATCGTGCGGTTGGAAGAATCAGGGGCCGAATTAATAAGACTTGAATAAAGCACCCTCTCATCGCATACATATTTAGGAGTGTGCCGCAATAGATCACCAGGTCGCAGCGGAAAGCCCACACACGCTGGTATTTAGGCTCCCATTGGGAGTGCGGTATGGTCTGTTCGTAGATATAAAAAAGTGACCAATTGCTTTTGAATGGGATTATCCACGGGTGGTCATTAACATACAATGCAACAACATTATTACCTAAAGTTTCGGAATTTAAATTCAGGTCAAATTGTGGTACCTGCGTTTAATATTCTTTGGTTTGATATACTACTTTGTTTAAGTTTATTAGTAATCATTCTTATTTCGTGTGTAATACAGCGTGTGTTAAATATGTAGGAGTCTTGTGTATCTCAGGAGATGTTCCCGCCCAAATGTAGAAAGTTATAAACAATGTTTATTTGACTCTCATTGAACTTGGTGCCAGCAAGCAAGCATCTTTACAAGAAACGGCCACATTGACGAAAATTCCAACATCAACTGTATGGAAAATTTTCTCGAGTGTAGATGAAAGTGATCAAGACATAATACGGCGTAAAATTTACCAGTTATACAAGGAACAAAGAGTGCCTACATTAGATATCTTAATTAGGAGGCTTGAAAAAGATGAAGCCGGTGTTAAATGTGGCGGAACTACCTTATGGAAGTGTATTCAACACATGGGTTCTAGATTAAAAAAAAAAATGACAAAAGGCAAGTTTTAATGGAACCTTTTAAAATTCGGAAATGGCGACTGGAATATCTAGAAAAAATTAGGATTTGAGGAGAACAACAAAGGCCAATTATTTACTTGGATGAAACCTAGTTCGACACTTATGATACCCCGGAAAAGGGTAGGGTTGACTCAACTGATAAGTGTAAAACAAACGCGCCATCAAAAAGAGGTAAAAGAATAACTATTTTGCATGCTGGCTCTAAAGAGGGTTAGATTCCAAATTTATTTTTTCTGTCTGCGAAAAATATTAAAGATTCTTCTCTGGATTACCATGAAGACACCACCGCTGATTTATTTGAAAGTTGGTTTAAAAACAAACTAGTTCCAAACATTCCTCCTAACAGCGTCATTGTAATGGACAATGAAGTTATCACAGTAGACAATTGACTTAAAACCCCTTCCTCATGTGACGCAAAAGCAACAATCCAAAACTACATGTATAATAGCGATATTTATTTTCACGAAGATTATACCAAAAAGCAATTAATTGAGGTTCTACAAAGTTTGGACCTACAAAAGAAATACGTCTGTGATAATTATGCAAAAAATCTAGGGCATACAGTTTTAAGGCCTCCACCTTATATATTATGTGAATAATTTTAAGTAATTTAAGTAGGTAATAAAAATAATTTGTAATTTTCTTTTAGATTTAAACATAAATACATAAATAAATAAATAAATAAATATTGTTTAGTATCTTTCCTCACAAAACCCCAAATAATTAAATTCTAAGCAAAGTACGGACCTGTTCGGCCATATTTCATTGTTACAGCTTGCCCGGGCCTTTCCTTAATTCGTATCGGTTAGCCACTTTCTTATATCTATAAACAGGCTTTACCCAAATTTTAATACCTAATTAGTTGTTTCTGCGACTATTTGGATTAGATTACCTGAGGTTGTATCAACGACGGTTTCAAAGGTTCCATCGTCGTCCTGGAAGGGAGAGAAAAGTGAAAATCGCTGAACTCGTCGTTGGTGTCTTCCGCGTCGGCTTTCTGCGTGGAAATCCGCTCCGAAGGTTCGCCCAAAGCGACCTGGTTCTCGATATTAAGCGCCTCTTTCGTCGGTTCCGTCGATTTTTCCTCGGAAACGAACATATTAAAGTCGTCAAAGTCGTCGCTCTGATCGGTGAGGGGTTCGCCTTTTCTCGACGGCTCGGGGGTTAGAATCGTGGGCTGAAGCCAACCGGCGATATTTTTATCGGGCTGAGTCGCGACCGGCTCGCTATTCGAAATATGCGTCTCCCTTAAAATAATCTTGTGACACGCGGAACTGTCGTAAGATGGCGTAGTAGCCGTTGTGGGCGGATCCAAAACCCCGGGTACACACGGCAATGCGCCGAGTACCGGTTTTTTACTCGCGCCATCTTCCGGCTGCTTTTGAACGCCACCGCCATCTAGCGTCGCTTTGAAGAAAACAAATCGTGGTTAGGTACGCAACTGTCAAAAAAAAACACGCACGAACGCAAAAAAAAAAAATACTTTAATTAATTAATAAAGGCAGTATTTGGGTATCCACCTACAGGGATTAACGGAGGTCACCGAAAAAAAACTTAATACAAAAGTTGTATAAGTTTTGCAACATTACCTTTCACACTTTAAAAAGAAAACAAATGGCATCGCAAAGTTGAGGAACACCCTATATATTTTGTCATGACAAAAGATCTTATTCCCTGATTTCAAGACTATATAGATTGTTTATATTTGTTCGCGTTCAGTGTGACATATTTCATATTCAGTTAGAAACATGAGATTTGTCCTTTTTATTCCAATAACAATAGAGTAGTTGCAGTTCAACGGGAATATGTTCAGAATAATCCCGGGCGACAGGTACTGTCAGCTCAGAAGAACAAAGGGAACCGTTTATGAATAATAACAAAAAATAAAATTAATAAATATTATAAATATCACCCATACAATTTATTCCAGTTCTAGGCTTATCTGAACGAAATAAAATTCAACGGTTACAATACTGTCAAGAAATGTAGAGACATATAACAGAGGATCCCGATTCTTCGTTAAACCCAAATCATTTACCTAAACATAGAACATAGAATTAGAACTATTTTTTGCGGAAATTTATCATTTCCATTTTCCGGGCTTTAGAACAGATGTAATTAGCTACATTAAAACTGATGCTTGCTCTGAACTTTAAGTGTTGTTCTGTTCTGTTCTGAGCAAACATGCACACCCCACCATGAATATGTTGTGATCTACAAAGATTAGAAATTAGGTTTAAATTTTCAATATTAATTCCAGTCAAGATATCATAATTCACAATCCAAAGATGCAGCACAAGAATTTTTTTTACAACCAATATCAGTTGCTCTTGATATTTTGCAGAGAAAAAACGCAATCATCTCTCTAGAGCAGCGGCAACATATACAATATATCTTGGATAATAACTTTAATAATAACTTTTTCACCGTTCTCATTTGAAATTAAATATTTTATTATGAATGTTTAAAAAATGTATTCGTCTACCTTGTCAAAATATAATGTTAATACTTTTATAGGCTTTTACGGAGCGTGTTCAACTTAATATAAGAAAATAAAAAAAACACTTGTTTGGTTGTTTTGGTTAGCTCTTTGCTCTGATTTTTATGAGAATAGCTCGAGTATGATTTGAATTTTGAGAATATGTTAAAATGATAAAGTAATAGAAAATGTGACTACTTAAATTTACAATTACATCTTAAAGATAAATTACTTACCTGGTAACCACATATCCCATTCATCCGAGCTAGGTAAAGGGGAAATGGAAATTGAAGGGGAAGGAACATGGTGGGTTGCTATTTCCAGCTGTGATACTAATTGCTCTAAATCTAACAGTACTGTTTGGGAATCTTTCGAGTGCGGGATAAATAATTGGGAGGGATTGAAATAGTGAAATGAGTGAGCATGAAATAAGAAGAGCATTAAATTAGAGTGAGATAACAATTTACATTCGTTATATTCACTAGTTAAGTATACGGAAATCAGAGAGACGCGAACATGAGAAAATTGAAGAAAAAAATATTTAAAAAACTCACAGTCCAGGGGATTCGTTAATCCGGAATCACTCCAATCAAATTCGGCGATGGGAATCTCCAAAGTGGTGCTAACTGATTGACTAGCGTTGGACGGATTATTTTCAACTACTGGATTTAAGTTTTGAGCAAGAGAATTGGATTTAATCGGTTCTAAAGGAGCCAGGCTTAAATTTGCCGCATACCTAGGCATCAACGGGTTCCATGATGGGCCAAACAACTAGAACATATGCATCTAAGCTAAGACGTCGAAAAGAAAACAAAACTATACTTACAATATTCCTTGTGTCAATATTTAAGGCCTTCAGCAGTAAATTCTGGCTTGTAGATTTTGACCAATGATAAGTCATTGCATTTGTGTCGGTAATGTCTTTTAGTTGGTTAAATATGACGTCTTTGGACTCCAAATCAACACACCGATAATCTTCAACATCAGGTTTATTATACGCAAAAACTTCTTTTAGCAATATTTCTGTTTTTTGAAGTACATTTGAAGTATCTACAGTCCAAAGAAAACCTTCTTGCTCAATGCTTTTTAAAGAATTACTGCTTTTAAAGTCTGCGAATTCATCGTCCATTGATGACACTTGTGGGGTACATATATCTGTTGACGCAAAGTCTCCAAAGTCATCATTATCCTCCATATCGAAATTTGCAAAGGCATCAAAATTGACAAAACTACTTTCTGGTTCATTTTGGGATGCAACTTCAACAAAACTAACAGATTGATGGCTAGTTCCTACCCTAGTAACATTACCAATAGCAAAATCACCAAAATCATCATCAACTTCAGTAGCTATTTGGATAGGAGTCATTAGATTTTGAGCAGTGTTTTCTTTCTCTTCGGGTATTTCTTGTTCCTCGTTCACACTCAAGTTATTTAAGAAATTGATAGAAGTACTTTTACTATGAATCTTAGAAAATTCAAAATCTCCAAATTCATCTTCCATAACTTCCTCAGTCATTGACAGATTTTGATCCAAATCTGTGCTTTGCAAATTACCTTCCTGATGTCTACTCATAGGAGATGTTTCATTGTTTTTACAATTTGACTCCAAATAATCATTATCTGAATCAGATACTTTATTCGATTCCACCAATTCATCAGCATTGGTGGAGCCGAATGCTTTACATGGAGTGTCGTGAATAATTGTATTGCCAGTTGGTTTAAAACTGCTTATATCATTAGCTGACAATTCATTTTCCACATCCCTGACTTCATTTTCCAACTGAGAAGTACTTTTTTCTAACAAATTAGAATTAACATATAAAAGCTCTGAATTTGCAGATGTGCTAGTATTTAACAACTCATTGCTTCCATGTACAATTTCTTTATCTGGCACTGCAACATTGTCGGCACCAATGCAAATATTTGGTGCCGTTGATATTGTAACCTTATCTTTTGTCATTATAGTGATGTCCCCACACGGTTTTCTTCTGTCATGAAAATCTTTTTCTCTTTCTATTGGTTCTTCCAAATTAGTATTTACATTTTCTTTGCTGTTGCTATTAATATCTAATTTGTTGCTAAGGCCCATATCATCAAAAGGTTTATCAGAGATGTTAACAGGAGAAGATGGCAATGAAAGATCTGAAAATATAAAGGACTAGAGATTTATACATAAAAATAATACAAAACAATTACTGTCACAGCCATAAGACAAATCATTATGCCCCGCAAAATCTCCAAACTCATCGTCGTCCTCATCATCATCTAAAGGTGGTGGAGGCGGGGGAGAGTTACTTAACAAGGGAGGAATTATATTCGACATCTAAAAAATGTCCATAAAAATGAATTTTTGTTGTAAAGACCGCACTTATAGACACTTGGAAAAACTAAAAGCCAAACATCAAAAACAATATACCCACCTTTTTTTAAATTAAAAATAAATTAGGATCAAAATGGGGATTTAATCCGAAATTTTACTTAACAAAATTCATATGTTCTGTTTTTATTTGTTAAAAATTGAGAAGACACTGACAATTGACATTTAATTGATGTGCTGTCACTTTGTCTAAATGCTTTTGAGTGTTACAAATTAATCTTAAGCAGATGAAAACAATAAACATCAAAACAAAACATTCATTACACATTAATTATAGATAACAAATATAAAATCTATTTTATTAAAACCTGATCTATTGCTTTCTGGATCTCTCCAATCAACCTCCTTTGTAGAGGTCCTGTTGCTCCAATGCCCGTATCTGACTTAGAAGAAATTTTATGGACTAACCTGAATATTATTTTATTTTTTCAAAATTTTAATTGTAACTTGGAGTCTGCCGTGCTTTATTTACAATGGATATTGAAGAAATTAGACAACTAATTTTGAACTCAGAAATCCCGCTGGTTTTTAAGGACGTTCTTAAATGTGAACTATTGCTTTGGGATTTGAATGACTGGAATTCAATTTTAAAAAACCAGCCTTTAGAATTTCGTTGCGGAAAAAACTATTATACTAAGGTTTTTATAGTATTGTAAAAAAAGTATGTTTGCTTAAATCTTATTTCGCCACAGACCCCTCAATATGAAACCTCAACTAAAAAGATTGTTGCCACATTTCAAGAATTTTTAAATCATCTAATACAAGATTCACCAGAATGGTGGTACTTTGATTACAAGTATTTGAGGGAATGGTTTACTCAGGTACATGCCTTAACAAATGTAAGTAATGTCAACAATTTCGGACTAAAAATATTCTTAAGTTTAAGTTTTGCTTTAGAAAATATCATGGGGTCGGTTAGGTTTTCCTGAAATCTCTGCTACAGATACCACTATCTGGATTGGCTCGCAAGGTGCTCATACTTGCTGCCACGTGGATACTTATGGGTGTAATTTAGTATACCAAGTATTTGGACGGTAAAAATAACTAATTTTTTGGTTATTTACATAATAATTTCAAGCTACTAAGTTAACTTTTGATTATTTTTTAATAGTAAGTTGTGGATAATGTTTCCCCCTGATGAAAATTTGCAACCAACTCGTATTCCTTATGAAGAATCTAGCGTTTATTCAAAACTAAACTTCTTTAGTCCAAATCCTGAGGATTTTATAGGTTCGTTATTTTTACCTTTCTGAATGCATGCCCTAAACGGTAGTCACTTTTTTTAAAGATTCTGACCGATGCCGTAAAGTCATAATTAATCCAGGAGAAGTGTTATTTGTGCCGCATAAATGGTGGCATTATGTGGAAAACTTGGAAACATCTGTTAGTATCAATGTTTGGTTGCCGCTGGTACTATATCTCTCCAGTAGTAAATTGGGTGATTAATAGTCAGAAATTTTAGCCTGAAGATAAAGCCGAACAGGTGAAGGAAGCTGTGGCGCAAATTCTTGTTTCCCAATTGTCTCAGAGTTGTGACAGTGACCTTAAAACTAGCATTTTCAACCCAAACATGTTAAATGTAGGTAAAAATTACACATTTATTTATATATACTATAAGTGCCGGTTTTAGGCTATACCGAGCTGCGATCATCTGATTCAGCTTGTCGACATGTGCCTAAATAATGTTGCTTCGGAAAGTTTTAGTAAATTAAAAAAGACAAGAATAACCGAAAATAGTGTTAAATTCTTTTTAAACAAGTACAAATTTATTGCCAGAATTCCGCAGTTGAGGAGAGAAGAGTTTAGGGCCTTTTTAGAAGAACAAGCGGGTAGGTTTGAGAACCCAGAAAATAAAGATATGTCCGACACGGAAGCTGTTAACAGTAGAATATTAAATTTCATTGATGTACTAATGGACGATGACGTGTTAACTTTAATTAGCAGTAAACTGGCCGAAAGAAGATAAAGACTGTTCAATTATCTTTAATTTTGAAATAAAAGGGATATTTTCTACAAGATTCTTTAAATATACTAATTTTGGTAATATGATGTTTGTATTGGAGAAGGAAACACAATAAAAAAAATCTACTGATTATTATTATTGCAGTTTTTATTTACAAAATTAATATACACTCTTTCACTCTATAAAATAAAGTAAAAATGGTATGGGACATAAACATTCGATAATGCATTTGCTTACAGATCTAATCATCTTAGAATCAAAATTATTACAACAGATATGCTGCCCAGAAAATGTCAAAATGAGTATATAAAAAATTCTAATACAAAATAAATAAACAAAAAACTTTCAACAAAATTATCACAATTTAGCTACTCGTCAATTAAAACAAAAAATATAACATAAGACAAAAAGGAACCACATTAAAACCAATCTCAATGACTGCATTAATACCAATATACAAGAGAAAATTTACCTAAACCAAATAAGTGCACTAATACGATTTAACCTAGTGCATTGAGCCCAATCCACAGAAAATTTTCTTATAATAATAAATATCATTTTAATTTCAATAGATCATAATCACTTAAATAAAAAACGCTTGCATGTCCATTGGACATATCACGATATCGTCACTAATATCTAATCGTTTTTCAACCGTTAAAAATGATAGTGATGATTTATATAACACTTTCTTGTTGGGGAAAAGTGATTTTAAGTTCACCTGAAAAACAAAAAAAACGCACAAACATTAAATAGTAGGACACTCGCGAATTTTGTTATTATGTATTCTCAGAGAAATTTCTACAGGCTACTGTAATACTATTTACAAAACTTCTGGATCAAACTTTCTGACGTTTCGCCAGTCATCCTCTTGGCCTCTTCAGAGCTGTTTGAATGGGCGGAGCTAAAGGAGGGGCATGAATATTGTCTCGGATGACTGATTCCCAAATTGGTGAAAGGTAAAGATCTAAGTTGTATTGATTCTCGGATTTTTCCTTGGTAGAAGAATTGATTACATGCAAGAATTTTAATTTTCTCCAATTTCGAAATTTCCGGTTTCGCGATTGTGTTCGGCATCTGCTGATGAATTTATTTGTCGTAGTCTTGAGGCTCTTTCATACTCTTTGGACCTGTTGCGTGTATTCTTTGCCGCATTTGCATGGAATGCTATAAACCTCTGCTGTGCCGAACGGAATTTTGTCTTTGACGAATTGAAAATGTTGAGAGCTTTTTAGACAAGTGGTCAATCTGGTTTTTTCGTTATATTTCATAAGAATTTTTGATATGTGATCAGCGATGTTTTAAATGTAAGGACAACAGTAGGAAGTGTGGGGTTGCTTTCAGGCTCATTGTCTTTGAAAATTTTCGATTCGCCAAAGACCAAATTCCGTGCAACACAGCAGGAGCTTACAGCATTCCATGGATATGCGGCAAAGAACACATTGGAGAGAGGGGAGAAAAAATATCAACTAGGTTCAAAGAACATGAAAGTCTATAAAAAATCTATAAAAATCTATCAGCGACCAAACAATCTTAACCGCGACTCAGGTCTTTACCTTTCGCCAGTATTGGAATCATCCGAGACAATTTTAATGCCCCTCCTTTAGCTCCGCCCCCGTCAAACCGTATGGTACAAAGGAAAATGCAAGCCAGTTTCAGGAGGAGGCAGGAGGAATCCAGAAGATTTGTTAATAGATTATTATGTAAATGACTGTAACTCACCCTTCCATTACTAAGTGGAAACTGTTGCGCAAGCACCTTATCCATGAAACATGTGTCTAGAAATTGCCGATGTAAAACTAATCCCGTGTGAAACTTGCCTTTGATAAACACGTCAGTTCTTATGACGGGAATTGAAATATCTACCCCAAGTTGATAGTCGGGTGCGTAAACGCTCGCCCTGTTGTCTTCTTCGTCTTGGACCTTCAGTAGCTTGAGCAGCGGGTTCAGCAGAGTTTCCGAGGAAACGTGTGCCGATAGTGTTGGAAATCCTGCAGGATGATCGTCTGCAGACGCCTAGAGCAAGTCAGATTTTGTTATATTTTTCAAATGATTTCCCTACATTATTATACCTGACACGAATGCGTTTTTCTCTCCAAGAGTATCCGGAACATGTGTTTAGTAGGATGGTTATCCAAAACGCCCTGCCCCAATCCCAAATTGTCGTCCTGATTCAGCCTCCTATCTAACATAATCTCCAACTGTCCTTCGGATAGAGAACTACCACCCAAAGGGCTGCCTGTCACGATCGTTAGACGAGTTTTCTTATCCTCAATATAGGCCTTCGTTGGTATGGGGTAGTAGTTTGCCTGTAGCGGCAATTTTTTAAACCTCTTTCTTTTCAACATCTAAAAATAACTTTTTATTTCCCACTGTATTGAATAAGTAATTAAACCACTCGTCTTAGCATCCCTACATAAAGTTTACCTGATAACCATTTAGGTCGGTGTAAAATTCATCTGTGCTGTTAATGTTTGTTGACAATCGCATACACAGTTCAAAATTGTTTGTGTTTTCGATTTTAACAAGATTTTGAATTTCGATCCCTAGGCTATCGGCCCCTGAAAACGTTTTCGCACTTTCTTTAAAAACTCTTAGGGTAAAAGAAAAAAACCCACCCGGAGTAGAATACAGCACCGCCTTGTGGTGGACGTAGGGAAGCTGAACCGTCACAGACGACATGATCGGCCCTTCTATCACGTTAACGATAGTATTTTCCACCTTCAATGGTACTGCGTCACCGTCTGGTAGAAATAAGTATGCCCCGCTTCTTTCCGTATTGTGCCTTTGCCTTACTCCATATCTTAAGAAATATGGTAAACAAGGGGTTTGATAAGTGCGCCAAAAATAAACCAATCAACGCACTTTTTTAAAATAGATTTATTCTTCCTTAATGAAGGAATGATCCCAAAATCGCACACTTTCTGAATATTGATTTATAAACTTTTTTACTTTACTTTAAAGTAAGCCAGCAACTAAACTACAACTACAAAACAATACTCAATTGACAATTATTATTTTGTTGTTCCCTATGGAAAAGAAATAACAAAAAAATGTCCAGACTAGAATGTGTTTCCCAAGTGCACAAACATCAATTTCATGAGTTATAAACTCATAAACCGTCAAATGCGGAGTCAAAATTTCAAAAGTCCATTCTACCTCCATGACATTTTTACACATTACGCAATTTTGAGTTTGTTATCTAATAAATTATACCGCAATTATGACGGACATTGTGAACAGGTACAGTAGTAGTGCCCGACTTTAAAGACTGAATTTTTAGATAAACATCTATTTAATAATTTAGAATAAACGTCGGTTCTATGAATTATAAAATTATAAAGTAATAAAGCCTCAAATACGACGTCAAAATGTTATAAATCAATTATAAGTCAATTTGATCTTTCCTATTGAGTCTTTTATCTAATAACTTAATACCTAATGTAAATTGGTGACAGGGGTAACAGAAATTATTTTCAACTACTTTCTGTTTTTTTTACGCTCTTTCATCTTAGCCGAAAATATTTACACCATTATATTTAAAATTTTCGAGAAAATCATAGAAATAGCTGTTCTTGACATGAAGCGCCTCCTACGGACCGGGAAAAAAGTTATTGTCGTGATATTGACATGCCAGTCGAAGCTCTTATAAATACTCTTTAAAACTAAACTAAGTTCGTCGAAATCGGATTAGCCAAAAAAAAAAAGATTACTTTAAAAATAATTTTGATATAGGTTAATTTCGAATATTTTTGAGAAAACTCATTTTGTCTATTTGACAGTTGAGGGTACGACACCGCATTTGAAAATAATTTCCAGCTTTTTTGTTGTTCCTGAGATATGGCCGGCGTCCTTTATTAATAGGCCACCCGGTACATAAACATTAAGTCACGTCCAAATTGCGTCATTACAACCGACGTAGTAGTGCCCGACTTTAAAGCCTTAAGAAGACCCTTAACACAATTTTTCAAATGCATTTGTTCCTCACTGAGGAAGGGATGAACCCAAAATCGCACACTTTCTGAATATTGACTTATATCCTTTTTTTAATGAAAGAAAGGCAGCCAATAAACTACAACTACAAAAAAGTACTCAATAATACTCAATTGACAATTATTATGTTGTTGTTCTCTATGGAAGAGAAATGCCAAAAAATGTCCAGACTAATGAAGAACTTCAAGTTCTTTTGATGATAGAATTTGTTTTACAAGTGGAGGGGACAGACCAGACATCAGTGTCACGAGTTGCAAAGTTATAAACTCATGAACCGTCAAATGTGGCGTCAAAATGTCAAAAGTCCATTTGACTTTCATGACATTCTTACACATAACGATTTTAAAAAGGATTTTTGAGTTTTGTTATCAAATAAATTAATATCTGATGTGAATTGGCGACAAGGGTAACAAATGTGTAATAAGGTGATGCCATTCATATGTGCGTTCCATGAACAGTATGCATTGTCGCTATTGGATATACCGTAGCTATCACTGATATTGTACTTACTTTGCAAAGTCTAAGTGAACAGGTACAGTAGTAGTGCCCGACTTTAGAGCCTTAAGGAGACCCAATTTGTTAAATGACGCTGTAACCCGGGCGTTCTGCAGTGTGAACTCGCTAGCGCTAGGCGAAAGGTCAACCTTAAAGCCTTTTGGGGTTATGACTCCACCATACTGATTGTAAACTTTTACGGATGCAAATTCAGTTTCACTAGAATCAAATTTAAAAATAAGATATCGTTGAATTTGTGGGTATGGTCACTTTGATACTTTGGTTTGTTGTCTTCCCACACGGAGGTTATGGTGTAGCTTACCACCCCAAAAGCTGGGATGTTGGCAATAAACGCCAGCTCGTATTTGGTTTGGGACATTGTTGAACCATACTCAAATATGGGAGCTACCTGACATTTCATCCTCTTATTTTGGAAATCATAAACCTACAAACGAAACGAGAAAAACAAGTTTTTAGTAAGAACTTATATGATTCTAACCTCAATAAATGGCGTGTTGACGTAAAAGGTAAGCACTTCGTGCCTCGTGAATGACAAGGAATTGTAAATAACAATCTTTTTGGTCGGCAAATTTGGTAAACCGATAGTGATTTGCAAACGCTCGGGCAAGTTGTTATGACTGTGCCACACGTCCTCGAAATTATAATAAGCGACGTCCTGTTCGTAGGGCCCGTCAGTGCCGACACTTTCCAACAAAATGTTGGCGCACAACTGTATCACTTTTTGACAGTTGTGAATGGAAGATAACAATCTGCAAACACGTGTGGACGTAATCAGGCTAAACGATGTTTCTAGAAGTACTGATACCTTTTTCCGTAATCAACGACCACATGCTCTTTTGCGGTACCCGTTATAGCATCGTGGTGCTGAAATAGAGCTAACGCTTGTCTGGCGAAAGCGAGCAGATGCTCTAATCCATTGTCTTTCGCTATTACCCAGTCTGAACCAGTTTTCTTACTGTGATGAGTTAATGTGTGGATTGTTTCAGCAGCCCTAAGGCAATATAGCATGAATTAATATCATAAAGAGGATTGCACAATCAAATATTTCTAAGATTCTTCCCCATCTTGAGAAGCACTTCTTTATTCATTAATTTCTCGTATAACTCTAGCAGATTTTTCAATAAATAGAGTTATTTACTTAAATGGAACACACCTCAAGTATCCCAGTAATACTCTGTCCATGCGTTTATAGAATGGCCTGGATGTGTAATAGCCGCTCCAGTAATGATCGTCGCGATCAGCGTAGGTGAAAAAATCACCTGACAAGGTCGGAAACTCAGATTCGCTTTTCTCTTTCCTAACTGCTCTAAAATAGTCAGTCAAAGTTCCGAATTGCGCCTAAAATTATGCTATAAATGTACATGTTCCATTGGATCTTTACGGTTAAAGAGGCATTCATACGCATTCAGAGACATTCCTTGATTCTAGATGATTTCATAGCATTTGTTCTTGGAATAAAATTTTAGAATTAAGGATCAGCAAAAAATTAAGGATTTCTTGCTCTTGATAACTTTGAACATTTTATCAAAGTTTACAGAATAATATACAGAATATGTCTCACCAAAAATGTCTTGAATTTCAAGAACAAGATTTCTTAAGTTACTCAAAAATTTAAAAAAATTAGTTTTTTATAATGGGTATTTTCAACTGTTTTTAACTGTTATTCTTTTCAACATCCTGTATTATTAAATAATCAAAACGACTAACCAAATTTGTTCAATAGATTTTTTTCTAAAGTAAATAGCTTTTTCTACCCCCGTCTGTAAAATACCTAATTACCTACCGATCTAGCGTGCGGGAAGCGTCACTTTATCACATCAGATTTATTTCCCACGGATCCGAGCCACTTCGGACATTTACGCACGGGTCCAACGGACCATTACAGGGTCCAACGGACCATTACAGGGTCCGGAATAAAACAAATCACATGTACATTTTTAGGTGCCCAAATATTAGCTGACCTGTACATTTCATAGCAAAGTTGTAATATACCTTTTTGTGCCGAGTTTGAATAAATTTTAATAAGCCAATCTTCAGTTATCGAATTAAATATGATGGCAAAATTGCAAAAGGTCAATACAAAAAACACATGCACATTTGGTTTCACAAATTCAAAATAAACTAAGTATGTAGGTATAGGTATCATTATATTTTTCTTAGGATCAAACTCATATTCACGACTATGAATTTGACCCTAAAAAAAAAATAAAAACCATTAACAATTATAATTAAAATACGGCTACAAAACATTGCTAAAAATAAGCATTATTTAAAATAAACTTTTTTTTTAAGTAAATAGTTAAACAACCGTCCATTAACAGTTAAACAATATTCTAACCTATCATAAAATTTATTTCTAACATTGTTTACTTTATACTGTCACATTCTAAGAAAATAGCGTTATGTAACCGGTTAAGATTATCAAATTTAGCGTTTTTATAGATAACACTTTTTAAGTGACCCCACAGAAAGAAGTCGTTCAGCCATGGGTCAGGTGACCTGGGCGGCTAAAGAATTTGTCACTTTGAGACACTAATCCCGTTAAAAGTGTTTCCCGAATAATCAATAACCATACAGGAATTATGGGTGGAACAATCTGGTACCAGAAGATCTCCTGATCCTCGCGAATAACTTGTTCTAGTGCGGGTTTAATGTGATTGTGTAAATAAAAAGTAGGTTTCCGCTGTGAGGTTATAGCAAATAAAAAATGGCCTAATAATATGATGTTCACAAATTCCCACCATAATATTAACTTTTTTAATAAAAATATACTATAGAATATTATTACTATCACGAATTTGTCTTTGTCAAAATGTATTTGGTGTTTGATTTATAAATTTTTTCTAATTTTACGATTATATTTAATTTGATAACTGAATATTAGCTAATTTAAATTTATTCAAACCGACCCCTTCAAAAAGTTGTAATGCAATGTTGCTATAAAATGAACAGGGGAGCCAATATTTGGAAACTTACATGGGATTTCCTATGTTGCGTTCGGCATATATGAGAACGTATTGCAAACGGTATTCCAAAGTTAAATTATGGATTATGGATGGCCATATGTATTTTTGATATGTGGAAAAATCTTTTTTCTACTCTCGTCTGTAACATGCCCAGTTACACATCGATCTAGCGTGCGAAAAGCGTCACTTTTTCACGTGAGCTTCATTTCCTACGGATACGAGCCACTTCGGACATTTCCGGCATTTTACCGCACGGGTTTGGAAGCAATGATATATTTCCCACACCTCGAATTTTGACGTTTGTCAATTCTGACGGTCATGTCAGTGAATGTATTCGCGTTGTTTTAGTATGCAATACCTTCGGTAAACTTTTTAACCCACTCGTCTATTAAACACTCGCTCCACTCCTGTCAAATAAACTTGTGAGTCAACCGCACTTGTTGTATAATATACTATTTTCTATTCCCGTCTGTAAAATACCTCATTACACACCGATCTAGCGCGCGAGAAGCGTCACTTTACCACGTCAGTTTCGTGTCCCACGAATCCGAGCCACTTCGGACATTTCCGGGATTTTACCGCACGGGTACGTATGATTTGTTAGAGATCTTTCTTTCATTTTCGTTTTCAATTTTATGTAGAATTTCTTAGTGCGCGTGTTCTTCGCCTAATTGTTACCTTTTGTTGTTAGATTATTATTATTATTCTGTAAACTTTGATTTTACTCCTTCATCAGATTTTATTTTCATGGAGCTAACACTAACTCTTCAACGCAAGGGACTAAACCTCTACCACAGAATGTTTTTCAGAAATAAACACAGATAATAAAACTTCCGACCTTATATGCGTCCAAAAAAAAAATAAAAATAAAATCTAGCTTAACTAGACAAAAGACAACACAAGTGCAACAGCAAACACGAAACAAAGATAAAACAAATCAATGTGCGCGCAAACTCATGGTGAACTGTACCTGCACATTAAGATTTAGGTTGGCGTTCATATAATCGAACAGTTTTTGATAATTTTCAAACTGCACATCCCACTCGGTCGGATGGTCGTATCGGAAATCATCTCCGAGCGGTACCAACAAAACGTTGGTTTTAAAAAGTTTCGATTTTTTTCTATACTGATCTAACAACAATTCAGCCCTAAAAGCATTTCAACGTATACATAAGCACAAAAACGTTTGCGAACCCTTGACAAATGTCCCTTACCACACAAACAAAGCTTCCGATCATTGGGTCTCGTTCTTAACAGACAGCAACAGTTAGAACGCAAACGCTTTAGAGACAACACCCCTGCCTGGTCATCTAGTTTTAGATACTTAGTAATTGACTATGATTTTTGCCTCTTTTCGGATGACTAGGCAGTGCGTTATACAAACAGCGTCCACATTCTACCTATAGTGTTCTCAAAATACCCGACTAATCATAATTCTAACAGAAATAAACATAAGAGGTATTTATACATGGACAAAATTAAGCACGAAGGTAAAATATTACCTGGCCTCGACATTTCTCTCCGTAATGGACTGTGGTGGAACTTTCCAAGGGCAATGTAGCCCATGGTTTGGCAACCTTTTAAAATCAAACTGGCAACATATTTTCGGATCTGGTCCGCACGTGTGAGGAATATCGTAGGAATAAAAAGGCATCAAATGAGTGAACAGATCACTCTCACCTGTCCCATCTGCAAGAGTGATGTTTTAAGTAACCAACCATTAGTTGGGATGAAGTGGAAAAAAAAAAAAGATACCCCATAACTGCCTCCACTTAAACTCCAATTGCTGCCTACTGGCCAGCTCTTTTTTTACTGAATAGTGAACCCTTTGAATTAACATATTCTGAAAGCCGCTTTTTTTGAGCAACGCAGGTTGAGTTAGACTCATGCCAAAGGGATCTATCGACCAACTGCTAACAGGGGTGTAGTTTAAATTCTTTTTCAGCCATTGATGTCCCTCTGCGAGCTGATGTGTTATGGATACCCAATGGGAGTTGGCCTCGTCATTCATAACCCATCCCCCTGTTACAATTTCCAGTTGATTATTATACAGCAATCTATAAAATTCAATAATACCAAAGAGTGAGCACTGCAACATTTAAAAATATCTTCCTGTCATTATTTATAAATAAACACACAGTCAGTCTTTAGATCCAAAAAAATTATTATGTAGGGTTTACTAACATATAAGTTAAAGTTAAAGAGTTAAACATATCGGCCTACCTCTTTAGAATCTCCTGTTGATCCTGATCTAGTTCTTCCCACCACATAGAGAAATATGAAATTTCTGCCCATATAAACTTCCGACGTCTATCTTCAGGTAGTTTTTGTAACATGTTATCCAATATGTGTTTTGTTTGTGTAATGTAATACTCATCGACAGTTTTAATCCAACCTGGGTCGTTGTGTGAATGAGGAACCACAAACACTTTGAGCTTATTCTTTCTATTCCAGTCTTTTTCATCTATTTCAATTCTCCAACCTTGTTTCCAAACACCACCATCAATATTGTCAAATGGTATTGATTTATACACATCCAACATCTGAACGTTGGTTCTGGGTGTAAAGTTAATATGAAAGGGACAGGTTGAGCTGTATAACATTTCAGCAATATTCAAATCAGACTCCAATTTACTGATGGACTCTTTGATTTGAACATGCGTGCTAGAACTTGGCTGCATCATATTTCTCATTGCTACTTTAATTTCATTAACTGCATTATGGTGTAAGCTTAAGTCATTTTCTAGCTGCTTTATTCTGTCTTCGAAATGAAGCCACTGGTTCTAGAAATAAAAAGTCCCAGTATTTCACAAGATTTTACCAATTGCTACCAATACTACTTACATCTTTGTAATCTTGACCAATTGAAGATTTTTGTATGGAAAGCGTCAAATCTTTCGCTGAATATATTGTAAATATAATTACCAAAATAAGCAGTGACCCAAAAATAACAACTGCCCTTTTTAATTTCATGACTAATTACATTTGTGCAGCATCTTTTGAATTATTTATTGTTAAAGAGTATTGCGCCAAAACATAAAGCAAGCATGTTAATTCCCATACAGCATTTCTATATGTTTTCTGGTGTTGCAGTTATTGCAAAATTAATATACTTAGCTCGACATTCGCTTACTAAAAAAATCTTTTTTGTTTTTACTTCCCAATTTTATATTTCATGCATTGTTGACAAATACTGACAGAAATTTCTTTTCTTTATCTGTGGTCACAAAATGTTGCTGAGGCATAGATCAACAATACTAGAAAATATTACACGACACATGTACTTACGTTCTTATAGTATAAAAGACATGCGAGGATGTCCAGGGTAAACTGTGGATGACTACATAACCTATTGTTAGACATTCATTTTTTAAATGAAATTATTTATTAGGGTTAAATTATTTAATTTTACAGATAACCTTTAAAGAATACGTAAACATATTTTTTGATAACATAGTGGGGACATTATGCAAACGAAAATATTTTACTTTTTCGTTTAGTAGTTTTTTGAGTTTTGTGGCAAAAAAATGCTTTGCAGAAACATAGTCAATACGTGTTCCAAACAAAAGCTTTGTAAAATTCAGTTACTTCATACTAGTGCTAGTGTATTTAAAGAAACTGAAAATCCTATACTACGAACGTTTCGTATCTTAGGAACTTTGAAGAGAAAAAGACCTAAAGAATCCTCACCTAAATTTTCAATTTTACCTCAGGATCTATGTCCTACTGACGTGGATATCGCTATTATTGGCGGCGGAGCTATAGGCAGTTCTATAGCGTATTGGTTAAAAGAGAAAACTAATGAAACTGCGCTTAATATAGTTGTCATAGAGAAAGATCCAACTTTTTGTAAATCTTCAACAGCACTTTCTGTTGGCGGCTTGCGACAGCAGTTTTCATTGCCTGAAAATATTCAAATGTCCCTATATGGTGCGGAATTTATTAGAACCCTTAAGAAAAGATTTGGGCCAAATGCTGAAGTTAATTTTACTCCTCATGGTTATCTGGTTCTGGCCAGTGAAAATGGTGCAGAGCAGTTAGTGAACAATAGTAAATTACAAAACGAGCTTGGTGCAATGAACATTTTATTGAATAGAGACATGATCAAAGAGCGATTTCCTTGGATGAATGTGACAGATGTAGAACTAGGATGTTTAGGGGTGGAAAAGGAAGGATGGTTTGATCCCTGGTCAATGCTCCACTTGCTTAAAAATGGAGCAGTCAATTTGGGTACCCAGTATATTCATGGTGAAGCTGTAGACTTTGTTCATGAGGAAAGGCGGGATATAGTAATAGAAGGGGTAAACGAGGCTGTACACAGGTCTCCAGTTGAAGTGGTTGTGAAGTTTCCTGATGGTACACAAAAGAGTATCAGGTACGCACTTTGTGTTATTGCTGCTGGTGCAGAGTCAGGTCAGATAGCAGAATTACTCAGGATAGGAAAAGGAAATGGACTCCTAACATATCCGTTACCAGTAGAAAGAAGAAAAAGATTTGTTTATTCGTTTAATTGCCAAAGCAATCCTCCAGGTATTAACACTCCCATGACAATTGACCACACTGGAGCATACTTTCGGCGGGACGGTTTGGGGCCTTGTTTTATAGGTGGCATGTCCCCAGAGCCTCACGAAGAACCAGAAACTAACAATTTAGATGTAAATTATGAGTACTTTAATGAAAAGGTGTGGCCTATTCTGGCTAATCGTGTGCCTGCGTTTAATGCAGTTAAAGTTACCAGTGCTTGGAGCGGTTTTTATGAGTACAATACTTTTGATGAGAATGGTATTATAGGACCTCATCCATATTTTACCAATATTTATATAGCGACAGGATTTAGTGGTCATGGAATTCAACAAGCACCGGCTGCAGGCCGCGCTATTGCGGAACTGATCCTAGACGGCGGTTTTCAAACGATAGATCTTACAAGATTAGGGTTTGACAGATTAGTGCTCAATAAACCCCTTTTAGAAATAGGTATAATCTAGTATGGTTTTAAAAAGAAGTATAACATACTTCGATGTAATATAAAAGTTTGTTAAATATATTTGTTATTAAAATATTGGTTTTTTATTAATATAATTATTTGGATAATGGTCTGACGTCTGGAATAACATCAATTTTTTAAATATGCAAATGTAATTACTGATTGGAAACTACTGTCGTACCACAGAAACGTAGAGTTCAAGATAAAGGAAGAGGGTCATACTATGGTCCCTTCGTTTTAGAAGTTAACTGACATAGACACCATGGAACTCTGAACTGCCAAGGAGCACGAAGCAACCGAGCGAGTGGAAACTTTATAGCGAATCCCAAATAATCATTAAAAAGAGGAAAAAGACGTGCTGGAGAAAATTCTGTTGTGACATAAAATCTTTCAGCAATCTGTAGTCTGAGCAAGAGTGAGGTTTTCTCGGCTCTGCTGAGCAATGGTGATGGATAAACGAATGAAGCCTGGGGCATACGTTTGAGTCATTTAAATCAGCGGGACCTGACGGTCTCTTCCTGGCACTTCCCCATAATGGGACCGGTGTACCAAATTACCCGTTCGTCCTTCGCCCTGAGATACATAGCACTGTACTAGAGGCGAACATGAATTGTAGAAGAACTTCTGGCTCATCAGTCTGCCCTCTTCATCAACTCATATCAAGGGTTACAAAGGCACTCTCCGATAAAGGCACTACCTGCCTTGCATTCTTTCTCTTCTCCTCTGATCGCTTCTAGTAAACGATCTTCTGGGGGACTTACGGTTATGGGTGTAGGTCTCATGAAGGAGCTCGTGCAAAGGGTTGAGCAAACTAGCGAATGATTGGGACCCAAGCGCTCATACCTTAGAGTGGGATTTGAAGCCTGCAGATTCTGAAAAGCTGGAAGCCGGGGACAGAGGGCACCGACAACTACTATCTATCTAAAGCGGGGATCAAGTAACTCTCGCGATGAAAAGGGACAAGACTACCTTTTGCTTACATACACCATACAGAGCGAGGACCCCTACAAAGGACGACTGCCTCCGTGCTCTGTTCTTGTGTCTCATGTACTAGTGTGGTATACGGACACTGGAACAGGAGCTGGTGTATATGACAGCTCTCCTAGAGCACAGACATCTGCGCCATTGGTGATCGATCCCAGTAAATTTCAGGCAGAGATCTATCTAAGGTGATCGGGATTGCTACTTGATTGTCGAAAAACAATGACAAGACTGGCGGAATGTAATTCTGAAGTCTGGTCTGGGTACCCTTACAGCGTACTGAAGAGCGAGCTGAATAAATGACGCGGGAGACAGTTGGCTCTGCACTAGTGGATTTTACCGACTGAGGCTGTTGAAGATTCTAATTGCCTCTCTATGCGCCAGGATCAAAAGTGGGCTCTCAGTCTCCTAACAGGACACTGCCGATTAAGAGTGCTAGGAGCTCAATACATTGAGCCTAAAGAACTATCCAAAGTGGAAGTGAAAGAGGTATCATACTTCGTTCACAGTACAGGCAAGGATTGAGTGCGTGCCGGCATAATGCATAGAAAGGTCTGAATGCAGCGCCCTGGCTAAAAAAGACGCACTGCAGATAGAATAGAAATAGGAAGTTGAACGGAAATTATAGAAATTGGTTAGTGTAAATCTTATCACTCATCACGCACTGAAATCCCTATTCCTGGAATTCTCAACATTACTTCAGATATATTAAAATCCTCAATCTTAATTGAAAAAGGCTTGTCTGGAATATATTTTTATTGCAACGGTCAAATTTAAAGAACAAACTTCGGGAGCAGCTATGGGTTCTCCATTATCAATAGTCATCGGAAACATATTTATTTAAGCCTTTGAGATTTTCTTTTTCTTTTCTTAGTCATTTAAACTCTATAAACACTAACATACGTTTTACCATTGATTAGACCGTAATAGTAATCTTCCATTCTTGGGCATTCTTATCAATAGGAAATCAGGCCTAAGACTTGTCCATAGTGTTTACAGAAAACCTATACACACACGCATTGTCACACAACTACCCGAACCAAAAATCATCGGGTATCAACTCTCTTGTTTACAAAGTCGTAAAACTATCTTAACCTGTCTAATAAATTTCACATTAGAGTTATTAAGCGTTCCATCACAAAATACACTTCAACAAAAGCTTCCAAAGACAATGACTAATAAAGCAACCCCACACTTACCACTGTTATATATTCGAAACATCACTGACCAAATATCAAAATTTCCTCTTTATTTTGAGTTTTTAATAATTTCCTCTGTCTTTTGCGTTTTTAATTATTTCCTCTGTCCTTTGCATTTGTGATAATTGCCTCTTTATTTTGTGTTTTTAATAATTTCCTCTGTCTTTTGCGTTGTTAATAATTTCCTCTGTCTTTTGCCGTTTTAATAATTTCCTCTGTCTTTTGCGTTTTTAATAATTTCCTCTGTCCTTTGCGTTTTTAATAATTTCCTCTTTATTTTGCGTTTATAATAATTTCGTCTTTATTTTGCGTTTTTAATAATTTCCTCTTTATTTTGCATCTTTAATCATTTCCTCTTTATTTTGCGTCTTTAATAATTTCCTCTGTCTTTTGCGTTTTTAAAAATTTCCTCTTTATTTTGCGTTTTTAATAATTTCCTCTTTATTTTGCGTTTTTAATAATTTCCTCTGTCTTTTGCGTTGTTAATAATTTCCTCTGTCTTTTGTGTTTTTAATAATTTCCTCTGTCTTGCATTTTTAATAATTTCCTCTTTATTTTGTGTTTTTAATAATTTCCTCTTTATTTTGCGTTTTTAATAATTTTCTGTCTTTTGCGTTTTTAATAACTTCCTCGGTCCTTTCTGTCCTCATTAGCCAACAATATATAAGCAGGTACAAAGCCAGTTTCAGTCAAGCTCTAAAGAAGCCAACAGAATAATTGGCAAAACGTCAGCAACTTCGACTTAGCAAAAACCGACGCTGGAGAAATCCAGAAGTTTTATAAAAGTATTACATTAGCCTGTGGAAATTTCTTTGAAAAATATTCCAAATCAACCTATATCAAAATTAGTTTTAACGAAATCTACCTTAGATAAGGAAGGACATTTTTAACAGATTAAAAATGACATTTATAAACTGTTGTTCGTCAAATATTCGTTTGTGTACCGGTCCGTATATGTTTTAACCGAAGAACAAATCATTTTCGCTTAAGATGGCCAGAATGTTCTGATGAAGGTCGGAATGACCGAAACGTCAACCAATAAATTTGTCAATTCGAAATAAAGCCTATTAATAAGTAACGGACCAAATCCCAAGAACCAGTCCTACTTTATTTTCTTGGGCCGATCTGTATATACATATTTTAAAGTAAATTTGTTTTTTTTGGGTATTAGGTCCATATCAGCAAGAAATAAATAAAATATATTGACGTGTCGACCGTAAACTCGGTCTTTCTCAAAAAATCTAAAAACGATGGACTTCTGTAGAATACATAAGCATAAAAAACATTAAAACTTACCCTAACTTAGAAAGAGTTGTCACAAATAAGTTTAGGGTTAAATCCACTATCTCTTTCCCTTACTTAAGAAAAATAATAATTTTATTAGTATTTGCATAAAAACACCAATTTATTGAAGCTTCATATTTTTTTTGTTGATTTTGATGGTAAATCATACTGAGCGTCCCAAACGCCTAAATTTCTAAAAAATATTCAATATTTGATATTACTGTTACTGTCACTGTTTTTTACACTCCAGTGAATAAAGACTGAACCGCGTTTTAGAAATCCAAGTAAAAAACATTTCCATCATAAATTATTTACTTAGCTTGCTTATGTTTTACTACCTAGATGTATGTCTTAATGCAAATGGCGTACATTTTCAGCATGTTACTTACTAATTTTAGTATGCTTACTCGTTAATCATAAGTTGTTCATTTCCAATGCAAAACAAGTTTAAAATATCAAGATTTGAATATTCACTTTAATTTTTCATTTTTTGAGTTGTTTTTTCGTCCTTTACTGTTTACTATTGGGTAGGTCACTGTAAAGGCACACAAGGAGCAACGCCTTCATTTCACGAATTATTTATTGCAGTGCCGTGCAACGTGGAAGTGAACTGGATCTGCGGGTACGCCGATTACAAAGTTTTTAAATCTAGGCATAAATTGCTGTAAAATATTGTTTATTTTTTTTTAAGTGCTAAAGGAATAAAATCAAATCATTTTGGTGATGGTTTTCTTTCCAAACACTAACTGATAAAAATTAGCAAAAACACTTGTGTAATAGCTAAAACCTATTTAATATCATTTTAATTTCAATCGATCATAATCACTTAAATAAGGAACGCTTGCATGTCCATTGGACATATCACAATATCTTCGCTAATATCTAATTGTTTCTCAACAGCTAAAAATGATAGTAATGATTTACTTAACACTTTCTGGTTCGGGAAAAGTGATTTTAAGTTCACCTGGAAAGAAACACACAAACATATAAATAGAACGACACTTGCGAATTATGTTGGAAGATAGGAAATACAATTTAAGGATGGAACCGAAAGGTCAAAAATAAACTGGAAAAGGTTAGGAAAAAAATATTATTTAATTCATATGCAAATGGCTGGAACTCACCCTTCCATTACTAAGCGGAAACTGCTGTGCTAGCACCTTATCCGTGAAACACGTATCTACAAATTGCCGGTGTAAAACTAATCCCGTATGATAATTCCCTTTAATAAACACGCCAGTTCTTATGATGGGAATTGAAATATCTACCCCAAGATGATACTCGGGTGCGTAAACGTTTACTCTGTTGTCTTCTTTGTCTTGGACCTTCAACAGCTTGAGTAGAGGATTCAACAGAGTTTCCGAGGAAACGTGTGCCGATAATGTTGGAAATCCTGCAGGATGGTCGTCTGTTGACGCCTGGAGCAAGTCAGATTTTGTTATATTTTTCAAATGATTTCCCTACATTATTATACCTGACACGAATGCGTTTTTCTCTCCAAGAGTATCCGGAACATGTGTTTAGTCGGATGGTTATC